ATGTATGTGTATATATATATACACATCTCCCTATGGTTGGTTTAACCTTTATAGGTACTGGAAAACCCAATATTAATGTGAGTAAAACATTATGTTTTAAACCACCCATGACTGGGAATGGTAAACATACCACCTATTTTTTTTGTGATGACTGGGGGATGGTGCGTTTATGGCATTGTTTTACCTGCATTATTTCCTTGGCATATCTGAGATTCGCCAGGTCCTTGGTTCTGGAACTCGCTAGGTCGTTGGAACAGATTTCTGGGTTTATCGTACGCTTTAATATGGTTGGTTAATATACCATATAGTTAACCACAGAGTAAACCAATGTTTTTCTGAATTTTGTCCCATATAGTTAAGCAATTCTTAAAATTATGGGACAAACTATGTAATATTATGTAATGTGGACCCTTCATCCCTTCGCACCAACATTGCAGGTGTCATATCTCTCTCAAATCGTACATACATTAAATACATATTTAGTGAGATGTCAAACATATTCCATATTTATCCATATCCATATGGAGGTTTCCTAAAATAGAGGTACCCGCAAATTATCCATTTTAGTGGGATTTTCCATTATAAACCATCCATTTTGGGGGTCCCCCATTGTTGGAAAGCCCCATATTTGTTAGATGTTCTTGGTGCACAGATTTGTGGCCCAACATACCAAGTTCTTACAACGTGATCCAACATGCACCAACCATGAAAGTGTATAGCTCCGATAGGTTCCACGTCAGCTCGCCACATCATGGGGAACAGTAAAGGACTGAAATAACCATGCAACATATACCCTTCAGTAAGCTAGCATAGCTGTGCAAAGTCGCAATTCTCAATAGGTAAACCATCTATTAAATAGACCATTTTCCATAGCTATGTTAGTTGACTGGAGGGTATCTGGGTAACTTACAATAAAACTGACCTGAAAATCTCTCAAATTTGGACGATTCCCCATGCTAACCATCGTTCCAGCGACGTCACGTGAGGTCCTTGTAATTCGTCCATAATTATACCACTATGTGGGCCATAAATGCTTCATGATACCATGCAAAATGATCAAAATGGTCCTGGACCGGTTCAGACCATTGAAAAAATACCTTCATTTCCCATGGTTGTGGAAAACCGCCGTGTTTTCTTGCAACAAAAAAGATCTAATGACTAGTACTGACTAGTACTAACGGGAAAAACACCGGGTCAAATCCCGTATGACCATCCCAGATTTGGGGGATGCAGGAAAATAGGGGTATCCAGGAATCCAGTGTTAGTGTATCGCCTATTTGGAGGCAAAGCCATTTGAGATCATTTGATATGGGGATGGGTCAAAACCTTGTACCCCTGGCGAACATCAAAATAGCTGGCAAATGGATGTTCATCCCCTAATAAACTGTATCTATAGGTATTGATCCATACCCATATCAATATCAAATGTCAGAATCCTATGGCTAACTCTGGCTTTCTGATGGTGAAAAAGCGGCTTCCAACAGATGTGGCCAAATTGGGTAAAAACAAATGTAGTTTGCATGGCGATCCTTTGGGTGATGCCGACATCAAAGAATGACTATTGATGTCTCAAGATGTCTCAAGGGGTTAGAGGAAAAATTCTCGGAACCCCCATGTTTCATGGGAAATTCTCTGGTTTCCTGGGGATTTTTGCTTAAACCAATCCATTGAATATCTTTGTTCAACAACACAAGAAAACGGCAAAGATTTTGGCTGAGAACCCCAATTCACCCAAAGAATGCATGGAACTTTGGAGCGTCGCCTGAACTTTGGAATTCCCCATTGATGATTGTATAACTCCCAAACTAATCAACAACATATTGTGGGTATGATAGGTATTGATAGGTATGGGGTATGGGTCAAACTTGGGTACCCTAGACCCTAATTGGATGGTGACCATCTGGTTATGACTAACAGTTCGCCATGGAAAATCACCATGCTATTAAGAACGGTATATAAACCCACCTATTTCTATGGGCTATGTTCCATGGCTATGTTAAATAACCAAAGGGTAGTAAATCTCTGGTTTTTCAGGTCTTTAGTTTTGACCCATAGCCATATCATCAACGGTGTCTGGGACAGCCACTGCTCCACGTCGCCAGGGAACATCACCAGGTCATGGGCTGTCCAAGTCATCTGCAAAGTCATCCTGCGGCTGTCACGAGGACCTTGAGATACTGGCAACACATAGAAAATGAATCCCCATTACTGTAACATATGAAAGCACCAAGTTTAACCTTTACTGTATATGATTGTATATGATCTGGTTGGTGGTATACCTACCCCTCTGAAAAATGATGGAGTTCGTCAGTTGGGAAGATGACATTCCCAACTGAATGGAAAGTCATAAAATCCGTGGTTCCAAAGCACCAACCATTAACCATTATTAACTACTATTACCCACTCTTAACCACTATAAACCACTATTAACCACTATATTGGGAAACCATTATTATTGTTCCAGTCAGCACCAACCAGTAAATTCATCGTTAACCTCAAATTATCCAGGCAGCTCTTTGAGATCCGAACAAATCCTGTCACCGGTGACCCATCGGTGACTCCGGTGACCCCGGTGCGCCTTGGCGAGCAAGGCCTCGTCGAGCATGGCACTGCTGCTGCGCCGCTTTCCGGAGACGTGCTTCAGGAAGTCCGCATTGCGATGGTCGGGGTGGATGGCACTGCCCACACACCTGGAGCCATGGTTGGGATCGATCGACTAGTGGTCCACATTTTTTTGTTTAAGGTAGTTCGCTCCAAATATATCCCCATTATATGAAGATATAGTAAGATATCTCAAGCACCATCAATATATATCAATATCCCACTAGTATATATATATATGGGTAAATTACAATATTTCACCAACCTGAATTAAGGCCATTTGGGGATGATTTCCAATACTAACCATGATTCCCAGGGCTCGGTCGCAGTGAGGTCGTTATAATTTACCCATATATATATATATATATGTATTAGTATCCCATTCACATCTCATTGAAAAATCCCACTACCCTCTGGTAATTTAACATAGCTATTGAAAATGGCCATAGAAATAGTGAGTTTTCCCATGAAAAATGGCGGATCTTTCCATAGTTTTTTGTATGTTTACCAGGCCGGGTAAGTCCAATGACATGCCCAAGTCACACGGCAGCCCTGGCGTGCCAACGCCACAGGCCCTTCGACCAAGGTGCCGCTCTGCCGTGAGCAGAGCTTCCGTGGACCACTGGAAGAGCCATTCCTGACCACTGGAAGGGCTGGGGATGGCATATTTCAAGAACCCAAAATAGAAATGTCATGAAATCCGCCGACCCCGGCTGCGCAAGGGGGAGCGCGTTAGGGAATAAGACAGCAGCACCCAGCCAGTAGCCAGCAGTCAATATCCGCCGACCCCGGCAGACGCAAGGGGGAGCGTGCCAGGGAATAATACTTTTGACTCTTGTTTCGGACTACTACTACTACTACTACTCCTACTACTACTACTACTACTACTACTACTACTGCCATGGTGTTTTCCCATCCGGCAGGTGCCTTTTGAACAGAAGGAGTCACAGGAGCAGGAGCAGCAGCAGCAGCAGGAGGAAATAGAAGGTGTTTGACAAGACGGTTATCATCACAAAGGCAATTCTTTTTTTTTCTAGGATTTCAGAAGGGACGTTAGGCACTTTTTGGGCTCGATTTTGGAGCGTTTTGGGCACGAAATTAGGTGGCGTTTCAGCGTTTCAAGTGGTGGCCATGAGCAGCAGCAGCAACAGGAGCAACAGGAGGGTTCTATGTCTCATTGCACAAACAGTGGTATAAACATTGGTCGAAAACTATAAACATTGGTATATTATTGTGATTGATTTTGCGTCATGTTCGGCACGAAATTAGGTGTCTGGCTGCTGGTTTCTTACTTTATTAGAGGCAGTAGCAGCAATCAAAATTAGAGATCAAATTGGACAAAATTAGATTTCTATTGGACAAAGTTGGATTTCTAGTAGGATTTCAGAAGGGACGTTTCGGCCCCCGAAAACCTATTCTTGTGATTGATTTTGCGTCATGTTCGGCACGAAATTAGGTGGTGTTTTGCTGTTTCGGCTGTGTTTTAAAAAAGGTGTCTGGCTGCTGGTTTCTTGCTTTATTATAGGCAGCAGCAGCAGTCAAAATTAGAGATCAAAATTGGACAAAATTGGATTTCTAGTAGGAGTTCAGAAGGGACGTTTCGGCCCCCGAAAACCTAATATTGTGATTGATTTTCCGTCATGTTCGGCACGAAATTGGGTGGTGTTTTGCTGTTTCGGCTGTGTTTTAAAAAAGGTGTCTGGCTGCTGGTTTCTTGCTTTATTAGAGGTAGCAGCAGCAATCAAAATTAGCGATCAATCAAATTTGACTAAAATTAGATTTCTATTGGACAAAATTGGATTTCTAGTAGGATTTCAGAAGGGACGTTTCGGCCCCCGAAAACCTATTATTGTGATTGATTTTGCGTTATGTTCGGCACGAAATTAGGTGGTGTTTTGCTGTTTCGGTTGTGTTTTACAAAAGGTGTCTGGCTGCTGGTTTCTTGCTTTATTATAGGTAGCAGCAGCAGTCAAAATTAGAGATCAAAATTGGACAAAATTGGATTTCTAGTAGGATTTCAGAAGGGACGTTTCGGCCCCCGAAAACTTAATATTGTGATTGATTTTCCGTCATGTTCGGCACGAAATTGGGTGGTGTTTTGCTGTTTCGGCTGTGTTTTAAAAAAGGTGTCTGGCTGCTGGTTTCTCGCTTTATTAGAGGCAGCAGCAGCAATCAAAATTAGAGATCAAATTTGACTAAAATTAGATTTCTATTGGACAAAATTGGATTTCTAGTAGGATTTCAGAAGGGACGTTTCGGCCCCCGAAAACCTATTATTGTGATTGATTTTGCGTTATGTTCGTCACGAAATTAGGTGGTGTTTTGCTGTTTCGGCTGTGTTTTAAAAAAGGTGTCTGGCTGCTGGTTTCTTGCTTTATTATAGGTAGCAGCAGCAGTCAAAATTAGAGATCAAAATTGGACAAAATTGGATTTCTTTTCAGAAGGGACGTTTCGGCCCCCGAAAACTTAATATTGTGATTGATTTTCCGTCATGTTCGGCACGAAATTGGGTGGTGTTTTGCTGTTTCGGCTGTGTTTTAAAAAAGGTGTCTGGCTGCTGGTTTCTCGCTTTATTAGAGGCAGCAGCAGCAATCAAAATTAGAGATCAAATTTGATTAAAATTAGATTTCTATTGGACAAAATTGGATTTCTAGTAGGAGTTCAGAAGGGACGTTTCGGCCCCCGAAAACCTAATATTGTGATTGATTTTCCGTCATGTTCGGCACGAAATTGGGTGGTGTTTTGCTGTTTCGGCTGTGTTTTAAAAAAGGTGTCTGGCTGCTGGTTTCTTGCTTTATTAGAGGCAGCAGCAGCAATCAAAATTAGAGATCAATCAAATTTGACTAAAATTAGATTTCTATTGGACAAAATTGGATTTCTAGTAGGATTTCAGAAGGGACGTTTCGGCCCCCGAAAACCTATTATTGTGATTGATTTTGCGTTATGTTCGGCACGAAATTAGGTGGTGTTTTGCTGTTTCGGCTGTGTTTTACAAAAGGTGTCTGGCTGCTGGTTTCTTGCTTTATTATAGGTAGCAGCAGCAGTCAAAATTAGAGATCAAAATTGGACAAAATTGGATTCTAGTAGGATTTCAGAAGGGACGTTTCGGCCCCCGAAAACTTAATATTGTGATTGATTTTCCGTCATGTTCGGCACGAAATTGGGTGGTGTTTTGCTGTTTCGGCTGTGTTTTAAAAAAGGTGTCTGGCTGCTGGTTTCTCGCTTTATTAGAGGCAACAGCAGCAACAAACAGTGGTATAAACATTGGTGGAAAACTATAAACATTGGTATATTATTGTGATTGATTTTGCGTCATGTTCGGCACGAAATTAGGTGTCTGGCTGCTGGTTTCTTACTTTATTAGAGGCAGTAGCAGCAATCAAAATTAGAGATCAAATTGGACAAAATTAGATTTCTATTGGACAAAGTTGGATTTCTAGTAGGATTTCAGAAGGGACGTTTCGGCCCCCGAAAACCTATTCTTGTGATTGATTTTGCGTCATGTTCGGCAGGAAATTAGGTGGTGTTTTGCTGTTTCGGCTGTGTTTTAAAAAAGGTGTCTGGCTGCTGGTTTCTTGCTTTATTATAGGCAGCAGCAGCAGTCAAAATTAGAGATCAAAATTGGACAAAATTGGATTTCTAGTAGGAGTTCAGAAGGGACGTTTCGGCCCCCGAAAACCTAATATTGTGATTGATTTTCCGTCATGTTCGGCACGAAATTGGGTGGTGTTTTGCTGTTTCGGCTGTGTTTTAAAAAAGGTGTCTGGCTGCTGGTTTCTTGCTTTATTAGAGGTAGCAGCAGCAATCAAAATTAGCGATCAATCAAATTTGACTAAAATTAGATTTCTATTGGACAAAATTGGATTTCTAGTAGGATTTCAGAAGGGACGTTTCGGCCCCCGAAAACCTATTATTGTGATTGATTTTGCGTTATGTTCGGCACGAAATTAGGTGGTGTTTTGCTGTTTCGGTTGTGTTTTACAAAAGGTGTCTGGCTGCTGGTTTCTTGCTTGTGATAATGCATTTGCCAAAGTTTCTCGTCACACAGCTTGCCTGTTTCACCAGCAATCCCCGATTCTTTACCGGGGTCGGCGGCAGGGGCGGCAGCCCTTAAATATGGTTGTTGAAAGATGAATATGCCAATGAAATATGGGATGGCATATTTCAACAACAAAAAACATATATGACAATGATTGATATCATGTTGTAAGATGAATTTCAGTAACTTTTTACATAGTAACAGTTGTGTAGCGATGTTAAATATGGTGTCAAAGAAACGAATGATTCCGGATTCCGGATGATGATTTATATATATATATATATCAATCCGGGATATCATTGACATAACTGACATAACCCATGACGGATCCATGGTGCTGGTTTTTCTATGCTAACATATAGATGGGGTATATTGATGGGATCCATGTTGCGCACCAATCATATAGCAGCACCGTTAGGATCCGTCATGGATCCGTCATGGTCCTATGGGGATGGCATATCAATCTGGGAGAATCACCCCACTGTGGAACCCATCTCTGGTGGGATCAGCGGGAGAAGCACCTCATCCGCCCACACGTCCGTCAAGTCCACCGGATGCGACATGAAATGACTCCAGAAGGCCACCTGGCCGAAGGCCGTTCTGAACGGAGAAAAATGAAAAAATGGGAGGGGCCAGAGATTTTCTGGGGAAAAACAGAAGCAGAAATGATGTGTAAATGGTGTAAATGTTGGAAAATGATGATTTTTTAGCTGATGGCTTGATGCGGATGTCAAGGAAAATTGAACTCTGATTGTTTATAGTGAAATATCATGTTTATCCAGCAAAAACAAGTGAAATTAAGATGATTTCTACCTAAGATTGCTATCTTCATGGTAAAAAATGATGAAAAACTGGTACACCGTTGGACAAACCTGAATGGACTATGGTTCATAGGGCGCTGGATAGGAGAGGTCAATGGTTCTGGCAATTGTCTGTTCATGAAGTACAACCAGAACTTGACCATCTAAAAGTTAAACTCTTTGGTGAACTTGATAAGATTTTGATGGTTCAAGAGTGGTAAACTGGTTCAGTGGTAAGCATTTTTATCCAGTTTACCTTTTGGTGAACTTAGTGAAGCCGTGGTGATAAGATCGGTGCCAAGTCAATGGGGAAACTTCATTTAAAAAAGAAAAAAAACACGGAGGGAACACCTCCCGCAGTTGTTGATAGGTGTTTCTAAAAATGGGGGACACCCCAATTTATAGCTACTGAAGTAGGGAAAATAGTAAAACAAACTGGCAAACGAATAACCAAACCATGGTTTTTGGATGTATTGCTTCAAAGTTATCCCATGAAGCCATGGTCAGAATATGATATTCCAAACAAAACCGTATACCCTGATGAAAGTGGGGACCATCCCACACCATACCCTGTATGGATATTCAACTGTCGACGCTGGCAGATAGCTGGGATCCTACAATGTGGTGCCCCCAAGATAGCTAAGTTGGTTTATAACTCTAATAAGTAGGACTTATGGTAGATATATCTACAGTTAATGGGATTGTAAATCAACTTATAACTAGGGGGCACCACCTTGTATGGGATCCTGGAAAAATCTTCCCCGGCACCGCGTAATGTTTCACGGTGACGTCGTCCTTGAAGACATCCTGCGAAGCTTGAAGTGCTAGTGGGGATGATCGGCGGCAAATGATTAGAAACTTGGGCATATGGCAAACTATATTCCTCATGGTTAATATTGATTAATGGTGATTAATGGTTAATAATGGTGAGTAATCATGATTAAGGAACATATTCCAATATATCATCCAGTCATATCTTGCAGTTGTAGGGGGTCATAGCCCAGTTGTGTGCATTGCGGGGTTTGTGCAACAAGCAGATTTGTTCAAAACCTATTGGGAATCAAGATTGGAAGGCTTCAGAACCACGAAGTTGTCCTGTTCTGACCCACAACCAACTGGCCACAAAAAAGGGATGTAGGTCAAGGATGGCCTTGTACAGAAACAAAGAAAACTGTTGAAACCAAATAAAACCCAATGATTTAGGCATGCGCCCCAGAAAATTATTCCCCGTTCGGCCCTGGATTAAATCCCAATGAGGGTTGAATCTCCATTCTGGTTTGGTCGAATATGGTTTAATCCCCATGTTGATTGCTTCAGAACCATTAAAGCAAGCAATAAAAATCATTAACACACCATAAACGCAAATATATATATATATAAATCAAACAATCAACTTCAATCAACACACAAAAACCATTAAACTAAACACAATACCAGCAAATACAACACGATGGAACTCTTTAAACACCCACATTGTTTGACCAAACTCTCCAGCGCCTGGAATTTGCTGGAGTCCAGGGCCAACACGTCGCACTCCTACAGCGGAAGTAGGGTGATCAGAAACCGTTTCTGGGATACATGGGAGGATAATGAAAGGAAGGATAGAAAACATATTAAACGCTAAACAGAATGATAAAATAATTATAACAGTCCTGATGGTGATAATGATGATAATAGTGATAATGATGATAATAGTGATGATGATAGTGATAGTGATAATGGTCATGGTAATGGTAATAACAACTGACAATGGTCATGGTAATGCTAATGGTGCCAAAATCGATAATGGTAATGGGATGAATAATGATAATCATGATACTGACAATGATAGCGATGATAGTACAATTAGATGGAATAATAATAGTAGTAATAATACGGTCAAACCCCTCAGTTTGCCCGCGCCGACGGTTTGCGCGTAATAATACTCTTACTATTACCATCATCATTATCATAATAATACGTGCATGTTTATCCCAGAAACCAATAATTAAATCCAATTTAAATCCTAATATTACTTACTCATTACAATACGAATGATAACGAATCATCATCATACCGTAACCATCATCATCGTTATCACCAAAACTGGGTACTTCATGGAGGGGTACCAACCATGGTGCTCAACTGGATAAATATAAAGCCAAAACCAAGTTTTATAGAAATTTCCAAGCAATGAGTTTCTGATTGGTGAATCAAGGGAGATCTGAAGATTAACAAAAACATGCAATCGCTAATTTCTTGATGATTATTGTAATACATGACGGGTGTCAGCAAACAGAATGCTGGGTACCCCATTTTTCATCCAAAATTAAACAATTTCAGTATTGAACCCCGTGGTTTTGGGGATCCACCATTTTTAGAAACTTCCATTTTGAGACTCTCCATTTCCAATAGGTTTTGACACTGTTCATCTCAACATACCAGTTGATCCAACCATCACCAGATTTTAAAGGCCCTGGATGCAATTCCGCTCTTGCAAAGCTTTCCATCTTGCGGTTTTGAATCCACGTATCCCCTCCCGCTTCTCATTTGCATCACACATTCCACTCTCAGATCCCCATTCTTCGTGGACAACTCAGTATAAATCCTTATTCTTTGCTCACTTTTCAGGTGATGACTTTCATAAATCCCTGTAAATTCCCATAAATCCCTATAAATTCCCATAAATCCCTATAAATCCCTGTAAATTCCCATCTTCTGGTCAAGACTTCACGTGTTTCCCGGGATTTCCGATGATTTCCGGGACCGCCAAGACACTGAGGCTGTAGTGCCGATGCCATTGTGCACCCAGTGGACCCAGAGGCAGGCTTCAGAGAGCCAGGTGCCTATGGAAAAAATCTACGTGGGATATATTGGGATATCACATTCAATTATGGGAGTATAGTGGATGATATTCCAATATGAGGATTATCATATTCCATGAAATAATCCCATGGGGATTCTAGTGGCTTCTAAAGCTCAAGTGGCGAGCTTTATAGGGGGATTAGTATGGATAAGTGGAATTATAACTGTGTGGGGCCCACAAAGCATAGCTAAGTTGGTTCAGAACATTTTATAACGTGGTTAACGATGGGTTTGTGGCAGATATAACTACAGATAGATGAAATTATAAACCAACTTACAACTTGGAGGTCCCATATTTTATGGATCCAGCCGTACCTTCTCAAGAAGTATGGCTGGTGTATGATTTAGGGGGGTAAGTAACAACTTCATGTTCAGGTTCCGGTCAATTTTCCGTCAAAAACAGGCCATCGGAATTAACTCATCATAAAAAATCATGAAAATAAATCTCAATGAAAATAATTTTGGTGATAAATCTATTATAATCGGATGTTCATGGAAATAAATCTATATAAATCTCAATTCGTGGCTAAATTCCTCGCCATTTTCGATGCTTTCACCCAACGGTCACCAAGGGGGTCGCGCCTTCTGTCATGGAGATGGGTATGGGCGAAATCTGACCTGGCGCCGGTGGTCTTGGGGGCCACGCTTCACCGGGTATTTCTTGGGAAAATTAGAACTGGAAACCATGGAATGCCATGGAATGTCACTGTAACAATATGATGGGAAGAATCATCCAGTCATGTTCCAAACCACCAGCCAGTGTAGAAAATATCCCAATTGGATTTATGTTAATCATCATTATTACGTATACTAAACCCAAATGGGTATGGATCAATACCTATTAATACCATTTTTAGGGGAATGAACATCCATAAATCCCAGCTATTTTGATGGGAACTACAGGGGTACAAGGTTTTGACACACTGCCATATATGTATGTATATTAATTGCACTAATGTACTATGGGAGTTCCTTGTTCTATAATGGATATGAATTAATGTTCCCTTCAACCAGCTCTAGGATTTCAAGAATTAAACACAGGAATTGCGCATACCAGCGAAAATAACGAAAAAAATGCCCTGCACGATACAATTTTGCACATTATGGTGAACGTTTCCCAAGTGGCAACTTACAACATTCTGCATGGCATGGATTACCCTCTGGTAAACTAACATAGCTATTGAAAATGGCCATTTATAGTGGATTTTCCCATTAAAAATGGTGATTTTCCATAGTTATGTTAAATTACCAGAGGGTAAATAGACTTGCATTGTTTATCTTGGGGATTTTCGATGGACTTTATCGGATGGGACCATAGAAATCATCACTGGTTGGTGGTTGACCTACCCCTCTGAAAAATATGAAGGTCAATGGGAAGGACTATCCCATATATTATGGGAAAACAAATGTTTGAAACCACCAACCAGTATATAATATATATATATATATTTATATAGGTATATATATATATATATGTATGAATCACATCTCTGAAAATAATTGCATGTTTCCCCAACAGAGCTGAAGTACGCTTGAGTGACCCAAAGCTACCTCTTTTGATCATTGAAACCTCACTGAATTTCAGCCAGGTGACGATCTGACTTGTAGTTCAGCGTGCCACTGACCACGAACCACATATCTTTGGCCTGGCGATTGGTGCCACCGTGCAACCCTGGCCAGATTTGCGTGTTCCATTTGGCTGGTTCCCTGAAAAAAGAAAAGGAAACATGGGAAAAATGATGGAAAGTTGCCACGAAATACCTCTACACTTCCGCAGACACCCCAAAGATTGGCCACTGCAAGGCTATTTTGATGCAGTTTACAAGTTCATCTCTGGTGAAAGAATCTGAAAGTAGGATTTCCATCACAACGTATCACAACATGGGGAAGCCTGGAAGATCATACCATGCATTGATTCAAGTGTTGTGTTTTCTGCTTATATTCGTCACGCGATGGAAATTCCATGTGAGGCCACAGGTTTCCTCAGGTTTCCTCATGAGCCATCCACATCTTGGTTGCCAAGCTGGTGACTCAACCCATGCCCAAACTTGCAAATCAAGCATTTCCGAAGCCTTTGCGTATCCCAAAAGATCCCAAAAGCGTCCCAATATGACATCGAAATCGGGAGGTTGAGGTTTAATGTTTGTCAGAAAGTGTCGGCCAAAGACCTACCAGGGGTGTACCGTGTCAGCAGATACTTGGGGATTGAACGTGCCATGTTGTTTATGCTCCCAAAAAATTAACCCAGGCAGTATATATAACTATAATTCGCAATAACAAGGGACAACAAAGGTATTGTTTAATGCTTCACCATTCAATCACCATGAAATATCCTATTGTATATCCCATTAAATCAACAGGTCTGTTGGTTCAAAACCCATATGGATATGTCTGAAAATGGGGAATTGACCCTTCCAAATGGTTATGAAATGGTTATGAAATGAGAAACTGATGATCATTCAATGGATTTGGGAGTATGATAGTAAAGTATATAATTTCGCCATGGTATTTGTATAATGTGGGTTTAAAAAAAAACAAACAAATAAACCACCACAGTTTTGATGGTTTATACAACCCATTTATGGTGATTTTGGGATTGTTTATTATTGTTTCAACCACATCATATATATATATATTACATATAGTATGTATATTATATGTATTATATAACCATCCTGAAGTGAATACAACATGGTATTTTCAAACATATTGCCAATTTGGTGGGGAACTTTTTTGAAATTTATTTCATGATGACTCTATAAAATATCACAAATCAAGCCAACCATTACAAAAGGTGCTAGTCCTCTAGTTGAACCACAAGTACCATGGGCCATGAGCGGGTTTCAAGGCACTCACCAGCTTCCTTTGGTGCTCTGCTGAGCTTCAAACCGAAAATGAATGCCATATTGGGTCATAATTATTATGATATCAATTTTGATATGTGGTGTAATGAAAATTATGATACCCAATTTACCACCATATTTTAACATAGCTATTGAAAATGCCCATTTAGTTCGTGGATTTACCCATGAAAAATAGGGATTTTCCAGTTCGCAAACTGTTGGTTTACCAGAGGGTACCACCATATTTGGGTTTGTCTGAAAATAGTGTACCCCTACACCCAATGGTTAATGATCATTATCCCTACTAAATGGCTATAATTGGGGGTATACCCCATTTTCAGACATACCCATTTAATGATCAATTCCCCACATTCACTTTGCGACTGCCATCACCGCCATGAATCAACTCCCGTCCTGCTCCCCAGAGGTGATCAACTCCTGGAATTTTGGAGCTGCGCAAAAATCGCTGGAATTGTCATGGCATTTTAATGCAATTTCATGGGATTTTATAGGAATTTCAAATTATTTTATAGGAATTTTAAATGATTTTATAGGAATTTCATGTGATTTTATAGGAATTTCAAATGATTTTATAGGAATTTCATGACGTGCTCATGGGATTTAATGGAATTTTATAGCAATTTTAAATGATTTTATAGGAATTTCATGGGATTTTATAGGAATTTCAAATGATTTTATAGGAATTTCATGACGTGCTCATGGAATTTCATGGGATTTAATGGAATTTCAAATGATGTTATAGGAATTTTAAATGATTTTATAGGAATTTCATGGGATTTGATAGGAATTTCAAATGATTTTATAGTAATTTCATGACGTGCTCATGGAATTTCATGGGATTTAATGGAATTTCAAATGATGTTATAGGAATTTTAAATGATTTTATAGGAATGTCATGGGATCTAATGGAATTCATTGGATTTTATAGGAAATTTAAATGATTTTATAGGAATTTCGTGACGTTTTATAGAATGTCATGTGATGTTATAGGAATTTCATGGGATTTTATAGGAAAATCATGGGATTTTATAGGTATTTCATGGGAAAGTTCATTGGAAAATCAATAAGGGATGATAATCAATGGGATAAGATATAGCCTCTGGTAATCAAACGTGGTCAGCTGGCCTAAAATGATCCCAACATGAGTTTTTTTTCTTAAATTGACCCTAAATTGTGTGAAATCAATGATGGCTCGAAAAAAATTGTGTTTGTGACAACCTGTTTCGCTAATAATGCCTTAATAAGAAAATTTTGATTCAAGAGGTTAATCTGATAATTTTGAAAAAAAAACATAGGTTGGAAATTCAATTAGAAGCTTACTCAGAAAACCACAGGGTTGACGCCCGCTCTTGTATTAAGGCCTTATTAATAGCAAAACATCGGCAGCACCGCTTCCGGCGGTAATTTTGATGACAATGATTTTGATATCATGAACTGTCACAGGGATTCAATGTCAACCAACTCTTGACAGGTGACCCCAACAGTAATAGATGGTTAATAAGCCATTGTTAGTGACTGGTGATTAAGAATGTGTTACACCACTGATTTGCTGTTCACCATTTGTTCATTTTTATCCATATCTTACCATACTTCTGGGGGGGTTGCCGGGGGAGGGGGATTGGCAGCCCCCTGAGGCTTGTAACGTCCATTAACCAGAGATGTTTGTATGGGGTTCAAAGGCACCAATCGTGGGGGATAGATTGACATGATAGGGTGGTATCCGCCAAAACGATTACCTAAAATGAACGGCTTAATATGGTCTAATGCGCCTAATGACCAATCTTGATCAATTTTGTGGATGTATTGAGAATTGAGATCCTACTCTTGAGCCATACTAGTACGCAGTTCATCCGCAATAGTGTTTCCACACCCAGACGATGTCAAGAGTGTGATGAAGGTGAGATTGTTGTCCCAGCTGTGTTTCCTTTGAAAATCCCCAGTTTCCTGGGCTCAATCGTTGAACCGAACGGGGTGGGTTTGGCACTTTTCAACTTCATTGCTGCGGCAGATCACATGCAGCTCACCAATATAGAGCTTGACGACAAACGTTGAAGGCCGCTTGGGAGGGTCACTCCTTGCAAGCTCTGGTTGATTTTGTTGAACTCGTCGTTGCATCTGTGACCTAATGCCAAGCTATGAAGGCTGTTGAACTCGTCGTTGCATCTGTGACCTGGTTGAAACTGTGCCAAGCTATGAAGGCTGCTTGGCAGGGTTACGCCTTGCAAGGTCTGGTTGAAACTGTGCCCAAATGTCAAGCTATGAAGACTGCTTGGCAGGGTCACCCATTGCAGGCTCTGGTTGAAACTGTGCCCAAATGTCAAGCTATGAAGACTGCCTGGCAAGGTCACTCCTTCCAAAGTCTGGTTGAAACTGTAACCAAATGCCAAGTTCTGCAAACTGCTTGGTAGGTTCACTCCTTGCACGGTTTGGTTGAAATTCCAGCCAAATGTCAAGTTCTGAAGGCTGCTTGGCAGGGTCACGCCTTGCAAGGTCTGGTTGAAATTACTGCCAAACGCCAAGTTCTGCAAACTGCTTTGTAGGGTCACTCCTTCCAAAGTCTGGTTGAAACTGTTACCAAATTTCAAGTTCTGCAAACTGCTTGGCAGGGTCACTCCTTCCAAAGTCTGGTTGAAACTGTTACCAAATGTCAAGCTACGAAGACTGCTTGGCAAGGTCACTCCTTTCAAGCTCTGGTTGAAATTGTCGCCAAATGTCAAGCTATGAAGACTGCTTGGCAAAGTCACTCCTTCCAATCTCTGGTTCAAAAAACTGTCACATGCCAAGTTCTGCGGGCTGCTTGGCAGGGTCACTCCTTGCAAAGTCTGGTTGAAACCATTGCCAAATCCCAAGTTCTGCAAACTGCTTGGTAGGGTCACTCCTTGCAAGGTCTGGTTGAAATTCCAGCCAAATGTCAAGTTCTGAAGGCTGCTTGGAAGGGTCACGCCTTGCAAGCTCTGGTTGAAACTGTCGCCAAATGTCAAGCTATGAAGACTGCCTGGCAAGGTCACTCCTTCCAAAGTCTGGTTGAAACTGTAACCAAATGCCAAGTTCTGCAAACTGCTTGGTAGGGTCACTCCTTGCAAGGTCTGGTTGAAATTCCAGCCAAGTGTCAAGTTCTGAAGGCTGCTTGGCAGGGTCACGCCTTGCAAGGTCTGGTTGAAACTGTGCCCGAATGTCAAGCTATGAAGGCTGCTTGGCAGGGTCACTCCTTGCAAGGTCTGGTTGAAATTCCGGCCAAACGCCAAGTTCTGCAAACTTCTTGGCAAGCTTGCTTTTACGAGGCTCTGGTTGAAAGCTGGCCCAAATGTCAGGGTCTGAAGATTGCTTGGGAGTGTCACTCGCGTCAGCCACTGGTTGAAATTGTCGCCAAATGTCAAGCTATGAAGACTGCTTGGCAGGGTCACTCCTTTCAAGCTTCGGTTGCAATCAAATTTCAAGCGTTTAAGGCTTTTTGGCAGGTTGTATATGTATTCACACGCTGTTGTGGATCCATTTTCTATTTCAATCTCTGACACTCCCTCTAATGCAAGCTCTCCTTCATCGACCGGATATCCTTTGATGTAACACCATGCAGCAAACAAATCCGTTGGAGCATAAGTACAAGAGAGCATCGCAGCGCCCACAATGCCTTGCTCTTGCAATGTCTTGTGGGGCAGCAGCCGTGAATCATTATGACACAGGGTGAGTTTTCCACATTTCTTTGGTGGAAGTTTTCTTGAAACCATTAGGTACAGGTCCCGCCCCATAGTGGAACGACTGAGGTTCAAGTTGCATCCTTCACCATTTAGACATAGCACATGGAGATCAATCGCATCAAAGCTACTTGGCTCCACATAGCCAACAGCACTGGACATCGCTGGCGCTGGGGAAAATTTGACTCATCACCGGTCACGCATGCTGAGCCAAAGGTATTCAGCATCCCACTGGCTGAGGTATTGAGCAACAAAAAATTAGGATATGACATTTAAAAAAACAACTACATGTAATTAATCACCAGTAGCTACGTCTATAACTACATAGTATATAAGCAACAAAAAAGGGTAGGATGCGACCCAGAAACGCACGAATCTTGAAATGCGTTTCATGCCATCTACTTTTTTCGAAAGCTTAAGCTTTGCAGATCTCTTGGCGCTGCCGACTGCTAGAATCTTTGGTAGATGATTTGATAGATTTGAAGAGTAATTACCTGGTTGGTGGTATAGCTACCCCTCTGCAAAATATGAAAGTCAGTTGGGATCATTATTCCCAATATATGGAAAAATAAAATTCATGTTCCAAACCACCAACCAGATACTATTGAATAGATGGCATTTTGCTGATTTCATGGGATCATTTTTCATATCAAGTTGCATAGGCTATTGATCCCAGGACTGCTTATCCCATGAGATCCCCCAACTGATTAGTCAGGCGTGAACCACGAACTAGCCATTCAAAATAGCCCGGTGTCCCATCTCGTGAAATATTGGTTGGTGGACAGGTTTCCCATGGTTTCCCAATCATGGGTTATCGTAATCTTCAATAGATTAGCTGGTATTTTTTTTCGCAACAACTTAATCAATCATCATGTTTCAGTTTTATCATCATATTCAATCATGTGACATCTCCAGATCTTTGATTTTCTTTTAAAAAAATGGATAAGATTGGAATAGATTGGATAAGTCCGACTTTTAAATTCATCCATCAACCAGGCTATTGAAAAATAGACACATGGCATCTACGGAAACCCGTGACCCTTTCGGCACCCCCAGCGAGGTCCCGGAACTTTGTCCAAGGCGCCTGATCCGAGGGGAAGAACTTGGCTTTCAATCCAGAAGCATAGAGCTTTCGCACCTGGAAAAAAAGCTGATCTCGATAGCTGAAAATGGCTGATTTCATGGCTGATTTTCAGTGATTTGTTCATTGATTTTCATTGATTTTCCATGTGATTTTCATTGATTTTCATGGATTTTCATGATGTGAAATTTTAAATGGGATTTCATACTGGGAAATCAATGGGATTGAATAGCGTTTTTTTTGGATTGAATGGGAAAATCCATGGGATGATAATCCAATAGGATATACCCTCTTCAAACGTGGCCAGCTGGGCAATCAACGAAATGGAGGTAAATTGAGCCGCGAAAATCATGGAAATGGGGATTGGCCATTGCCATGTTTGATTGCCGGAGGGTAAGTTTTAAATTTGGACATGGCGGACATGGTGACATTTGGGTCAAAATTAGGAATGCAGGGAATCACCACTTGTTGGTCAAAAACAGAACTGACACCGGGGAATTTTCAGGACTTCAGCAAGAATGGTGGGGAGCCAATTTACATAATTTCCCATCATTTTCCCCTAAAATGCGGATGTAACAAACAAATCCTCGGAATGTAACTAACTTAATTAACTACCTAACTAACAAGCAAACAAACAAACAAACTAACTAACTAACTAAGATTGGTTGACATCGCAATGTGGTCTGCAAATATATAAAAATGTATCAACAGCTCCCGTCGAGTTGCGCCCCATCATTACTGCTGCTTACGACTTACGAGTCACCCTATGCTTTTGCGAATGGATCTATCCTCGGTGTTTAGATGTTCTTTAGTACTAGCCTCTGGTAATGAAACATAGCAATGAAAAATTCCACCTTCTATAGATGATTCTCCCATCAAGACCTCCATTTATAGTGGATTTTCAATTGGCGCATTTGATGACCAGAGGGTATTTGATTCAGGACAAGGAAGGCCGGAGATATACTTTGTCTTATCTTCAACCATCTAAGTGGATCGATGTATCCACCTCAAACCCAAGAGTTATAGCTAGCCCAGTTGTAGATTGAGAAACTTTCCCGAAATGGATAGAATCAAGGAGGGATGCGAATATCTTCACGATATGTTTATATATGATCCATACAAATATCACTCAGTTGTAGGGGTGTTTAGTTGTTCAGCTCTACCCATCCATCTCTCAGGCCCAAGGGTCATAGGCGTCGAAGCATGAACTGCAAACGGAAAAGAAGGGATGCGCTACGAAGTACGGAGAATAGACCTGCCGAAAAAAAAAAAAAGGCGGACTGCAAAATGGCTGGCCCTTTTTAGTGCTCAACTGGGTGTCCTAAAAATTTATGGGATACCCACTTAAATGGCAATCTGGTTGGTGGTATACCTACCCTACCCCTCTGAAAAATGATGGAGTTCGTCAGTTGGGATGATTCTCCCATATATGAATATGGGTCAAAATTAGGTACCCCAAAATTATGGATGGTTAATACTAAACTAGACATTCACATCTGTGGTCCCACATCGGTCTTCCATTTTGACCCACATCCATATGAAATGGAAAATATAACATCTTTGAAACCACCAACCAGAGGTTTTTCTCGGTAAAATGATGCTAATCCATTGGAATTGGAGGGCTGACTATCATCCAAGTCATGGATGACCATGACTTGGTATTGAAACCCATGGTGACTTTGGGTACCCTGATTTTAGGAAACCTCCATATACATATATATATATACACACACACACGTTTAAACATTCAGAAAAAAAGAAAAAAAAACGATATTTCACACTACTTCGGCATGCATATATCATCATATATCTTAATGTTGTCACCGTACCTGATTGACCCCTCTATTTCTTCCTATTAACCCTCCATTTTGTTCCACCCAGTTTTGATCCATACTAAAAATATCAATTCACTGGATGGGCTTGAGGGAGTTGTGGAGATATTGATAGATATTGATAGATATTGATACTGTGGATGGCTAAGGTCGTGTCACGCAAATACATGTCTTCTGGGTTGCACACGCAGTACCAGATGAGGTGAGCTACATAGCTGCGTTCATAGATTCGATGGTAATACCATTGGTAGATCTCCATCAAATCAATGGGAGATCTTCAGGATCCTAAATTGGAGGTACCTACTCTATATAAGGCCTATGTAAGGGCTATGTAAGGGAATATCCCCAGAAAATATGGCCTTATATAAGCCTTATATGGTACAGTTCCATTTTAGGATCCTGGAACTCCCATTGATCAAATCCCCCACTTTGTTTCGTCATCTATATAAATCTGTTAGTAATTCACGGCATCCAAGCATTTTTGCCGACAACATCCCCACATGCCTAATCCTAGATACCCTCGGATACCCTGCAAAGACGACATAATCTTGAGATGGCCCCAAACTATATCGAAATACTGGTTGGTGGTATACCTACCCCTCTGAAAAATATTAGTCAGTTGGGATTATTATTCCCAATATATGGAAAAACAAAAAATGTTCCAAACCACCAACCAGAATATGATATGTTTCCATCATGTTCACCTTCACCAGCACTTTGAATCCACAGCTCTCTTCAACAGCGCCTCTTGGTTGATGTCCTGTCGCAAGCTCAGCGGCAGAAGGTGTAAGACCTTGATGTCTTCTTCGTGCACCTTTCGCGGCAGAAGATGGGGAAATGGGTTGAGATGGGACCAAAGCAACCCATGAAATTAGGGATACAACTTGATATAGTTTGATCTAGCAAAAATGGAAATAGAATGAAATAGATTATACATGTAGAGCAGGTAGGCTATGGTAGGCTATGGTAGGCTGGCTATTATATATACGGGATACCTAAATGGATGACACCAAGACTGCACTATTTCATGCTCTTTGGAGCCCCGCAAGTAGTTCAAGTGAGGGAAAGTCACTGGATGATTCGTCTGAATCTTTGCGAGGCTGTGTCAATGGTGGATTCACCCTCCTGCTGTGGCCAGATCTGTGGAAAATGATGATCCAATGATAATCCAATTGATTTGAAGCTGTGAAAAGTCAAAGCAACATGTTGGTGTTCCAAAAGTTGCCTCTGATCCTCGCAATATCTTGAAGCGATTCTATGCTTCTCCAGCCACATGGCCAGTTCTGTGCGGAGCCCGTAGAGATAAAATTGGGTCACAACAAGACAAAGGTATACGGTATATGTCAATATAGCAACCCAAAAAAGGATAGAAACGTAATTTACCAATACTTTAGTAGGATTCCATGTTTCTATCTTTTTGAGGGTTGCTACGTATCTATGTATATATATATACAAATAGATAATATCATATAATATCAAAAACTAGAAGTACACATATGGCAAGCATGGTCAACATGGCCATGATTTGTGGAACTTAGACTATGTTCAAAAATGAAGAGGTACTTCTGCTGGCACTCTATCCCCATGTTTTTGGACATACTCACCACTTTTTTTTCCTTCGTCGATCCAATTTTTGATCAGTTTCTCAGAAAATACCAGCTGGTTTCTATCCCCATAAAAAGGCCCAAATTATACCAGCGTTTTTGTTGCTTAAAATCAGTTTAAAAAAATGTTTCCTATGTTTGTTGGTGAATCGTCCCCAACAACATACCAAAAAGTACCAGGATATTGCGACTTTCAACCACTCATCCCAGTCGTATGCTTGAAACACTACCAACATATTTAAAGCCACCACTTAGGTGCAGATGTACCAAATCATACATAAGTTATATAGAATTATATAAAGTCCCTACCCCCAAGTCTCCATAAATCATCTCCATAGATAGCGGTTGTAAACATTTCAGTAAACACATACCATATTACCATTAATAAACATAGTCTATACATGGTCTATACCCATCACAACCATCACCATCATAGCCATGATACTTTCCATACAACCCATCTGTTTAAACCACCAAGGCACTCGCCGCTTGTTCTTGTTCATTGCGGAGCTGACGCTCTGTAAGACGCGTGCCATCAAGCCACCGGTCACGTTGCCTTGGCAGCTCCGAACGAACCGGAAAACGAGGTGCTTGGCAGTGGCTGAGCATTTAAATCTTGGTGAACGTAGAGAAGTGGGGGAATGGGATAATGGTTACTTATGTGAAACTAGAACGATCACTCCCCCAATTGTCATCAATTGTCTACGTTTAACACCAGTAAGAATTTCGATTCTGTCTAAAATCCCACCGTTTTTGTTGGTGTTAAAGTTTAGTAAAGCCCTGTGGCCCTGGTGTACCTGAGTTTTCTGCCGGGATTCCCTGTCGCGATCGAACCAGCTATGTATGGACATTAGTACATTAGCAAAAAAATGGGATGGTCATCCACTACCCACATAAAATATGATCGTTTACTATGGTACTTAACAATGATGGGAGAATCGTGGTGAAGAGGTAGACCCCTGGAGATAGTCAAATATTAATATTGATTGATCACAATTTGTCATGATTCAAAAAATCTAAATTAATCTAATTATATTGGTAAATATCAATATTGGTAAAGATTACCTTTGTCATAGATAGTCAAATATCAATACCAAAATTGTGCGCATGGTGCGCATGGTGCGCACTGTGCATCCGAGAGACACTGCGTGAGGTACTTCCGCAACAACGAGAACTGTTCGATCTTCTCCTTTTTTCAAAACGACCATGGGACGAATTGATCTTGCAATCTACAAAGGGACTGTTTCAAATAGGTGCCACCTAGGAGTCACAACGATACTTGAAAAGCAACATCCAGACTTTGTGGAGAAGAACTTTCCAGAGCTCTAAGAAATTGTTGGTCTCTTTCACCGGCTTCTCACAGGACATGAGCGACTTGGGTACACTCCAGCACTGGCTGCTGTTGGTGAGACAACCAAAAGAGCATGAAATTCAAAAAAAAATATCAAGCTTATCCTCACTTTTGTTTGCAAACTAAACTGGATCACTTGCCAGACACGTGCACATTTTGAATGGGAACATTACTCCTATCCAGGTACAAGTTCACCTTGGTTCCCCAATATTCCCGCAACCCCACAGGAGAAACTCACCGACACGGCGCAAGGTTGCCAAGGATCTTTGTTCAGATTTCGGAGCTGCGTCATGGCGTTCGTAATCGCCGAGATGAAGGAGGAGAAGATCACCTTTGTTGGAAAGGCTCCAAAAGAAAGACTTGGGAGGTTTTAGAATCTTTAGATCACAACATCCTTCTGATTTTTTTTGTGTTGGATATTGGATGATATTGGATCTGCTTGGTGAATTTCTGACTATGTGGCAAACAAAAAATGTGTAAACCATCCGGAAAAAAAACGATGGGTGGAAGATATCATCCCCAAACGATAGGTCTGCCAGCTTGCCCATCCAAGGTAGGCTTAGGAGCCAATATTGGAACATGTTGAAAAAACCACCAGAGCAACAACGACTACCCTTCACTTCACCGTAGATCATTATGTTGATTAGAAGATCTTCAACATTTCTAGTAGATCTTCAACATGTTTTTCTACCCTTCAACATTTCTAGTGAAGATCTTCATGTGAAGGGTACATATGGTCAAATGATCTTCACTACCCAAGACAATATTCTGCATAGCCGATCATGTGTAGATGATTTGTCTTGGGCGAATCATGGCAAATCCCTGCGGTCAAGCAGCCATGGCAGACACGATGACGCAGACACAGAAAATGCGCTCTTCTTCCTAGCAGCCACTTGGGGACCCCTAACCCAGCCTTTAAAAAAAAAATATTAATATGGAACTATTAATATGTACTATATATGTATTAATATTTCATACATATACACACAGTATATGTAGTGTTTGTATGTGTATGTGATTAGTATATGGATAATATGGGTAGTGGTCAAAGTGCTGTGGTTTTCAATGAGTTCTATCCTATTGGTGCCACATTTTTGTGGTAAAAAATCCTGGGTGGCAGCTGCTTCCCATCATGGGCATGTGTCAAATCATTGGATGAACATCCAATTAGGACCGTGCAATGTCCACAAGTATTAATAAACATTCTAGAATGACATGGACTCAATTAAATTATCAATAAACATCAATAAACATGAATAAACATATGGAATATTCGAATATTCAATAGTAAAGTGTTGCTTTATTAATCCTGTTGTGATAGGCAAAAATTCTTGTGATGAGGTCTTAAAGGACCGTTCCGTTGGGAAACCGTGGATTGAACCCTCAACATTCGGTGCTAACAGCACCCCCTAAAACGATAGAACAGTAAAACCCTACTGAAATAATGATACATCGCTGTTACACTCTGGTTATTTAACATAGCCATGGTATAGATGGCCCATTGAAATAGATGATTTTCCCAGCTAGAAACCTCCATTTATAAGGGATTTTCCATGGCTATGTTAAATAACCAAAGGGTATATCTTTTTGGCAGTTGCTATACACAATCATGGAAGAACTAGGAACAGGACCACCACTGGACCAGTGAAGCTTGCACAAAAAGTTCGTGGCTATAGCCGCTGCTAGAATGCCGCACAAGAACATCACCAGGCCGTGCTCGTAGCTAGGCAGCTAGGTGTACTTCACTTTTGTTTATACAATCTATTTCATATTGAATATCATTTGATATCATATGTAATTGTCCATCTGTATATTTTGACTAATTGATTCTGACTGCACCTTCTGTCATATCATCATAGCATTCTGATCCCTTTCCTTGCAAAACCACCCCACAGAAACCATGATTGAGGGGGAAACTGGAAAACATATTTGGGATCATAGAATGGGGGTGTTTACTAGGGAAAGAAATTGTGTATAATATATATATATATACATATATACATACAGTACATATAGTTGTAGATAATATTTCGCATTTTCCCAAAATATCCCATGAAATACCCTCCAGGAAACTAACGTTTAACAATGGAACATGCCCATTTGCTTCGATTTTCTTTACCTATTGAAAATGCTGATGTTCCATAGTTATGTTAGTCATTACCAAAGGGTAAACCTCCATTTTCCTATGGTTTTTCCTATGGTTTTCTCCATTTTCCAATGGTTTCCCTATGATTTTCCTTGGAAATTCGCTCACTTCCGTCCCACCGGTCCCATAAAAAACCCAAAACCAAGACACATTGGTCGGATAGACCTCCATGGAGGCTGGCGTGAATTGGGTCAGGCTCCAATGCAAACATGTGGCGTACCTGAGCGATGATGATGATGATGATGTAGTTGACGTGTGGTAACCTAGCACGGGGTTTTCCACACACAAGCTGCTTCACGCAGCCGCAGAATCAGCAGAAAACATCGCCACCAAGTCAGAAGAAGCCTGGCAGAGACGTTCAAGTGCAAAATGAGACCACTTGGCGCAGTGGTTAATTGAATCCTCACATGATGTGTTCAAAAGAGCTTGCGCAAGGCCAGCAGCGCCATCCGCACGTGCATTGAGTAACCTACAGAGGTTTTCATCCAAATTGTTGTGACGCCAATGTAGTTGTTTTCCATGAGACGGCACCCAATGGCACCGCAATTGTGCATCCTTCAGCACCCGCCACGGTGCCGAATAGAAACATGGCTGAAGAATCCTTTCCCAAAGGCGAAGGACAAACATGCTGTCAGTCAAAAGGTCAAGCTGAATATCCAATAAGTTGGAGACTTTGGCCACAATGCATGCGGCGTACACCTCAGCAGCGCAAGAACAGAGATCCAGTCCCGGCACAACCCCGTGGAATGTAGTGTCACAAGCACAGGCCAAACCCCATGTGGCTCTCCATTTTCCAATGACAGAAGCGTCAGACGCCACCAAGCGAGACGAACACGCACGAAGATGTTGAACAAGTGTAATGGAATCGCGGTCCAAATCACGTGAAGCCATCGGCGAAGGAAACTGAGCTGCAGACACACTCAACCGCAGTTCACTGTCATTTGCCGGCTGGTCAAAATCAAAAGAACTTTGCAAAGGGCAACGCCACGCCAGATGTTGTCGAGAAGGTGAAGGACAACCACACCGACACGTCACTTCAATACCCAACTGACCAGATAAAGTAGGCCCATCCATGGCACCCCCTAATGCAGTACGCAGAGAGGGGCGATGAGAAGCACGAGCAGCAAGCCAAGTTTTGTGTGTATCCAAAACCGGAAACTTGTTCTGAAATGAAGACCAGTCCATGCTTTTGAGTCTCGGTTCCGAAAACCAAAGGTATTTTTCCCAAGCCAAAATTGCAAAACGACGAATTGTAGCCAAGCCGTCCCAAGCAAGATTCAACGCACCAAAAGGAGTAGCAAACACCTGAGGAGCAACTTGTTGCCACTGCCACTTGCTGAGCACTTCACGGAGCCTTGGGGAAGAAGAAACCCGCGTCCGCAGTGCCTGTGCACTAGGAGACAGTTTCCACAGTTCATGACGAATGACCGAGAAATCCATCACAAACTCAGGATCCAAATGAGCACCAAAATGGCAAGCCCAAAGCAGAAGGCGAGACCTGGATTTGACCGGCGTCATCATAGCACGCTCAATGCAAACACGCCAACGTTGTAAGTTTTTCTTTGAAAGGCCATACCAAGCACCAGTGTGAGAAAACAAAGATAAAACCAATGCACGAATGGCTCTGATCTTTGTTCTAAAAGGAAGTCTCGTAATGCGAATGCGAGCTAACCTCTGCAACACCTGATTCCGAAGGCGATCAGCAAGCGGAGTAAATTTACGCCTGGACAGGTTGTATTGAACACCAAGCAACTTGAAAGAGCCCACCACCGGCCAGTGAATGGCGTACCTGAGCGATGATGATGATGTAATTGACGTGTGGTAACCAAGCACGGGGTTTTCCACACACAAGCTGCTTCACGCAGCCGCAGAATCAGCAGGAAACATCGCCACCAAGTCAGAAGAAGCCTGGCAGAGACGTTCAAGTGCAAAATGAGACCACTTGGCGCAGTGGTTAGTTGAATCCTCACATGATGTGTTCAAAAGAGCTTGCGCAAGGCCAGCAGCGCTATCCGCACGTGCATTGAGTAACCTACAGAGGTTTTCATCCAAATTGTTGTGACGCCAATGTAGTTGTTTTCCATGAGACGGCACCCAATGGCACCGCAATTGTGCATCCTTCAGCACCCGCCACGGTGCCGAATAGAAACATGGCTGAAGAATCCTTTCCCAAAGGCGAAGGACAAACATGCTGTCAGTCAAAAGGTCAAGCTGAATATCCAATAAGTTGGAGACTTTGGCCACAATGCATGCGGCGTACACCTCAGCAGCGCAAGAACAGAGATCCAGTCCCGGCACAACCCCGTGGAATGTAGTGCCACAAGCACAGGCCAAACCCCATGTGGCTCTCCATTTTCCAATGACAGAAGCGTCAGACGCCACCAAGCGAGACGAACAAGCACGAAGATGTTGAACAAGTGTAATGGAATCGCGGTCCAAATCACGTGAAGCCATCGGCGAAGGAAACTGAGCTGCAGACACACTCAACCGCAGTTCACTGTCATTTGCCGGCTGGTCAAAATCAAAAGAACTTTGCAAAGGGCAACGCCACGCCAGATGTTGTCGAGAAGGTGAAGGACAACCACACCAACACGCCACTTCAATACCCAACTGACCAGATAAAGTAGGCCCATCCATGGCACCCCCTAATGCAGTACGCAGAGAGGGGCGATGAGAAGCACGAGCAGCAAGCCAAGTTTTGTGTGTATCCAAAACCGGAAACTTGTTCTGAAATGAAGACCAGTCCATGCTTTTGAGTCTCGGTTCCGAAAACCAAAGGTATTTTTCCCAAGCCAAAATTGCAAAACGACGAATTGTAGCCAAGCCGTCCCAAGCAAGATTCAACGCACCAAAAGGAGTAGCAAACACCTGAGGAGCAACTTGTTGCCACTGCCACTTGCTGAGCACTTCACGGAGCCTTGGGGAAGAAGAAACCCGCGTCCGCAGTGCCTGTGCACTAGGAGACAGTTTCCACAGTTCATGACGAATGACCGAGAAATCCATCACAAACTCAGGATCCAAATGAGCACCAAAATGGCAAGCCCAAAGCTGGCGTACCTGAGCGATGATGATGATGATGATGATGATGATGATGACGATGATGACGATGATGATGATGATGATGATAAGCTTGTAGTGCAGTACCCAAGCGCGGAGTTTCTGCACGAGCAAGGCCGAAAGGCCAAACCTGGACATTAGCAGTTTGCCGAAGCATTCCCCACATGTTGATAGGCAAAGTCTGTCAACCGTTGTGAGGCTTGAAGCATGGTTTCAAGAGCAAGTGTCATCCAGCTCTGTCTCTGTTCCATTTCAACGTCAATAGCTGATTTGTGCATAGTGAGGGCTGACGCAAGAGCATCAGCTTGTTTGTTCAGATTCCTGACAAGGCAGGTATTCAAACTTCCGTGCATCCATCCAGGTTTTTTATCATGAGAAGGTACCCAAGAGCAGGAGGAGCCTTGAAGCATAATGTCACGTAAAACACGCCAAGCATTTTCGAAAAAATTGGGACAAGTTCTTCTATTTCCGAGATTGACTGCAAAGCGACAATCACAGACAATGTCAAACGACCTCGTAGATTCCCGAACAGCCGTAGCAAGCACAGCCAGGGCGTAAACTTCAGCTGCAGGAGCAGACTGATCAAGACCGGGACCAAGTGCAGCGCAAGAAAAGCCACACTGGCAACACACTGCCCATGCAGCCCGCTTCCAAATACCAGCACTAGAGCCGTCAGTAGCAATCACCGGCCTCCGAAAAAGACACGTACGCAAATGCACCAAAAGAGCTTCGGCATCCATCGGCAAATTACGCATCGCAGCAGCAGCGGGAAAGGCCACCGTAGAAACCAGCAGACGCTTTTCAGCTTCATTCTCAGGACCGCGAGGAAGGTGAACACGGTAGGGACACCGCCAAAGGAAATTCTGACGAGAAGGTTTGACTTCGCCACAAGCACAGACAACGTCGACCCCAAGCTCTGAAGACAAAACATGACCCTCTTTAGCAGCCACAAGAGCAGTACGAAGAGAAGGTCTATGCAGACTGCGGTCAGAGTTTAGCCAAATACGATGCACCGGCAACCAAGGAAAACTTGAAATGTTGCTCTCCAAGTCAACCTGAACCCGAGGTTCGGCACGCCAAAGTTGCAACTCCCAAGACAGCACTGCAAATTTCCTAATCGTAGCAGGGCCATCCCATAGCAAGTCCAGGACCCCCCAAGGGGTTTGAAACGTAGAAGGAGACAAAAGCGTCTAATCCCAAGAAGCCAACACCTGGTTGAGACGAGACGAAACACTTGTCCTGTCAATAGCACGAGGAGCCCGAGAAGAGCATTTCCACTGTTGATGTCGAAGAGCCTCGAAGTTTAAGCAACATTCTGGATCAACGTACGGTCCAAGGAACGCCGCCCACAGCAAGAAACGAGACCTGTGACGAACAGGACTCATAATAGCTTTTTCGATGGCAATGCGCCATTGTCCCAAAACTTTTTTAGTCAGAGACTGCCAAGCACCCGACCATGAAAAAAGGGAAATCACCATCATACGGACCGCTTTGATCTTAGTACGACGTGGAACTTCAATAAGTTTGATGCGAGAAAGCCGCCGCAAAACCAGAAGCTGAAGTTTGTCGGAAAGAGGAAAAAAATTCGTTTCGACAAGTAAGTTGTAATGCACCCCCAAAAGTTTGAAAGTTCCGACCACAGGCCAACGAAGTTGGAGATCCTCAGAAACATTGTGCAGAGCCCGCTGTCTCACCACACCACAACCGAAAAACTCGCACTTGTTGCTATGAAAGGAAAACCCAAAGCAGAATCGAGCTGCATGGTCACCTGGATAGCTCGCCGAAGGTCCTCAACTCCTTGCCGTCGACGACACCACAAAGTACGGTCATCAATGTACACCGAAAGTTTAACGTAAGGACTGACCTGCAAGACCGTATGACCCCACATATACATCAAACCAGCAAGCAAGGCAGGGCTGGCACAACAACCCTGCAAAATGCTGCAAGGAGCACGAAACTCCCCAGCAGCCACCGCATCTTTCGTTTCGAATCTCCTGAGCGACTGATCATAGAAAAAGTCTAAAAGATGAAGCACCTCCAACGGGGCCCCCAAATGTCTCCAAATGGCAGTGGCCTGACGAGGAACGACAGAATCAAAACATTTTTGCACGTCCAGTTTGGCTCCAGTGAGCTACCTGTCCGAGCGAAGAGCATCCAAAAATTTCAGCGTGAAGTTGTTCATGGGTTTCACGAATACCACGATTCTTTAAGCCACCCAAAAGATAGGAAGGAAGCCAAGACTCAATCCAAGGTTGTAAGTTTTGCAAAATGGCACTCATTCCAACACGCCAAGCAATGGAAGTGACCGAAATAGGCCACAACGAGCCATCTTCTTTCGGTATCAGCACACATCGGATATGAAGCCAAGGAGTAGGAACACGACCAAGCTGCAAGCACCGGGTCCACAATAAAGCCAAATGGTCAAAAAAGGCATTTGGTAACAAAAGCCACTCAGAAGGACGCCAACCGTCAGCGCCATGAGCCTTGTCCTTTTTCTTGAAGGTGAGCTCCCGCAACATTCCACCTGTAAAGGACAAAGAGTCCTGGAAAACACCCGGAGGGAGTGTGGCCAACCAAGGTTGCACCTCATCAACGGACGTGAAGCTGGGAGGATTCCAGAGTTGTTTCCAAATGTTCTGATGATGTTCCACCTTCTGCTGCGGGTGGATGGGCACTCCGGCAGGTTCATCTGCCTTTTGCGGTTGCCGCCTAAGCCATGAAAACAACTGAGGGTCTGAATTCTGCAATCGATTTTTCCAGGAAGTAAGCCTTCTCGACCTAACACCAGCATTTTCCTCTTCCAGGCACTGCCGAACCAAATCCAAAGAATCAGGATGCGAAAAATCCAGGACTCGAAGACGTTCAAAATGAGGACACAGATCATTCCATCTCCGCCACAAATTGTTGTGCAAGCGAAAGTCAAATTTGCCCAAAGAAGCCTGAAGCTGGAATTCTCGCAAGAGGCGAGAGAGCCGAGTCAACTTGCGCTCTTTAAAGCTCATCAAAGAGGAAGCTTTCTTGTGATTCAAAGGCACCTGAACTGGGCAAGACACATCGCCTTTTACTTTGCCAGAACCTGTTTTAGGCTTCAAAGCCATAAACGCGGTATTAGATAAGACAGACCAAGCCTCATCCAAATCATCATGCAAATGATGGAAAAAGGAATTGCCATCGAAAAGCCGAATCCATTCCTCTTCAGAAACTGCTTCTTGTAACTGCAGTTTAGCAAAAGGATTCTTGCGAAAGCAAGGTTCCAAGCGGCCAATCTGAAAGTCATAAAAAACCAGATCATGGTCAGCGACCCCCTATGGAAAGGGGCAAAATTCACAGTGTGCAGACAATAATCAATATGTCTGCCCCCATGCCGAGTGGAAATCTCGACATCAGGGCCCAGAATGTCATCTCCCAAATGCACAGCACCAGACAGGACAGAAGAAAAAATTGGTTCCTCTCTAGGAGTCAAATTCCAGTCACCAATCAAAATGGAGTCGTTACCACGAGTCAAACAAGATTCAAGTATGGAGGCCGCCAAGTGGGCCGCAGCACGTTTATCACCAGAGTGCAAATACAAGTTGGTCAGCTCAAAAGGGGGAGAGTTGGGCCGATGACCACGAATAGTCATCCACCGAGCAGTGTCGATGCCTGAGGCTTGTTCCAACATCTGCAGAGGCCACCGACTGAGGAACGCAACACCAGCGTAACCGCGTTCAGCTTTGTTGTATGAAGGTGAGGAACAAACAAGATTCCATCCTGCGGAAGCCGCAGCCGACTGAGCCGAAGGAATGGAATGAATGGTGAGATTCGTTTCCTGAAGACAAAGAATATCCAGCCGGAGAGTCAAAGCCAATGCAAGAACCGAAGACAGCTTATAAGCCAACCCTTGAACATTGAGGGTACCAATCCTCAAAAAAGACTCATTGCAATGGGAGCGGTCACCACGCTCCCTATTGTCAGACTTAGCGACCATCATTGGGAGCAAAGTCTTGCACTTCATTTTCAGCATTCAGCTGATCGACCAGAATCTGAGCCTCAGCTCGTCGCTTGCGACTCTTGCCGGCCAACGACCAAATGCGAGTCATGGTCCGCTTACGCATGTGTGCAGGCAAAGGCTTTTCGACACACGGAACCTGGTCGAAGTCTTTGTACTGGGCGCAGATGCGCTTGCACTTCACACAAAAGTCCTTGGTAGCTCTGCAAAATGACTTGTCCAAGAAGGCCTTACGCCTGCCAACAAAGGAGGCGCGGAAGTCACATGGTTCTTTTTCCAAAGCGTCCACACTCTTTTGAATGCGCTTGCATTTCAAACAAATGACATCGTGGCGGTTGGGCCGGACCTTCCACCATTTTGGCCACAATAAAAAGGAAATCTGGTGCACACACCCTTGGCTCTTCGCAATACGCCCAGCTGCAGCTTTGTTGCGCACTGCGGCGTGGGTACGCTGACGTGCAGCAAAACACTTTGCATTTGACCTGAAGTTGAAACAACGGTCGGAAGCTCTGGGGTGCTTGTCCTTCTTGTGACGAAGAATGGCTGATCGCAAGCCGGGGATCCCTGAGCAAGACTGTCGAAGTTCCTCAGAGATACCTAAGTCACACTTAGGACACTTCCAGTATGCATCCTTGGCTGCAACCTTGGTGAGAACAATTGTTTTCTGCAAAGAGGCCTGAGCTTTAAGGCTGGGGTGCCACGCATCAAGGTGAGCCTTCTTTTCAGCATACACATGTTTGGTCTTGGTAGACCACTCACAGTATGGACACTTCCAAACTTCACGGGGGCCTTTGGTCATGGCCGCAGCTGACTGAGTCTTGGTCTTAGGCTGAGGTGCCAGGCCGCGTGAATCATCAATCATCCCATCTAAGTCCGAAGTGCCGTGTGAGGCCCCCAGGGAGGAGACGGCCGACTGCGGCACATGGGGCAAGGCGCTGGATCTGGTCCGAGGAGCAGACTGCTTGTTAAGCGCAGGCAATGCTGACACACGGGTGTTTGCACAGGAACTCTCATCCAAACGCAGAGGCAGAGCTGACAGTCGGGTACCATTCGACCCAGCTTGAGAGCCACCTCGACCACCTTGCAGCGGTCCATTGCGCACTTCACAGGATTGGAGCTCAGCAGGAGGAGTGCCGCTCAACCACCCATAATGGCCTGGATCAGTCGTATACCACAGGAAAATGGTATTCTTCTTGCTGTTTCTGTTGTAAACCTCAGAGTGCATCATGTGAGGACCCAACACTTGGATAGGCCGATCATAGTGGGCAGCAGCAGCCGCGAGTTCGAGAGACCCGGCCCAAGCAAGATTTTTAGAGACCTTGGATGTGTAGTCATCCCAAGTAGTTCCAGCTTTTCCATCAGGATTCAGCCCATCCCACCAACACTTGTAATGGTCTGCATGCCGTTTCATATGAGAAATGACTGAAGTCCTCACAGCCATGTGGGGTTTGGGCTTTTCTGGGCTGATTGCCTGAGCGATGGACTCGAACAAGCAATTTCCTTCAGCAGCGTTAGGAAACGAGTCATGCCCGCAGGCACAGGTCTTTGAAGGACTTTTCGTGGAGGAACCTTGGGAGAGGCGGTTTCCTTCTCCTTCATCTCATCATCTTCATTGTCAAGCTGAGTAGGAGGGACAGTCTGAACTCCGCCATTGCCAGAAGACCTCACCTTTATGTTTCCTCTTGACTGGCGAAGCAGCGTAGAAACTCGTGTGCACTGTTTTCTCACGGTCTCCGTCCTGACCCAAGCCCTGGGGAAAGGACAAGCCGGAGGGAGTCTTTAAAGGTGTTTTCACTGTCCTAGATCCCCTAGCAGGGGCTTGCGCTGTAGCCAAAACAGTGACTTTGTCGAAAGTGAGTTCAACAAAATCCAACTTCTCAGAGCTCTTGGCCATCACAAACAGCGTGGTGGTCTTACCAAAGCTTTTCCTTGATGTCATCTGAACACCCTGCAAACCAGCAGCTTTCATTTCTTTGAGCACAGTCACATGGTCCAAGTCAACCTGAACCCGAGGTTCGGCACGCCAAAGTTGCAACTTCCAAGGCAGCACTGCAAATTTCCTAATCGTAGCAGGGCCATCCCATAGCAAGTCCAGGACCCCCCAAGGGGTTTGAAACGTAGAAGGAGACAAAAGCGTCTAATCCCAAGAAGCCAACACCTGGTTGAGACGAGACGAAACACTTGTCCTGTCAATAGCACGAGGAGCCCGAGAAGAGCATTTCCACTGTTGATGTCGAAGAGCCTCGAAGTTTAAGCAACATTCTGGATCAACGTACGGTCCAAGGAACGCCGCCCACAGCAAGAAACGAGACCTGTGACGAACAGGACTCATAATAGCTTTTTCGATGGCAATGCGCCATTGTCCCAAAACTTTTTAGTCAGAGACTGCCAAGCACCCGACCATGAAAAAAGGGAAATCACCATCATACGGACCGCTTTGATCTTAGTACGACGTGGAACTTCAATAAGTTTGATGCGAGAAAGCCGCCGCAACACCAGAAGCTGGAGTTTGTCGGAAAGAGGAAAAAAATCGTTTCGACAAGTTGTAATTTTCGTTTCGACAAGTTTTCGTTTGGCGTACCTGAGCCGACGTTCCGAACGAAGTGGGGATAGGTAACAGCGAAGTCGCTTCAGAAGTTGAACAATGCTAGATACATATGTATCATGTTTATTTATGTATAATATACAGTGTATATATATATATTATGTATTATATGTTGTACTGTATATTATATATATATGATAGTCAATGGGGTTTAGTAGCTAGCAACCAAGTTGTCAACCATTGATGATGATGCCTTCAAGGCCTTCGAGGACGCCGGGCTACCCTTTAAGCGAAAATCTGATTGCAAATCTCTATGGTTTTGGGGATAAACAAAAATATGGCTTTCCTATGGGAAATCCCATACAAAGACATCTCAAATCAATCTCAAATAAATTCAAAAAAATCAAAATCAAACCATTGTCTCCTCCTAGGCCTCCAATTTCCTACCCTACCTGCCCTGGTAGTGCAACAGCCTTACCATCCGGGCCGTGCTGTATCTGCATGTGATCTTCGGCTGGTGTGAAACAATAGAAAAACAAATAGCAAGAGTCGCTATCATCACTGTCTGTAATAAGTAATAACATCCAGCTTCAACCAATATTGCCAATATGCATGATAAATGCAAATAACAATCGTCATAAATAGTAGTACTGTAGTACTTTTGATAACAATAATGCTAGTAATAACAAACATATTAATATAAATAAGCAATTTCAGAATAGTAATGGCAACACCAAAAAGAACATTTGACATCCCGTTCGAGTGTCTGGATTTCCCCTTCGAGAACTCCAACATCCAAAGTCCCTGGGTCCCAGGTGCTTGTATGCCAGAGATCTTGTCATGATACCCTCAGCAGGCACCGATCGAATCCTACTCTGGGGAACGTGCTTGAAAACATGTCGGAAAAGAATAGATGGAAGAAGTGCTTGAAAACACATGTAAAACAATGTAAAACAATGTAAAAGCGAGAAAACCCGGTCGGAAATCGTGGCTTGAATACCATAATCTAGCTGTTTGAAGACCACAGCATCTATTTTATGGTCATTCAATGTCAGTCCATTTGTCATTGAGGTCAGGTCAAGTGTACCACACAAGACTGCAAGAGTGGTAGAGAGAGACCCTTGCCATAGAATCTAGAGACCTTTCACAAGACCCTAAGTTGACAGGTGTGGAATCTGGAAAAAAAAATCTGGTTGAAATGTAATGTGTTTACAGTGACCTCTCATTCACCTTGCGGTTTGCCATGATTTTGAATATTAAATTCATGTGCTTGCTTCTTGAACCCCCATTTCTGAAGCACTCCAAGATTTAATTTACAAGCAATTTTGGTGCTAACAATTGACGGTTTTTGGTTAAAACACGTAAACCCACCATTTTTTGCTGCGAGAATTTGTTTGACAATTGTCTGCATCAACCACCATGTGGCATGCATTTGTTCTGAGTTGATGCTTCGCCACTCAACCATTGGATTCTAGTTAGAAGTAAATAGATGTGATTAGGGTGAAAATATGTGAACATCACATATGAACAGTTCTAATGGTTTCATAGCTGCATATTGAACTGTAGTTCTTAATCACATCTCATGTCAATGGGAATTTCAGGATCTTAAAGTGGAGGTACTGTACCATATTTCTGGCCATATTTTGGGGGTATATCCCCTTACATAGGCCTTACATACGTAGGCCTTTAAAAAATGATAGGTACCTCCAATAAATCGGTTCCTGAAATGGCCATTGGTTTTTTAAATAAATCATCATATATCATCTATAAATGGAACATGTTCCATGGCTATGTTACTTCTACTCACATCTCATGTGAAGATCACCATTAGTCAATAATCATGGCCGCATGGCTTTACCCATCTTCTCACCAAGGTGCCGCTTCCGAGATCCAGGTGACCTCGTGCTCGCTGCTGCCCGCCCAGAACCAGAGACAGGCGATGATGTGATTGACCTCGGAAAATGGATGGAAAATCCAAGACGTGTTCGACGTGTCCCATGAAAAATTGGCATTTCAAGTCATTTCATATGGGCAAATAGATGGAAACTAGTGTTTTTTTATGGATGATTGGTTGCAAACACTGATGTGAAGCAGCGCGATGTTTTGGAAATGAACAATGAATTTTTATCCATATAGCCCACAATGTTATCAGTTCTCTTTTTTTGGCTCGTCTGAACATAGCGTACCAGTACTCCAAAATTGAATAAATTCGATAGTTGATCATCGTTCTCTGGACAAAACTGACCGTATTGGGGGTGTATCACATACTCTGTCACTTCTCCATATATGATAATCATGTTGACTGGCAACCCCATCAACAAAACCCAGAGTTGGTTTTCGCAACAGCTGCCAGTTCACACTTATCTTCCACAAAAAAAGGGGCTGGGAAATTCCCCCCAAAAAAATCTCTTGAATGGAGGTACCCTCCGGTAAATTAACATTTTGCTAATGGAAACTCATCATTTTTAATGGGAAAGCTCACTATTTCTATGGCAATTTTCAATAGCTATGTTAAATTACCAGAGGGTATTGACAGGAAAATCAACAAATCAATGAGATCTTTTGAGTTCCAGTCCCCGGCGGCTGCTCATTGCTTTCCGCATCCCCATTCTCAAAAGAGGCCCGAGTTGATGCCAACATATTGGGGCGTCAAACAGGCTTCCCCCCCCCCCCTTTAAAAAAAAAAACAACAACAACAGCAACAGCAACAGCAACAACAACAACAGCAACAACAACAACAACAACAACAACAACAACAACAACAACAACGGTCGACCTGTCAACGTACGAGGGGCACAAAGTATCAGACCAAGCAGTTTCACAATCCCAACCTCGGCGAAGTGGAAAATATCCCCTGGTTTTTTTATCCAAAGATGATCGAAGAAAAATTCTGGGCACTTCCATAGCCATGTTAAATACTGTATTTCCATGATCATTATTTCCATGAAGACAAAATACAGTATTATGGAGTATTAAATATTAAATTTATCCAATACTGTATTTCCATCTTGGAGTATTAAAACTGTATTTCCAATACTGTATTTTCATGTTAAATTTCCATCATGGAGTTTTGGCTTCAATTCCATGATCTCGATAAATATATCATGGTCGGGGATCAAAACATATCGTCCAAGTTGTGGAACGGCGAAGGAAATCTGGGACTATTTAGAAGTAGCCTCCGGTAAACTCATCGGTGTTGAACACATGCTGTCATGGATTATATTGCAATATGGATATTATAGTAGTACTATATACTATGATAATTATCAATTTACTAAGCCTCCTGTAAACTAACATAGATGTGGAGAAACCACTATGAACGCAGATCATTTTTTCGAACAGGAATGTGTTGGCGCATGGTCCCTGTCTGAAGGCCAGTTCACCGCAGTCCAATTGTAACGCTGTTCACACCAAAAAATGTCAACAATTGGTTGAGAATAGGATTCCCCAAACTCAAATTTCGATGATGGATATATGTGGATCATTGGTTCCAAATGTCAATGATTGTGATATTCCCTTAGTATGGGATTATTGGTTAGTCAAATCCACGCACTGATCATCAACCAACCGGAGTTAATTGCCTCATCCGAATGGTTGCAAAACAAAGTGCTACCCCCTCTCCCCAATGAACATAGCCCCGGGGGTTATTAGGCTGGGGTCCACATTAAAAATTATATATATGTTGTCTCTATGCTTCTAGGACAGTTTCCCATGAAGAGTGGCTCCATTTACCCCAAGGCCCTCCAGTACGGGCCACGATAATTATACAGTGCTCCGAGTGGATTGTGTCCAGCAACTCCTGCCGTGGCAATTCGGCGAAGAGTTGATTGAAAAACCATAGAATTTTGAGCCAGAAATGATGATGCTTACCCTCTGGTAAACTAACCTTACCCTCTGGTAAACTAACATAGCTATGGAAAATCACTATGTTTAATGGGAAAATCCATTGTAAATGGCCATTTTTAATAGCTATGTTAAATTACCAGAGGGTAAAATTGAATGACGTTGGAACATGTTGGAACTATTTCCACAGATTCGGAATTAACCACTGATGTGGAGGTCGTTTCATGAACCCTGCGTTTTGAGATTTTACACCCGACTCCAGCCTCGTCAATGGGGGACACTACTAGAATACACGAGACATTATTGCGAACCTTTAGATATTTTTCAACAACGTAGTTGGATATCATATGAGATACTGTATACCTGCCTTTTCAATCCTTTCCAATCCTTTTCAGCTATTCTTAGATACTTGCCGGTAAGTAAAGCATCGTGTAAAGCTGTTCTTCAACCGAACCAAGGTAGTTTACTGAGATGCCATGATTAAGAAAAGAAAAACTGCTCAATCCCATAGATTTTGCAAATGGATGAATGGATCAAATCAAACCACGCCAAACCAACGCAAACTAACAATAAAGATATATAAGATATATATGGCAGTGTGTCAAAACCTTGTACCCCTGGTGAACATCAAAATAGCTGGTAAATGGATGTTCATCCCCCTAAAAATGGTATTAATAGGTTTTGACCAATACCCATATATATATACCATTATATACCCATGTACAATACATACATTTCGTGTTTGTGACAAAAGCCCCAACACTTACTGTGGATGGTCGCAAAATCCGATAAACCACCAAAAGGATGGTTGAAACTTAAACCCAATAGTGGGATAAAACATCTATCAACTGGTAATTTGTTACATAGCTATTGAAAATGACCATTTATAGTGGATTTTCCCATTAAAAATGGTGATTTTCCACAGTTACGTTAGTTTACCAGAGGGTATCAACTGGTGCTTCGGATTTCTTTCATCCACAGTAAGTTGCAACCTGCTTTTCCCTTTCACCGACATAAAAACCATAAAAACCTCTACCACCTGGAGTTGTCGTCTGTGTCTCAAAAAAAACGGATTCCCATGACTCCATGCATCGTTCTCACCATTACAATGGCCATAAAGTCGGGGCCCATCCGGCCCATTCTGAGACACAACAAAACAGATAAACAGAATGTACCATGTACTGTTAATATGTATTGTTGATTGTATCCCGTGAAAAATCCCCATCCCCGTTCTATCCCCATGGAAAATATCCCAATGAAAAACCTGGTGGTTATTTCATATGTTAAAATTCATCATACCACCTGCATCCCACCATTCATCCCACGAAACGGTTCAATTTGTTTCCTCATTTGGAACATACTTTCTATAGTGATGACCGATATCCACCGTCATTAAAACTGCTAGGTCTTACGTATTCAATTCCTATAAATTAACACACACACACCTAGGATCCTATGCATATTATATATATATACATTACATGTGTATATGCATGGATATTCATCGGGTACAAATTTGTGTCCAGGGCAGATTTTGGTGTGATTTCCGTCCATTCTCTTTTTTCATTTCAAAATAAAGATGACCATTCCAAAAAAAAAACAATGACCACTTCTTTTCATGCTTCAGTCGGAATGTGAAGTCCGCCATATAAAACCGCCCGGGAATTCCTGGGAATTTCCGGAAAAATCTACACATTGAAAAACGCAAAGGGAAGTTTTTGATCGGCCCCTTGAGGTGCCAAATACAAAAAAAGTGACAAAAAGGCGACATGTCCTTCACAAGAAATCCGCAAGAAATCAGGGCAGATCTGATTTTTTTGCAAACGGATATATTTTTTGTGTCCCTTCGATCCAGAAAAAACAAAGCATATGACCTATACATCACCTATTAATCACCTATATAATCTATGATTAGATATATATATATATATTATTTCAAACTTTAGCCTCTTAACCTGTGGGCCTTGCGGACCGTGGAGGGAACTATGGAAGGGACTATGGAAGAAACCAGGGCAATAAGGATATCTTATAGAAGGTGATGTTAGAAACCATGTCAAAGGAATATTAGCAAACTTTCGAAGAGGTAAAGAAACAAAACAATGCACACAGCGAGGACACATCCAGATTCATCAATCTGGGTTTGCACTCAAAGTCGTGAAGTACTTGACCAAAATGGAATTTGTATTGTGGGCCGGTGATGAATTCAGATAACAAAAACTTGCCATGGATACTTTATTTCTATCTGATCCACAGTCTATAGATATAAAATTTTGATTGTGAGATTGGGGTGAACTTATGTTTCGTTCTTTTTTTGAAGACTAAATCTACTTTGGCATTCAATTAGATGCAAATAAAATTCTACTTAGGCGTCACAAACTGACGCCTAAGTAGAATTCTATTTGCGCCAGACAGATTATGCATTCCAAATTCTAGTCTGGGGCGGTTTGAAGACATAATTCATAATGTACTTGGGCGCAAAAAGAATTCTGCTTAGGCGTCACGAACTGACGCCTAAGTAGAATTCTACTTGCCCCTAAGTAGACCAAGTCTTCCAAATTCTAGTCTGGGGCTGTTGGAAGACATAATTCATAGTCACAATCTACTTAGGCGCAAATAGAATTCTAGTCTGGGACAGTTGGAAGACATAATTTATAGTCATAATCTACTTAGGTGCAAATAGAATTCTAGTCTGGGCTGTTGGAAAACATAATTCATAATCAACCTAGGCGCAAATAGAATTTTGCTTAGGCCTCACAAACTGACGCCTAAGTAGAATTCTATTTGCGCAAAAGTAGATTACGCATTCCAAATTCTAGTCTGGGGCTGGCATTGGTCTGAAAATATGGTTTGCTCTTTCTTCAAGATGGGAGATATACTCAGGCGACAGAAACAAACGCCGAAGTGGAATTCTATTTGCAGCTAATTAATTTTCCAGTGTGAGACTGGGCTAAATTGAGTTTTGGTTACTTAACAACATTGCCCCAAATACTTGAAACCTTGAATAAATACACAACCCGCATACAAATAGTGGGTTTAATTTGTGATGCTGCATTTGTTTGAGGGAAGATTCGGGCGATTTAAGCGAAATTGGAGAAATACTTAGGTGGAAGGAACAGGCGCTGAAGTCGAATTCTATCAATATGTAATTTCAATTATTTGGAAGGCAGTCCATGTGTGTTTGGGCGCGCTAAGCTGGCTTCTGCAATGTGTTCAGGCTGTTGGGATTATGTGACTTCCCTTTTCAAAAAAAGAACCAAGGCAATGTTGATTGTTGGCTGCATTCCCATTGCTGTCTTGTTCCCAACCAGTTCTGGACTGGATCAAAAATATGCAGTAGCGGTAGCAGTGCTACATCCAGGGCTATACTGCTGTTATATATTTTGTCACTCTGGCAAGACTGTTACTACCGTGCTACTACCCATACAAGAAACAAACTATATTGTATAATATAGCTGCCAATAATTTCTTGGACCATGATTTGATACTTTTCAGAATAATTATATAGCGCTAGCGGTGAGGTTCTTGAGGGTGATGATGGGTTACTTTCAGGTTGGGACTAATGCATCCGGAATGGCTCAACCTTGTCCGTGCCTTCCTACTCCCGGGATTCTTGGCACAGAGAACCAATCTACGTGACAATTTTCTTAGCGCAGAGGTCTCCAGAACGGTTCGGAACGGTTCTGCAGACCTCCAGAACGGTTCGGAACGGTTCGGAACGGTTCTGCAGACCTCAAGTTTGCACGGAGATATTTCTCCACAGCTTCCAGCCCCCCCAAAAAACGGTCAAAACCTTCCAAAGAGCCGCCCTGTGGCTCCAAGGGCCGAGGCTACAAGAGAAAGGGGTCAGAAAAACGACAAAGGGAAGGGAACTTCTCCGCCTAAGTCTTTGAACAGGCAGTGCAAAGGCATGCTGAGCACAAGGGAGAAGGTGAAACTGGATGTAGACTACAAAATGCTGGAAGTTTCTCAGCTGTTTGTTCATGGAAGGCTTGGCTTTCAAAATCTTACCTGTCTTGAAAACTGTTCTGTGGAATCTTTTCTAACATAGTCAAAATATGTTATTATGTAGTCAAAATATGCTATTATATGGAAGTCTCCGGAACCGTTCCGAACCGTTCTGGGGTCTATAGGCTTGGAATCCGGAACCGTTCCGGAACCGTTCCAAATAGTTCTAAATAGTTCCGAGGTTTTGGAAGTATCCGGAACCGTTCCGAACCGTTCTGGGGAAATCTCCGGAACCGTTCCGAACCGTTCTGCAAACCCCAAATAATGGCTTATGTGTTAACTTGCTTTTATACTTGTATACCGTATAACTTGATAAAACCGAATATACGCACTTGTCGCTTATAGCTACTTTGTAAAATACAACTCATAATTTATAACTCTTGACTATCAAACTTCAATAAATCAATTTATGAGGTTTAGGATCTGTTTTTAAATTGAAACACATTGTTATAACTGTTAACTTACAACTTAGAGCTTCTAGTTATGACTTGACGCTACAAACTGTGTAACTTATGACTTCGTAACCTTTTAACTTTGAATTTACAACTTATAACTAAAACTGAGAACCTTTAACTTGTAACATAACTTTGACCTTACTTCTCGATTTGACTCCAACTGTTTAACTTTATAAGTATATTTTTGATTATGATTTTATATAAGACTGTTTGAGTTTTTAGATGAATTATATGTTCTTGTTTGTTCGTGTATGTTTGAAAGTTTGGAAGTATATCTACCACACTTGTTGACAGGGTTTGTTTGCATAAAACGCAACAATAAAGTTTAAACGTTGTATTTGGATAACATAACATATTTATAATGATTGTAATCTATTACTGCAACACTGCTACGGACCAATGCACAACAACGTAGCGACAGAAATACAGTAACACATCTTTGATCTTCTACAAATACGCAAGGGAACACAAATTAAATCCAGTAACATTCCGTTTGCAGTTGATAAATTTGTTTCACCATGTTTTACCTAAGTTTTACCGTGGTCTTCGCAGCACCGAAAACAATGCTTAAAAGCTGTGGATTTGCATTTGCAGTTCATCCACGCACATGAGCACACAGCCATACATACACTCATGAATGCACTAGTTAACCAATTTTACGGTATACAGGGTCACACCGTAATATTGTTTTCATGAGTTCTATTTTTCTAGTTGGAGATTGCGCACATGCATTCTTTGGTGTTCTCCTTTTTGAAGAAATATGGGGCCCCGAATTACATAGATGTTGTATATTGTTGTATACTGTTTTCCTTTCCAACTACGAAGTTTGTATGTAACATCTAATTTGATGTTGAAAGGCTTTTTGTCCAAGAACGTGGAGCAATGTGTTTTTCTTTCAAAGTGGTGGGTTTCTTCATTGGGTGACATTTTTATTGGAAACACCCCTTATTTCCATGGATTGCTACATAGTTCTTTCCATAGTTCTTTCCCTGGACATTTGAAATCAACAGGAATCCAAATTTAAGAGACTAAGGTTTGAAATAATATATATATATATATCACCCATGAATCATCAAAGCTGGTCCATAAAAAATTGATGTTTCTGACAGCCGTTGATCTCCTGCAAGATGCCGCCGCCCTTCAGGACGCGGATCAAGCGAAAGACCCTCAGCACCCGTACGCCTTTGCCCAAGCGCAGTGCGCTGATGCCTGAAGCGCTGGGAGAGCTCTTCGCTGGGTTTCGCTGGGATATATCAATGGGAATTTCAGGAACCGATTTATTAGAGGTACCTACCACTTTTTTAAGGCCTTTGTTTCAGGCCTATGTAAGGGAATATCACCACAAAATATGGTCTTATATGGTACAGTACCTCCATTTTAGGATCCTGAAATTCCCATTGAAAATATCGATGGTTAACCGGTTAACCACTGATGTTCATCATGGAGAATCCTTCGTGGCTAATAATGGTTTATCACTGGGGAAATGCAATGAATTGGGATATGAATCATGGGATAAATCGAGAAAAACATGGGATATTTATGGAATACCATGAGGATAGGCAGATACCATGGGATATTCATGAAACAGGGATACCATAACTTAACCAACTATTCTTGCCGATTTGGGATATGAGAAGTTGGGTTTAGCCTCCAAAATGCTGGTATAATCGGGATAGAATGGTGATATTAATAGTCATGGGATATTTTATCATAGTGCAGCACTGAAATGAAGGTTTAACCAACAACAATTGAGATTTAGAGGGATATGATTGGGATATCATGAGATAATAATTGGGATACTAATGGGATATCATCCGGTGTCGTCAAACATGGCTAGCTGGAAAATACCCAAACAGAATGGGCATCTTATCTATGCATATATCTATATATGTACATATGTATAAATGTATATATCTATATATGTATATATATGTATATATATGTATACATGTTACATGTATATAATAAATAATATGTATGATTAAGTGCGAACGGAAGAAAATAGTACCTAAAGTTGTCTGTCATTCATATATGGGGATATCATCGAGCTCGATTGGCAATTTGCCATTGCGTAGTTGGTGATTACCAAAGCTAGATATGGTGATGTCACCCTGTCTAGATATCCTCTTTTCGTGTCATGGGGAATCATCTTCTGTCTAGATATGGGATCATGACGTCACTTTAGTTGACATCCCCCAGCTTCCAATTCCGCCACCTCCGACGTTCTTGGTGTTGTTGACCTTTGCAATGGGGGGAGCAGGGACTCACAGGCACTTTCATACACGATGACCTTTAACGAAGGAAACAGCCAGGGCCAACAAAAGCGTCATTGGATCATAATGATCATAGATGCTAGCTTCATCATGGTTCACCTGAAGAGACAAAAAGAGACAAATGAGCCCAGCACACTGAGTTAGGACTGTTACATTCCCTGTAACTCTGCGCACGTCTCCCAGCGGTCGTCAAGTCCTAGTCCCAGCGGTCAGGTCACAACTTCCATGATGTTCAGAACCCAGTCGACCGACACCACCAGGAGGTCAAACCAGAACCAGCCTGTCGCGGTGTAACATGTCGTGCTGTGAAGATCTCGCATGTAACATGACATATAATTCATATACATATGATATGATATGATATGATATGATATGATATGATGATGTGCATATATATATATGTATGTATGTATGATGGATGGATGGATGGATGGATGGATGGATGGATGTATGATGATGTATGATGATGTATGATGATGTATGATGATGTATGATGATGTATGATGATGTATGATGATGTATGATGATGTATGATGATGTATGATGATGTATGATGATGTATGGATGTATGGATGTATGGATGTATGGATGTATGGATGTATGGATGTATGGATGTATGGATGTATGGATGTATGTATGTATGTATGTATAGTTACATATATGTGTATTTTAATATTGGTTCCCGTCAAAATCCATTACATCTCAGTAGTTACTATTATAATGGTTGTCGCTTTTGGAGGGGGCCCAATCGCTTTACAGAGTTTCGTGCACATCTGACAAAAGTGTTTCTGCAATACTACAGTGGTCTTCAACCATTTTGACCGTGACTCATATGGAGTTTTCCTAAAATGGGGGTACCCTTATATCATCCATTTTAATAGGATTTTCCATTATAAACATGTATAAATAACCATCCATTTTGGGTTATCCCCAATTTATGATTATTTATGGAACCCCCCATATCATAATATCTTATTTCACAGATGTTCAACCTAGAAAGTCAGCTATTCAATGTAACAACCGGATAAAAATGACAAGGGTTGATTACTCTGGCGAGTTCCCCAATCGTGATCATTTGGTAAGTGGTACCGCTGGAGTAAACCCCCTAACGATCAACTGTCCAAGTTTGTTATTGCAAACCAGTTCTAACATCAAATCACATCCCTTCCCCTGTTGTCATGCTATAAATAGATCCATAATAAACCATATAAATCAGCATGTCTGCTAAGAAATCCCCCAAAATCTTCAACCAAAATCTCCAACGACAAAACTCCAACCCCTGGCCCCTCATTGCGGCCCCGAAAAGCAAAGGCCAAACGCTGGGACCTCGCAGGTAGATCCTCGCGATCTTGCGGACCTTCATCTCGAGGATACCCTGCCTGGTCCGACAGATGGATTGTGTTTGGAAAATCCAAAAAGGTTGGTTTTTTGTTCGGAGATTTTCATGGACTTCCATTGAAAAAACACCACAAACCAAGCATTTCCGACAAAAATGATGAAAGTGTTGTTGAGGAGATATTGGATATCTATCCTCACCAAAAGAAACGGGCTTTCCTGTAAATGTTCCCATCCTGGGGTTGTAAGCATGAACCCTACAAGCCCTACCTGTGGTGCATTTGGGATTTGAGGTTATTGATACATAAAACCCTTGCAATTATTGTCCTGCTTGGGTGGTTTCAACCCCTCTGAAAAATCTTAGTCAGTTGGGATGGTTATTCCCAATATATTATGGAAAATAATCCAAATGTTCCAAACCACCAACCAGTACCCATATGTTGAGATATTACTCCCTACTATGGAAACACATATCATTATCCACCAACATCTGGTGGACACTCCATTGATCCATAAACATCCCGCCGGGTTGGAAATGGGCCGAGTAAAAACAGCATTTTCATGTGACTGGCAAGAAGTCAATCATGCGTTTCGCGGTGTTTTTTCATCCATGAAGGTCAATTCTATTGTGATTTTGAATTCTCATTGGGATTTACTGTATATAGTTGACATGTCGGAGTGCGAAAAAGGTTCCTTTTGGGAAGTCAGCGTGCCCAAAACCTCAGCAGCAGCCATTTTTTCCGGTGATCTCTACATCTTCGCTAAGTACGCACCTGTTTTCTCCAACAGGGCTTTTCCAACTACATTTGCCTCCCATCGCCACTGCCATGTGCGAACGTACGTCCAAATGAGGTCATTCAATTTTTGTTCGTTTTCTGGGCAAGATGTCAACTGATCGGGAACACTGGCTTTGATCATACGCCAGCACGAGTCGATGGTGCCAGTATGAACCCACCCCACCCCTGCGTGACGTGACACATCTTCAACGTAGCATGACCTATGTGCGCACGTGCAAGTGAACGTGCCGTGGCGTAACATCATGGGAGTGCGCAAGTACGTGAACGTTATTACCCCACCCCACCCCAAGGAACATATAAACAAATGCCTAAAACGCTCGGACGGTTTTCAACCCGTAGGCATAAACATCAAGGTATCTTGTCGTGGTGATGACCTGAGAGCCTGAGATCGAATTTAACCTATCTGTGTAGAAACGACGGCCATTTGGGGATGATTCCCCTTCCTAACCACAATATATGATGGCGTGGAAGCGAGTTATTACTTCTCTAGACTGATTAGATATTTGGTTGAAATGTTAGCATGATTGGTGGAGAATATATATATATAAGTGTTACTTCATAAGCATTGAAGGAATATAGTTCGGTGGCTTCAGCATCAAAACGACGGGGTATAGCATGATATAGCTTCATATAACTCATCTGTAAAGGAGATCAATCATGGGAATACATGGTTAGTTGATGAATTGCAACGGATTGGTGATTTGAACCAGTCCAAAGATCAGGCAATAATGGGGATACAGTATCAATATGTATCAATCAAGAATCAAAATTCATTTGGACCAGAAAATCCAATGTGGCGTGTTTCTTCTACCCTATGGCAACTGAACTCACTTGCCGTGACTTGCCTTTCGAATGTGGTGATTTGTGATTTTTTTGGGTTTCTTGCAAACTGGAGACATTCACATCCCATGAAAAGAAACACGGTGAGTTGTGCCCAGGTCGGAAACTCAACAATCTCAACATAGTGCAATGGATCTACCTTCACCATTCATCAACATAGCCGTAGACCCTGAGCATCACTATTTTGTTTAGTGGAAACTCATCTTCCAACCCTTGTTTAATAATTTGGCAAGGTCTCTGTTAATTTGGGGGAGTGTAGATACCCAAAAAAAAGCTCGCACCCATATTATGACAAGAAACCAATACCCAACAAACATCAACAAACTACTTAACTCCAGTTACCCTCTGGTAAACATACAAAAAGCTATTGAAAATGGCCATAGTTATAGTGAGTTTTCCCATTAAAAATGGTGGATCTGTCCGTAGTTTTTCGTAAACGCTTACCAGGCCGGGTAACTCGAATTCACCCAGACTTCCCGCAAATGATGTTCAGCTCCAGGGATATTGCAGATATCCCCGAAGAATATCATGCCCTCATCCCTACTGGAGCATATTGGGCGTATTGGAACATGAACGAAAGTGGAATGATTAAATTGGAATTTCCCAAAAGATATTTCAAGAGAAGAGATGTAAAAACATGTTCACGCTTTCCTTTCTCTAAATGTACTGGATATTGTGTATATATATATATACCAACCCATCCCTTCCTCCAAAAAAAGCCGATTCCCCCATCCACCCTTCGCAAAAGCTCCTGATGTTGCCCACCAAGAAGGACATTGGGATGTCCACCAACCAATAGACACTGCTGGTCCAGCCTGGGCCACCATGGGGTGAACCACCGGTGAACTGGACTCACTCGAAACGAACAAAACGATGTGGAAAACCAAGGGTTTTTAATGGTTTTTGATTTACAATTGATCGATTTCACGGATTTTACATATCCATAGATCATTGTCATATGGCTGTGTGTCAAAACCTTGTACCCCTGTAGTTCACATCAAAATAGCTGGTAAATGGATGTTCATCCCACTAAAAATGTATCTATAGGTATTGACCCATACCCATATGTGTTTACAATTGTTCACATGTATCATTGTGCATCCACGTCGGCTGACTTTACTGCAGGATAATAATGAAACACAAAGTTTGTCCTGAGAAAAAATTTAGTCCAAGCAATTTTGGGAAGCATGGGCAACTCTTCCGAACGAAATTTCTGAAGTGGGGAGGCAGAAGTTTCGTGTGACCTACTTGGAACATGTGTATACAGTATAGTATATATTATGTATATAGACACACACTCACGTAGGAAATGATTAATAATCATCATAACCATTATTGCAACAATAACAATAGTAGTAAGAAGAATAAATACGACCACCAATAGTAAGAGCAACAATAATACAGCACTCATTAGAACTTTATCGATAGTCAATCCACAAGTGTAATATAGTGTAATCGTATCATTGCACAGTCTTTCTTCCCAATTCCCTGATTTGCTGCCAACCAGCAATAAGTTGTCTCGGATGATTTGCTTGTGAAAATCGCTACGTCGCCATTCAGTATCTGACACATCATGAAATGAAATCTGGGGACTTGTCGGAAACTGCGTAGCCTGCAATTGCGAAGGATGTTCACTATCTTCAACCGAATGGCAATCCAAATTGGGTACTGTACCCCCAATTCGATTATTTCCAACTTGCGTTATCAGATAATTATCACAAGTTTCAAGGTTAGGTTTTGGTAGTTTAATATTCAACATTGTAGTCTGTGGCATTCTAAGATGTTAGTGCCACACTTCAATACTTAAATCTTTGATTTTCAACATGATACCCTGGTATATATCCCCATAATCTGGACATGTATATATATGTATATATATATATACACACATACACATAGATATGGAAGCTTCGTAAAATGGAGGTACCCCTAAATAAGATTCTTCATTATAAATCACCCATGTTTGCGTCCTCGCATTTTAAGAAACATGAATTTTTCGCCAGGTCACCCATGACTTCGGTGAAGGTATTCACCGGAGGGTCAAAGACCTCACCAGCACTTGGGGATGAATCAAATTTGGGCGAAGCAAATTTGGATGGCTTAATTTAATATGGCTTATGTATATGTCCATATATATATATGTATACATATGTATACAATTATATATGTATATAATTATATATATAGACATATGGGTAATTGTACCCGATGGATCCTTAAATATTTTCTGAGAAGGTAATTGGCAACCTGAATTATACCGTATAAGACTCCCTCAGAAGGTACTTCGATCAGGAGGGATGTATAGTATCCTACGCTAAAAGTTGGCAACGAATCTGTGGGTCAATAGGTCGACCGAATGGTGCTCCCAGGCTTAGAAAAAAGCCAGTCTCACTTTGGGGTGGCGATCTTGTTGCGAGGTGATCGCGCAGGAGAAGACCTACTACCCCAAAATCCAAAAATCATACTCGATTGGGAGCATGCTCGGATACAACATGGACAAATTGTCTTAGAAACATCTTGAAAGAACCAAGTGTTTTGCAATTTTCTCAAGGCCTAAGTCCTTCAACATAAATAAAACAGCATTGCCAGAAACTCTTGGCAAAGATAGATAGTAATAGTCATAGCAATGATTAATATGCATGACATTAGTCATATTAAAAAAAAAACGTATTTATGATACGTTTGCCTAAAGATCAACCAGTCAACTCCGTCACGGCCTGCATGGGTAGCCAAAAGAGGTCGTAAATGATCAGGACCAGGCCAAACACCTGTCGAGATGATACGAGAGACCCACAGAACCTGGTGAATTCTATCGTTTCTATACGGTTTATCTATGTTTATGGGGGATATTTCTGGGGCATATTACATGATATTACTAAAGTTCATGGGGTTTATAAACCATCTTATTACATCTTATGACTTAACAAACTTCTTGGTGGTTCAGATATCCATGGAAAATGGGGCTAGAATGTCAAACATGGCCCTACGGCATTATTTAAGGGGAACTCTCCAACACAAATCAATCCATAACTAATGAATGGCTGTTGTTTTGTTAAGAAAATACAAATCATTATCCCATGTGGTTGAAAGTCAAAGATATTTGACAAGAACTGCCCTATTCTGCAACCCAAATGACATAGAGAAATCACCCACCAAACTCCAAAAAAAGGGTTCCAACGAAAATGGGTGGTAGATCAAGCCCTGATTCCTGGCCCCAGTTTTTGCCATGGGCACCTTGGAAACATTAAGACATTGCAACTTTCATGACGGGGATCCAAAATTTGAAGCTGGTTTTGTGAAAAATCCGAAGTCCTTCCAAATGTGCTGACCTAATCATTTTCTGGATTCCAAAAAATCTTCAGACTCATCATTGATCCGATTATCCAGTAATCATGAACCTAATCATCAAAAAGTGTGACTCTCAAATTCTGCCCTTGGCTGGATTTCTTCCCATTGAAATTCCCCTGTCACTTGCAGCTATGGCAACAATCAGCAACCATCATTTTCAGCATCCTTTCGAGGGTCAGGGCCTTTCAGCTCGACCAGAGTTGTGATGATTCTTAGGCTTTGCAAAATAGGAAAGCACCTACCATCTGGTTATTTAACATAGCCATGGAAAATGGCCCATTTATAGATGGTTTACCTGGGTTTACCTATTAAAGATGGGGATTTTCCATGGCTATGTTAGTCATAACCAGAGGGTAAATCTAAAACATCAACACTGGTGCTTCACCAGCATTTTCCCCATCAAAATCGCTGGTTTTTGTTGAAGGCTACCCGGCCTGGTAAACGTTTACACCACTAACTATGGAAAGATCCACCATGTTCTAGCTGGCTAGTCATCAACTATTTCGACTGGGCCATGTTCAATAGCTATGTTAATTTACAAGAGGCTACTTGAATGGTTCCTGAGTTCTATACCTAAATGATTGGAAATAAAAAAAAAACGTCAACTATTTCGACTGGGCCATTTTCAATAGCTATGTCGCAGCTATGTTAGTCATTACCAGGCCGGGTCTACTCCGCTGTCCCATTTTCAGACAGAAAAATTCCAGGGGGTTTTTCTCATCTCCAGCCTCGAAGGACATGCGTTTCCCGCTACTGGGGTCCAACACCAGCCTCGCGGTGTACAGTCGGCGATCCACTCGTCTTCCAGAAGAGTTATATATGTCAAAGTCATGTGTGAGGATGCACATCTATGTGATTGATGATGATTTTGTGATGATTTATGGATATCTTTGATGGTTCCTTGAGGATTTTGGGGGAGACATCGATGGAAATCAGAGATTTGGCAAAAAAAATTGATGAACTCCCTTGGTCCTAATTTTTTTATGTGATTGATTGGCAAATAATTCTGCAACCATTTTGATTTTTTTCGGAAGGGGCCAGTTCTTGGAACACAGCTATGATCAGGTATGCATGAAAATGCAATGTTCCTTCAGATCCCATAAATATATATGGGGATGGGTCAAAACCCTGGTACCTAGTGAACATCAAAATAGCTGGTAAATGGATGTTCATCCCCCTAAAAATGGTATTAATAGGTATTGATCCATCCCCATATAAATATTGGGTGCATTCAATCAGTGATTGTGCAACCGGCGGAAACGGGGCTGGTCCAGCTGGCGGAATCCGGTCAAAACCAGCGGGCCCCAAACCAGCCGCGCTATGCTGATGATTGGGACGTCCAACAAGCACTTGCCGAAGAGATAAAAGGTGAGAATAACAGCAAGTACATGGGGGATAGTAGGTGAACCCTCTGGGGGATAGTAGGTCTGGTGGTTTTCAATGGTAATTTGACTTTGTATGTGACAGTGATTATGTATGGATTTATCTTGGACAGCCACACTATCTGTCTGTAGCATCTATAAGCAAAAGCATCTAGTTGAATGTGGCGTGATTGATCGCATCCCCCTAATATTGAATAGTCCAAAATGGCTCCCCAAAATGAACACATCCAATCCGAAACCCAGCCTTCTATTTGATTACATGAATATTTTAGAGAAGGGATTACGTGAATGGCTACCATCTGGTATCATGGCTTGCTCACAAGACCACCCAATTGTTGATTGTTTGAGAAAAAACGTATCCCCATATATAGATGTATGCTGTATGTTGAATTCTAATGTTGGATTATGTTACATATAGTTTCATAAACAAAAACAATATCGTTCATATCATATAATATATATATATATATGCTAGCTATCTATCTATATATATAGTGTACCTAATTGTTAATAAGTATATTCCAGTATGATCATGTATCATATATATGGGGGTTCCTAAAATAGGGGTACCCAAAAATGGATGATTGATTTCAGGGAAAATACATCTATAAATGGATGAGAAATAGGGGTACTCCCATTTTAGGAAACCTCCATTTATATATAATTGTATATTATATATATAATTATATATATACCCTATGGTTATTTAACATAGCCATGGAAAATGGCCCATTTATAGATGTTGTTTGATGATTTACCTCTTTTCTCGCATGGTGATTCTCCAGTTCGCTACGTTAAAAAAAAAACAGAGGGAACAGTGTCCACATCTTCATCCTATGAAAATCACCATGAAACAAACAGCCTGGACCGGCCCTTCCCACTCCAAGTGGCCGATTCAAGATCTGCAGCAGCAGTTCCTCGTCTTCGGTGCTCAACGTCACGTGCGTTTTGCTACTCACCGCCCTGGAATTTGAGGCGAGGCGGCCTTGGGATGCCTTGGGGGGATGGGGCTACAGCTATGCATATATTTTTTTTGTATGATACATAAGTTACATAAGTGTAAATATTATACATACATCATATATCATCATATCCTGTATATTCATGTAAAAAATCTACAGTTGTATATTATATAGTTGAAAGATATGAAAGTGATAGACAAGTTGTAAATCAGGAGGGGTGGATAGCGGGTCGTGACGGTCAAAATCCTCGTTTTTGCAGGTCAAACTCCGCTTTTTGTTGTTGGTGAAAGCCATCAAACACCTCAAGTTCCCCCTTGTCTCACGAAAGACATCTCCAGTCTTGTTGGTGAATGTGCTATCCTGCCATGGCTTTGTCTCAAAATAAGGTACCCTTTTAAAAAATGTGCTTGGTAATAGCGTTCTTTCTCCTCCCTTAATTTATTGACCCTCAATTGATGGTGCGATGTCCCTCACTAAAATCACGTCACAACTTTATGATGGGTGAATCGGCATGTTGTGCCAAGGTATAAAAAATATGGTGGTCAAATGATAAAAAAAAATTGGTTACGCACACAGACTTGGTCCTAGCAAATCAAGGCTTTTAGCTTTTTGGATCTTTGCAAATCAACCATTTGACCCACTTCCAGCAGCATTTTCCGCAGCACCTGGCCACTTTCGAGGTGGTACCACTACTCTTCTTGCGCCAAGCGTTGGCCAACTTCAGATCTGGGGGCCTAGCGATTTTCGGAGTTGACCAAATTCATGGTCTTAAGATGTTTTAACACAGATTGTACATGGGACATATATTATCATATATATATATAATTACATACACACTCATATACAGTATACTATTTTATATATATAGAGAGAGAGAGAGACCATGTATACCAATATCTATATAACTTAATATGAGCAACAAGAACCAATGATATAGTTTTTTGGGGCTATAGTGGATATACACTCTGGGGATTTCAAACGTGGCTGGAAAATCCCTGCACTGATTTTTTTCGGGATTCCCGGAGGCTATCCTTCATGGGGATTGAACTAAGGATGGTGAATCATTGGGGGTTAGACAACCCAAAATTGCGAATTGGAAAGGAAAACAGGGGGGTTGAAGTCGGTTGAAGCCACAAAAACTGCTGGAACACGTGGATTTTCCGAAAGAATATGATATCTGATGTGTCTGCTAACAAACAAAAATTAAAATTGGGATACCTTGGATGGCCACACAACCCGACAAAAATGATAAGCAAGTGTGAGAATATTTACGTTTGTAAACGTTGGTAAACATTCGAGCACCATGGTTCGCTTTTTTGGGAGTGAAACCCAACAATTTCATAGTCAATTTCATAGTCAAATAATGATGATAAAAGTGAAACCCAACAAAAATACATAGTCAAATTGATGATGGATAGTCCATGGATAGCATGCCCCAGAAAACACATATCTTTCTTGGCCAACAAAGATGAACCAAAAACGACAGCTGATCCCGAGGCATCCCCTGAGATTCCAGACACATCTTCTCGGAAGCGCATCTGCAGCGTTGCGGCAAGGAGTTGCAACAAGCCGAAAATCAATGGCGAAAGGTGTTTTTTTCTCTATGTCGAAAGGTGTTTTAATAGCTAATCTTTAGATCTTAACGAGTTTTACCTATTAAAACTGTGTTTACCTACGAAGTTTTACCTTTTTAATAGTTTAAGATGACCTAAACTCGTAAACTTCGTAAACCCTAATTTTAAAGATACGAAGAAATCATCCAGCATTTGTAAGATCAGAAAAAATCTTAGGGACACGTCCTGAATGTATGTCCTGCCAGATGACTTCCATATAGATTACCTGCCGAAAGTCAAACATGGCAATGGAGGATTTATCGATTTTCTATCTTGTACTGGAAGATATCGGTTCAGAACATTTTTTGAAATTGAAATGGTCCACTACCGAGATTAGAGTCACAGAGACTTGGAAAGACAAGGTTGGAAGCAATGTTGGAGGATCATTTTAGGCTTAGAAAAAAAAGGTCAGGTCGGGTTCTGGCCAAAATATTGAGGATGTAGAGTTCCAAGCAACCAACAAAATATGTAGTTCATGGAGCTCACGGTATGGAATATCACCAAGGAAAAAACCATGGAGTAAGACTAACTGGTTGGTGGTTGAGCCTACCCCTCTGAAAAATATGACTTGGTCAGTTGGGATGAGTTTCCATTCCCAACTGAATGGAAAAATAATCCATTCATGTTCCAAACCACCAACCAGCTAAGAATACGTGGTTCGCCAAATCCTCTAAAATGAAAGAGGATCGGTCTATTCGAATCAGGATGTACGATATCGGATTTTGTTTCTAAAACACCACATTTTGTAGTGATTTTTCCAGCAGATCAACTCATCGCCAGGTTGATTCCCCACCTCAAAGCCTGAATTCGCAGCTTTCCATTGATAGGCATGTAGAAATATGAATGGAACATGTGTAAAGGTATCGTATGTAAATCTAACTTATACGAAATCAACAATTGAGCCCCACTACGGAGTCCGATTTTTTCTTTGAAGATAGCGTACCCAAAATCGCTTAGTGCATCTCTATTTTCATATTGGAGTGGCTATTGTCCTCGTTCACATAGCGGGGTTTACCCCACTTTCAAACAAACCCAAATAGCATGCCAAATATCATATTTTTGGTGAAACATCCCATAAGATCCGATTAAGATTCCTAAAAAAAACCATCAAATCATAACAAATCCCACTAATCTCCCATTAAATCATATGTCATCCCAATAATCTCAAGTATAATAGCAATTGTATGGAGGTTTTCTGAAATAGGGGTACCCCTAAACCATCCTAAACCATCCATTTTTATAGGATTCTCCATTATAAACCATCCATTTGGGGTACCTCCATTTATGAAAACCCTTTATCCCCGTTCTTCTTGCTTCAATTCCCTATCTGCCAAGCATCTCACCTCAGGGTCACCAGTCATTCGCGACAACTGCCGTGGAAGTCCAGGACTCACCGAGACCTGCGTCAAAGGGACGTGAAGGGACCATAGAGTGATTACCCTCTGGTAAACTAACAAAAAGCTATTGAAAATGGCCATTAATAGTGGATTTTCCCATTAAAAATGGTGATTTTCCATAGCTATGTTAAATTACCAGAGGGTACATGTATTTACTTATTCCTTGATCTGTCTATCTGTCTATTTGTCTATCTATCGATCTATAGATCCATCTACCTGCCTATCTACCTATATCCAATCTAATCTAAGCTATCTTTTAATTAATCTAATCTAATCTTATGTATATATATATATATATTTATATTTATATATAACATTTATATGTAATTATTGATCTCTCTATACATAATATGGTGTATAGCATGCATTTCCAGCAGATGCAAGAGTTTCAAAACCTATCCTTTTTCGCTGATGGTTGGTCTACTCATTTGGGGACAGGCCAAAACCTGTGATTTCAGCAGGATGATGGAGCCTTAAAAAACATGGCCATTGCAAAACAAGGAAAGTCGTCTTCCTGGTCATGCTCACCCAACTTAGCTATCCAATAAACTATATGAATTACCCTCTGGTAAACTAACAGAGCTATTGTAAATCATCATTTTTACCAGGTAATTATTCACCTATGAATGGGTCATGTTCCATAGCTATGTGAAATTACAAGAGGCTATCTAAAATCGCAAAAAGGGATTATAGCTGTACTGGCTAACTCCCACGAAAGCCTCATTATTGCTGGATGACTACCCTACTAAGACCCTATCAAACCCTCGTACTTGATGAGATACCGAAACCATTCCAGTTCTCGCTGGAATCACCATTTTTGCTGGCTAATACCCCATTAAAATCCTCATTACTGGATTAAAATTCAGCATAAAATATCCCTATAAAATCACTCATAAAGAATCTGCTTTTATAGCACCCATATTGGTTTCAAAATCATTCATATCCCACTATCCCAAAAAATCAAGTATTAACCCAATGTGATATATTGACACATGACACATACAACTAAAAGTGTTAACCCATCAATCAACTATAAACGAACTACCCTCTGGTAATTTTAACATAGCTATGGAAAAACACCATGTTTAATCTGTAGATTGTACATGGGGTCATTTTCCATAGCCATGTTAAATTACAAGAGGGTACATATATATATATATACATATATATATATATGTATGTATGTTATATATATACATCGCTATGTTGAATTGCCAGCAGATACTCAAACCCCATTATGTAATACTAATATAATATTTGTTTATCCAACTCATTTCATTATTGTCAAAATCATCCCACATATCTGTATCTACCATTATCCCATTATCCACTTGATAGATCCTATTGTCCACTTGATAGATCAATAGATATGATATTTTTTTATATTTTACATACAGTTACCAGTTCTCACTATTCACCCACTAATTAGTCAGCTATTAACCTAAACCTAACTATATACACATATACTGTATAGCAATCGATGGTTTTTGGTTGGAATTTTTTTGGGAAAACATCATCGGACTGAGTCCTCCTGGTGGCACACTTCGGTTTCGGTATATAGATCTATACTAAATTCCAGTAAAATCCCTACGAAAAAAAAAAAAAAACTACTAAAATCCCTACTAAAACCATCAAATCCTACGAAAAAAACCTGAATAAAATCCCTACAAGCATAAACATTCTCCCCAACCCCAAGCGCCACCGTCGCCCCGGTCCCCCCGCCTCCGTTCCGTTGCTTGCTGCGCCTGCGCTGGGCACCACTCCGGTCATGCCAGACTCAGACACACGACGTTGGCCTGAAACGCCAAGGTCAAAGAGCTTGGTGGGGGTAAAAATCTGGATAGTGATCAGTGATAATATGTGACAGGATAATAGGATGTAATAAAAATCTGGATAATAGGATGATAATAATCAAGTGATGATAATCATTAATATTATTATCTGGAAAGTTATACTACCCTCTGGTAAATTAACAGTTCGACCCTGGCAGTCATCGGGGTTGGAAGATTAGTTTCCATTAAAACTAGGCTATTTTCAGGGTCTATGTTAATTTACCAGAGGGTAATACTTGTAATAATCAAGTGATAACAGGATAATAGGATGATAATAGTGATCAGTGATAATATGTGACAATAGTAGTAATAAAAACAACAATAGGATATTGGTTATCACTATTGAGTGTCAAGAAAACTGGGATATTGGTGATAATAATACTGGTACTATACATAACAAATATAATGATAATGATGATAATGAAAACAAAATATTATAATTTAATGTAATATAACATAACATGATATAATAGTGATAAATAGTGATGATAATAATAATAACAATGGCAATATGTCATGACTATAGATATCACGCATGATCTTGTATTTAATGTCAAAATGAGAGTACTATGATAAAATATGATGCAATATGTACTAATCATAAATAAACTGCTGCTTGGTGGTGTTAACAAAATACACATACTAATATGTAACAACTAAATACATGACAATAACAACAATAATCGTAATGGTAATAAAAAGTGTATTAATAATAAGAATAATGATCATCGCGGTAATATCAATAGAAAGAATAGGAACAACAATAATTTGCAAATGTCAATAGCCTAATGCAATGTTATCATATTTGTTCTACATATACAGACGGTCAATACACATACATATACCGCTATACGATGGCTCGGAGGCTCGGAGGTGTGCAAAAATTGCATCATGTGCATTCAACAGCTGCTTTGGATTTGAAATGTGAGCTGTTTTTTATTGCTTTCAAATGGCAGATAAAAGGAGGTAGACATATGGAGGCTTCCAAAAATGGCGGCTACTGCACCCCTAAATCATCCAATCTAATAGGATGTTCCAGCTATTGGGGATCCCCCATTTATGGAAACCCCATGTAGACAGGCACATCCTTCACTCCGACCTGCACATCACAAACCCTATACCCCGCTTATGCAATAGGTGCTCAACTGGAAAAACTGTGTTGACCTCTTGGCGAAACTATACTCATATGACAGATAGATAGATAGATAGATAGACAGATAGACAGACAGACAGACAGATAGATAGATAGGTAGTTGTGCGTGTACACGATCAATCTAAATTAGACGTGCTATCACATGCACATTGAGGGTATAGTTGATTGTATCCCATCAAGTGAGAATTCCAGATAATTCCAAGTATATAGGGATAGGTTCAATTCTATACTACTATGCTGGTGGGTATGAACATCCATATCCATATATATATATATATGTATGTATGTATACGTACGTATAGTGTTTCTTATTGGCTACTTCTAACATCGATACCAATACATTGATGTCACGTAAGATGAACACACCGGCTCTTCTGGAGACTCCAGAGGCTGAACCGATAAAAATACCCATTTAATGATGAGAGTCCATGATACTATGGTATAACATGATGCAATCGCTGCAATCTCAAAGCTGCACTTTGAAAAAATGCTTCAAACAGCTGGGATTTCAAAAGGCTTCATTGACTGAGGACAGCAGGGTATATCAAACACTTTTCAAGGTGGCTGCAACGAGTTCGGTCTGCTGGGTTGCGTCTCGCAAATCACAGAACCCCAGTCGTGGATGGGAAAGCAATAAATGTCTAGACACTCCATTGACCCCAAAAATAACGTATTACCTCATATAGCTTTGGTATGTTTTAGTACGTTCATAAGCTATAGAAAGTTGGTCGTGTCTTTGTTGTTCGGTTTCCCATGTGCCCTGCTGGTTGGTGTCTGTCGAAAAATTGGAGCTTCACCACTCCAACCACCAGCAGCAGCAGCAGCATCATATCTGTGGAGACCAAGGCTACCCCCAATTTCAGTGGATAATCATTAAAAAAGCCCGGCATTAAACTTGTCATTCGGAGGGTATACTCCATTTTCAGACAAACCCATGTGACATGTGTATATATATTAATATATATATATATATACATATATATACATATATATATATACATATATATACATATATATATATGGAAAAAATGCTTTCCAACTGTTCGATTTCTTCGGACATGTCTATCCTGCTACCCTGCCGTCCACTGCACTCCCGCCTTCTGCTATCACAATGCCTGGTAGCGGCAGCGGTGTACCTCAGTCCAGGAAAGACCGCAAGTGGCTGAGTGCAACATCTAGGTGTTTAGGAAAAAAAATATGTGAATAACATACAATATAAATATATATCCACATACTATGCACAGAATGTTCGTGATTTTCTGCATATAAGTTGCTATAAGTTGCTTAAACCATCGAATTTGTACATAGTTAGGAACAATGACAACCACATGACAACCACATGGCAACTGGGAAGTTTCACTGGTGGTTTTGAGTCAATTGGGAATCATCACACCTGTAGACCATGGAAGAACAAAAATCAAGGTCCTTTCAAGGTCATTTTTTGGGGCAGCAACCATCAACTGGGACTCGGGGCGTGTTAAACCTTGACTGATCGGGGGCCTTTTCAAACGAGGAGAGCCGGAAATGCCATGGGAAATTCATCGTATGAATAGCTGTGCTTCTGCTCAAAAAATGGGCTCTATCACAACGTTCAGTGCTACTCTCATCTAATCTCCCCATATGGATTCATGGTTTAAAAACCACCCATCAAACGAGTAAATTTGAAGATGATTGCCTATTGCTTTACTAACATTTCCTGAAAACAAGAATGACAGCATCTTCAAACTGCCACTTGCAGGTGCCGTACCGGCCACCTTCGCTTGCAGAATCAAACTGTTCAGTTGGGACTATCATCCCAGTGTTGAAAATAAAGAAATGTTTGAAACCACCAAGCACTTTCCTTGGTTCATATCCAGTTGTATCCCCATGTTAGATGGTTAAATTCCCAGTTTTTCAACGTGATGTTCCCATGAAATTCACCACAAAAGTGGCCAACCGTTTGATGCTAAAAACGAGCTCAAAACATCCCCTGAATTCATTTACAACTAGGCTAACTGGCTTTGTGGTAGATATGTCAGGGGGGCCTAACTTTACATCTTTTGGATCTGGAATTGCGATGGTCTTGTCCTGCAGGTCTAACTTTACAGTTAGCAAACAATGCAGAAAAGTCAATGTTGCATCTAGCTATGATATTCTTCCATTTGGCCAAAAAAACAGGTATAAAACAGGACATATTGGCCAAACATAAATAAAACTGGTATAAAGCAGGGTTGATCTGAAAATAGCTTGCCCCATCATTGGTTAATCCAACCGATGATGATGGTCATGTAAATATATGCCCAATTACCCAATTCTCAGACAAAGCCAAGTATCATATTGTCTATCATATCATGTTATAGTATATATATGTCATATTCTTTGCTTATAAGTTATATAAATGCATATATATATATATATCTGTCATATTTATATCTTATATAGTTATATGAAACAAACAACTGCCTCCCATTGACCCATCTTGATCCCCATCTCATCGAGCATCTCCAAGCTCTAGGAGAGACTTCCACAAAGGAGTCCTGTCATCCCCAGGGCCAACCACGTTGGATAAACCCCCTACACACAGATACGATTACATACACACATAAATATGTATATATATAATATAACACATATGTATATACATATATATATACATACATACATATATATATATATATACATATATATACATATACATATATAAAAATTATGTGCATATCGTAGATACATATGGCTATATATGTACATGCTAATCCACACGTGTACCATCCATTCCAAGGATCTTAGGGATCTTTGGCATTGCTCAACCGAGGCAGGCATTTTGTGCGGTCATGAACAACAAAATTCATGAATGAGAACAAATCATAGATAGGAATGGGATTGACGCCATAACCATACATGAGATGACAACATAGTAATCAGGCACGGAAAAAAGACATGTCTCGGTCTGGTACTATGTACATCCATCCACCCATTGGTTGTGGAAAATGGATATCCCTCTTTGTCCAACCCAGGAAATTGAAGAACCACCCCCCCAAAAAAAGTAGACCCTGCCATGAGTCCGGGGTTGGAAGATTACTTGTCACTAGAAATTGGCTATGTTCAGTGTCTATGTTCATTTGGCGGGTAGACTATATTTGCCGTGGTTCTTGGTTCATCTCTAACCAAAAAAAAACAATCAGGCCACCCTTCCACGTGGCCACAAACATCACTTAGTTGCACCAAAAAGCTGCTTTTAAGAGGGAAAAATCATGAAAATTCAGGACAGTATCCTCGCCTTTATAAAACATGATTAAACATTCTGAGCAACACGATTCATCATTGTTAAGCCCCATATCTAGCATCAAGCCATTGATCTTCCTATTTCTCTCCATCTTTGGTGATCCTTAAGGTTTGATCACAAGTATCCCCTTGGAAGTTGGAAATCTCTGTGGCTATGGTTCTTCCTCTCGGGTGATTGGGCTACGATCTGTTTGGGATGTCAATATGTGGACAAACAGAGCCAATTCTCCATCCAAAATGCGACTCAAAATACTATGTGTTTAGTGGTCCCCTATTTTGAGCCAAAGCCAAATACCAATATGTTCAACCAGTGGCCACCATAAGTCCTTCTTTTCAAAAAAAAACATGATAAACCCATCCAACGGTGGATGTATCCATAAAAAAACTCCAACAGGTAGCACCATTCAGAGAAAATTATAGATCTTTTTCTTGTTCACCCATGATCCCAAATGGAGGTGTCCCAAAATACGCCCCCAAATCATCCGTAAATATGTCGGATTTTCCAAGTGTAAATCATCCAACCTATGGGCTAGCCCTATTGAAACCTCTGTATCTCCCGATTCTTCACCCAGAAAGGTCCTCCTTTTCAGCGTTTTCACCGTCGCTATTCATCGTCTCCACCCGCGGCCGTGGCGAGTGATCGGGCGACTCGTTCGGCGACGCCTCCGAGTGATCGGCCAGGACGTCATCAGTGAAACCTCAGGAGGTGAATGCTGATGCTGTCGGATGGCTTTTGAAAAACTTGATGTTCATATGTTTTTTCTGTTTTGTGCGTTGATCTTTCAACAAGATCCAGAAAAAATCACCTTAGATCATCCAAGATTTTAAATATGTATATATATAGTGTGTATATATATAATATATATATATATACTGGTTGGTGGTTTCAACCCCTCTGAAACATATTAGTCAGTTGGGATGATTATTCCCAGTATATATATATAAGTATATATATATATATATATATGTACTCGAATTTTGACGAACTTGTTTTTCTTTTGAGCCATCCCATGCCATCCCCCATTTCCATCGCCATGTGATCCGTCATGTGATGTCTCCATCACTTTGGCTTCCCCACTGACGCGGCTTCCAAGGCGATTGGGGTTACGATCACCTGGCAGTGCTGGCAGACAGCGGTATGTGTTCAGATGGAGGTGTCCTAAGTCGTGGTGGTACTCAGAAATCATCCAAATTACACCATTCAAATGAAAATTTTAGATTTTAGTTTGGAGGGCCATTCCCTAAACAAAAAAAACACTAAACAATAAACAATTTCCTACCCTTTTAGTATTGAAATCAATGGTGACTTGGGGATCCATGACTTAAGAAACCCCCAGATGTTTTTTCATCACAAAGTAGGCCCGGGCCTATTTGAAGCGTCAGCTTGGGTGGCGAAGAAGGTGGCGAGGTGGGAACCTTTGGTGCCTCCGCGCTGGGCCGGATGATGTTGGTTTTGAAACCAACCAGTTTTAGATGGACATACAATCTATACATATATAATTATATATATATCACCAAGAACCAACAAATTTAAATGGCTATATTTATATGCAACATTTATATTTGATATGATATGAGATGATCATGCTGCATATGTATATGTATATGTATATGTATATGTATATGTATATATGTATGTATATGTATGTATGTATGTATGTATGTATGTATGTATGTATGTATGTATGTATGTATGTATGTATGTATGTATGTATGTATGTAATGTATGTAATGTATGTATGTGTATGTATGTATGTATGTATGTATGTATGTATGTATGTATGTATGTATGTATGTATGTATGTATGTATGTATGTATGTATGTATGTATGTATGTATGTATGTAATGTATGTAATGTATGTAATGTGTATGTAATGTATGTATGTTATGTATGTAATGTATGTATGTATGTATGTAGTATGTATGTATGTATGTATGTATGTATGTATGTATGTATGTATGTAATGTATGTATGTGTATGTATGTGTATGTATGTATGTATGTGTATGTATGTATGTATGTTATGTATGTGTATGGTGTATGTATGTATGTATGTATGTATGTGTATGTATGTGTATGTATGTGTATGTATGTATGTATGTATGTGTATGTGTATGTTTGTGTATGTATGTGTATGTATGTGTATGTATGTGTATGTATGTATGTGTATGTATGTGTATGTATGTGTATTTATGTGTATGTATGTGTATGTATGTGTATGTATGTGTATGTATGTGTATGTATGTGTATGTATGTGTATGTATGTGTGTATGTGTGTATGTGTGTATGTGTGTGTATGTGTGTGTATGTGTGTATGTGTGTATGTGTGTATGTGTGTATGTGTGTATGTGTGTACGTGTGTATGAGTGTATGTGTGTGTGTATGTGTGTATGTGTGTATGTGTGTATGTGTGGATGTGTGTATGTGTGGATGTGTGGATGTGTGGATGTGTGGATGTGTGCATGTGTGCATGTGTGCATGTGTGCATGTGTGGATGTGTGTATGTCTGTATGTCTGTATGTCTGTATGTCTGTATGTCTGTATGTCTGTATGTCTGTATGTATGTAATGTAATGTAATGTAATGTAACGTAACGTAACGTAATGTAATGTAATGTATGTATGTATAATGTGTATATGTGTATATGTGTATATGTGTATATGTGTATATGTGTATATGTGTATATGTATAATGTGTATATATAAATATATATACACAGATACACAAACAAATATGTTACCAACAAAATAATATGATGAATTTTGATGATATAGACATTTACTTTGAATGCGATTGGGACCAGCAAAACTGAGATGTACAACCAAGCAACCTGGGGATATCATTGAATATCATGGAATATAATAGATATTATATCTACCTCAAACCAACCGCATGAGATTTGGCTAAGTGTTATATCAAAATGGACTACATTCACTACAGTACCTATACTGGTTATGTCCTACATGGTTCTACTTTTGTCGCTACTGCAAAAATAAAAGTGAATAGCCCTCCGAGGCGTCCGTATGATGTGTGCTTTTTACACTGCTATTGTCGACCACATGGATGGTCGATTTATATGTCTAAATGGATATGGGTCAAAATTGGGTACCTCAATAAGTAGATGGTTAATACTCAACATATACTAAAATCTGTGATCTCATAGGGCTTAAAATTTGACCCATCCCCAAATGGATCCAATGATTGGTGGTGTGGAAAAATCCCCCATGTGGTATGTCAACCCCCCCGTCATCCCATTGGGAAGATCATCTTCACCAAATTCATTATGAGCCACGGTCGCCACGGTCCCAGTTTTTTTGTTGACTCAAAAGGGGCGGTGTCAACGTGGATAACACGGGATACCCTCTGGTAAACTAACATAACTATGGAAAATCACCATTTTTCATGGGAAAATCCACTACAAATAGCCATGTTCAATAGCTATGTTAGTCATTACCAGAGGGTAACCCCTGGTTTTTCACGTGGCAAGTTGGGAAATCCCCGTGTTTTCCGTCCGGTTGGAGGTTGATCCCCAGGTTGCGGCAGTGCCATGGTGATCAAACACTTTTTTTCCCCATCTTTGGTTTCTAGTGAGAGAATTTATAGGGAGAATCGGAGATATCATGCTGCACAACTTCTGGATTTAGGGATGCAATATGATGCAATGATCCTACTTGAAGGGCGGCAAGTCACAAAAATGCATCCCAGATGATTTTCTGGACTTGAAAGAACCAGCGAACCAGTCCATTGCAGGGTTTCATCTTCATTCTGAGTATAGAAAACTTGGACCTATAGTAAAGCTCCGGTCACCACTAGGACAACAGAGCCATGTTTGATCCTTTTTGCGTTAGGAAATGTTGAAATGCTGCTGATCATACCGCCGTGGATAGTCTGGATCTGGGGCTGCAGAATGGGCCCATGGGTTTTTCGGGGATGCATCCATTGCTCAGGTCAGCGAAGGGATTGGTGAACGGCCGAAAACCGTTAACATCGTCCACCGAAAACCCTAAAACCCCGTTCGAATCGCATCAGAAGGCTCTCTCCACCATGCTCAGTCTGCATCAATCTGCTATATGAGGGGTTTCCATAAATGGAAGATCCCCAAAAATGGATGGTTTATTTCATGGAAATTCCATCAATGGATGAGAACTAGGGGTACCCCCAGCCATTAGGAAACCTCCATATGGGGTCACTCCATCATGGCCCGGCGAAAACCCAGAAGTTGGGCTCCAAGATCTGCCGGTTCAAAATGATCAACCCCGGTAACGTAAGGATGGATTGAGGTTCAATACCAAAAATTCTCGTTCTTTGTTTAATGATCCATGTGGGGCTGATTTTTTTCTGAAATGTCTACCAAACATAACAGGTACATAGTGGCTTTAATATTTACACATATATCAAACAATAGAATCAACTTCTTTTGGGGCGAGCCTTCGGAAGGCACCGGCCCGGGTTATCCTGTGATCCTCTGATCCGGTTTTTCCCAGAATCATCCGGCGCCTGAGGTGTCTTCTTTGGTGAATTTTCATCACCTGCTGCCAAATGGATGTGGGTCAAAATAGAAGACCGTTAAGGGGACCACAGATGTGAATGTCTAGTTTAGTATTAACCATCCAAGCAAATTGGGGTACCTAATGACTTGACCCATACCCAAATGTCCAAGATTCAGATCCAAAAAATGCGGCAGCCCTATGGAAGCCGTGGCCCATTGAAATAGATGATCAACATGATGATTTACCTATTACACATGGTGATTTTCCAGTGCGCAAACTGTCATTCATAACCAGAGGGTAATCTGACAAGACTATCATCTTCCGAAACCGTTTTGTTTCTGGGGCCAAACAAGTTTCCAGATTTAAACTGGTTGGTGGTTGAGCCTACCCCTCTGAAAAATATTAACGTCAGTTGGGATCATTATTCCCCATAATTATATGGAAAAATTAAAAATGTTCCAAACCACCAACTAGTAGATGTGACAAGAAAAAACACGAGTCCGACGTCCGACAGTCATAAGTCAAACATCCGGATTTAGCCAACAACGACTAAACATCCACCTCTCGAAATGATGTGTATAGTATTTTGTATAGTCTACAGGTCCCGGCCTCAAATATCAGTGTCTAGTCCGAGAATATCCAATTTTCAGATTGTAGAAGAAAACCCGTCACATTGTTGATCTATGAAATATCCCATTCTTTGTCAAAGGTATGATGATGGTGTATAAAGGCTATTGGGATAGTACAAATATGATATGATTCATGAAATTTATCTTCTTACCTTTCTTTTTCTGACAAGCCTGTCTCTGCTAATTGGATCTTCTTGTTGGTTCTGGCAGGGTTGCCAACGAAAGGGAGCCCTGATGAGCGGCTCAAATCACTCATGTTTGGTGTGTGACCACATGATGGTTTTCATCCTGAAAGCAACCCTTGTGTGATTAACACTTTGAAAACGTCGATTGTTAACTGCTGTTTTGGGGTTGGGGTTGAAATTCACGAAGGTCATTAGTGGTTGAATTTGATTTGATGTGCATAGGGCATAGGACTTTCCAAATTTACGGCTTTATTTGATGGGTTAATCATTTCCGCGATGGAAGGTATACCCCATTTTCAGACACCCTAAAATAATTAGATCATATCATTGGTTACCCTCTGGTAATTTAACATAGCTATTGAAAACGGTCATATTTATAGTGGATTTACCCACTGAAAATGGTGATTTTCCATAGTTGTTTGTATGTTTACCAGAGGGTATATCCAATTCGCACAACATCCAACGGTAGTATCCCATCAATATCCCAAACAAAAAAACCCGCGTTTTTTTACAAAAAGCATGTCAAGTCGGCTATATATAAATCTAAATCCCATAAACATCCCACTAATCACCACTAACATCCAAATTATTACCACCGTTATACCACACAAACAGCTGTCGTATGTCTGATTATATCCCAATTGAATCTCATTATGCCCCCATCTTTCCCAATCTCATCCCTGTTAAAAAAACACACACACACATAAAACTCGCAAAAAATCAGCCAGCCTCTACTGTCGCCAGCGCCAGTAGCACCACGGAGCATGTCCAACTCATTCGTTACCTGTTGGAATTTGGAATGGTAGAGCCATGTGTCTAGAGCTGGGGGATACCCTCTGATAATTTAATCAGATTTGCTGGGATTTCAATCAACAAAAAAAAATGAAATGGTGATTTTATGGCTAGTAATTGAACAGTTTGCTAAGGAACATTGCCCATTTAGTTCGACGACTTGCGTATTACGAATGGTGACTTTCCCATGGTGGTCCCAGTGTATCAGCACTCTTCAATGCTGATAGAATGTCTACAATTTATCCTTTGTTGCTTCTATTCATTTTGACGTATGTAATTTCCAATCATTTCGGCATACAACTCAGCAACCATTCAAGTACCCTCTGGTAAATTAACATAGCTATTGAAAATATGGCCCAGTCGAAATAGTTGATTCATTGAAAAAGGTGGATCTTTACCCTCTGGTAATTTAACATAGCTATGGAAAATGGTGATTTATAGTGGATTTTCCCATTAAAAATGGTGATTTTCCATAGCTATGTTAGTTTACCAGAGGGTACATAGCAAAATGTTAGTTTACCAGGCCGAGTATCTCCAAACAATCCAGTCTAAAATGTGTGGCAACACCGACACTTTATGATGGTCGTATCGACAGTTCAGTGATCATCCTTCTACTGATGGAAACCAAAAGAATGTCTTTCTCAATGGGAGATCTAAAATGGATCCTAAAATGGAGCTACCGATTCCATATATAAGTTATAAGGCCTATTTTTCAGGCCTATGTAAGTGAATATCCCCACAAAATATGGTCTTATATGTTAATTACTAACGTACCTTCATTGTAGGATCCTGAAATTCCCATTGATCTTTCCCTCTGGTAATGACTAACAGTTTGCTATTGAAAATGGACCATTTGTATGTAGTGGATTTACCCAGCTAGAAAATGCTGGATCTTTCCAGTTCGCAAACTGTTAGAATAAACCAGGCTGGGTAAATCATCAACCAGTTCCCCACGGTTACCCTCTTTTCGACAATCCAACTTGGCTTCTCATCATCCCTCTGGTTTTGTGTAGCGGTAGCGAAACCATTCCATCCACCGCTGATTTTTGTTGGGGGGTTCGGGTTCGCAAAAAATGGTAGGTTATAACATGTTATAACTACCCAGCGCAACTGTTACAACTGTTGCAGTTGCTGCAACAATCCCGTTTTTGTGGTTGCATTTTTTAGCGAGCGTTTGCTGTTGAAATCAGACCTGCAAATCACCATGTTCTCGCTGTAAAATCACCATTTCATCCAGGAACCGATGATTGAAAACCCATGGATTTTACCCGCAGACGCCGTGTGTTGCCCAGACATTAACATTGGGGATGTCGTGTGGTCAAATATGATAGGAGAGATTGCAGACAATACTGCAGATACGCAGTGTTTTCTGGTTTAGGATTCAAAGTTTTCAAGGTTTAGGTTTTAGGGTTTAAGGTTTTAGAATTTAGGGTTTAGGGTTTGAGGGTTTTAGGGTTTAGGTTTCGTCGTCTGTGGAATCTCAAGACACTGGCCCTGCGCAAGTGTTTGAGCACGCTGAAGGATAATGCTTAAACGCCATTTGAACTTTCCGGGCAACACACAGCGCCTGGCCGTAATATTATGTAATATTAGCATTCCCAATATGTTTGTTATTCTTATCACTAGCCCTTTATTATTAGTATTATTTATGGTAGTTGTTGGTCATAGTCATATGTATTTAATTGTAGTTATATGTGTATTACATTAATCATCATTATAGTAAAAGCAGTAGTATGACTATTGGTTGTATATACCATCTGGTTATTTCACGTAGCCATGGAAAATCACCATTTCTAATAAACCATCTATAAATGGGCCATGGTTTCCATGGCTATGTTAAATAACCAGAGGGTACCATTGCCCTCCAGCAATCAAACATTGCGAAAAATCCACCTATAAACCTCAATCTGCTTCTAGGATTGCCCCAGCTGCGTTTGATGACACCAGAGGGTATACCCCAATAACCACTATCCAACTTGATATTGAGATATACCATAATGCCTGTATACCAATATCAATATATATTATATATATATACACATGTGGTGTGTATATATATATAGAGAGAGAGATGTGATATATATATATATATACATATATGATATATATATATATACATACATACATACATATATATATATATGTGTATGAATATGCATAAGTATATGAGTATATATCATATATCATATATCATATATCATATATCATATATCATTCATATATGTCATATATCATATATCACAAATCATATATATATATATATCATATATCACATATCATATATCATATATCATATATCAGATATCATATATCATATATCATATATCATTCATAGATGTCATATATCATATATCATATATATATATCATTCATATATATATATATATTATCATACATCATACATCATATATCATATATAATATGTCGTATATCGTATATCATATATCATATATATATCATATATATATATATCATATATCATATATATATATCATTCATATATAGATATGTATATATATATACATATATATATATATATCATTCATATATATATATATATATATCATTCATATATATATATATCATTCATATATATATATATATATTATCATACATCATATATCATATATCATATATCATATATCAAATATATATATATATCATATATCATATGTCATAGATTCATATATCATATATATATATATATCATTCATATATACATATATACATATATATATATATCATCGCATATTATCCTATGAGACCCCAGATTTTATCAGACCTCCTGAAGCCGCTGCTCAGCCAGCTTCAACTGCGCTTCGTGGACGTTGCCAGCCTACCGTTGTTTTAAAATAAAACGTAGAGGGATTGAGTGGGAAATCGTCAATTTTGGGGGTTTTGGATATGTTAATCATCAAATCCTGATGTTTAGATTAACATGATTAAAATGATTAAAATGAAAGATATGAAGAGATCTTGTTTTTGCCGAAATACCAGAACATCTGCCTGAAATTTGAGATGTCAAAGAATTTCGTTTTATATAAGTGGAGAATAGTGGAGATGATCTCCCTCATATCCCACCATGGTTTCATGGACATGTTTCTGGTGATGCCGTGACGCCAATGTTTCTTACGGGTGTCTAAATCCGTATGAGAATGGATTCATGACCATCCCCCAATATGGATGTAGAATCCAACGTTTGAACGGCACAGATGTTTCATGGGGATGTAGATGAGGTGATTTTCCCGCAAGCCAAGGAATGATGGAATAAAAGGGAGATCATTGACTACCACCAATCTTCATGATAGGGCAATAGCATTGATCGTCCAATGCACTGGCTCAAAAGCAACGTCATAGCTGATATAATCATCAACTAAAGCAACACAGCTAGACTGGCCGTTTGTATTGGTTTTGGGATAATCATCCCTGTTTCATCAACACCAATAAATATCTGAAGAATGATAACCCATCAGAAAGGGAAGGACAATCAGCACCATAAGTTCAAGGGGGGTTGTCCAAAAATGCATGGTTCTCAGTCTTGGACGCACCCAAACGGGGCAGGAGACAAAACATCCTCTGGGCTTTTCGCATGCCCAACCAGCAAGTCAAGAGTTTAGAATCGGCACAATCACTTGAAAGTGACTTTGATTCCCAAGTTCCTAATTCTTGGTTTTCTCTGAACTCTGAACATAAAATAAAGTCCAAAAGAAAAGTTGATGCAGTACTCATGCGCACAGATCCGGACGCTTGCCAGGAGCCTATGTTTTTTCGGGTAAAACGACCCGAGTTTTCAACAGACCCCTACAAAGTCGTGGAAGGGTTCTTGACGCAAATTTCTGGTTCTCCCGGATCCTAGCTCTTCTCGCAGAAAGCGGCCCTTTTGCACCACTTGTAGTTTGGACAAGATAGAATATAATCATTAGAAGACCTTTATACGTATTGTTTGGAGGAGGTGGCAGATCCAGATCCTTCTGTAACGATGTAATATGATGGAACAACTATAACATAATATCTCAGATGTTGATTCAATATCGGGTACATCGTGGGAAAAATGCGACATCATGGAACCAATGGTAAAAATGATGGAAAAATGGAGGGAATCCCTGTGGATTTGTATGAGAGAACTGTTAAAACCTTAGCCAGAAAATGGGAGATTATGTGAGCATGGGCGAACGTCTGGTTATGCGGGTACGCATGTTCTCATTAAATTGACATGACTTGGGCAACTCCCACTTCTGGGCGAACCCAAGTACGATATGTCGGATACAGATATCCAAATGTATCCCATGATGATATATTTCAATTGCTGGTTTCATACCCCCATAACACATAATTACAAGTTTGTTAATTGCCCTCCTGTAAACGTTTATATACTATGTCTACATAGATGTGGAAAACCCACCATGAAGATGATTTTCCGAACTCGTTTTCCCATGGTTTTTCCACATCTTCTATGTTTACCCTACATCGAAGGGCCAACCGACTTCCGACCCAGCCGACATTTTGCCACCTGCCGTAGGAGATCTAGAACTCCCCATGTCTCTGGCGCCATGGCGTCAAACATGTTCTGTTTTTTCGGCTGGGAAATTCGTAAAGTCATGTCCTACGATCTCCGAAATCCAAAAAACATTGAGGCTTCAGGTTGGTGCCTGAACATATCATTTACCATCCATTGGATGCCATTGGCTGCGAAAAATGGATCTTTGTTTCGAAGCCAATACATCCATTGGTTGTGGGACTAGCCGCGAGACGCGGAAGCCGCGATGAGACATTCTCTGGAAATCAGCATGAGAAAACTTCTGGATATATCGGATATATGTGGATATGGAATCTGGTTGGTGGTTTTGAGCCACCTGAAAAATCCGGAAAATAACTTCTCATCAACTGGGATCATCCCAGATGATGATCTACGTCGTTTCAGGGAGCCGCTGGCATCAGCATATGGGCGACATTGTTCGACGTTCTGGGGGCCGAAAATGCGGTGCAGATGAACCATAGGCATCAGCAACAATGGACTATGTGGAATGGGCTTGGAAAAAATGTCAGCCCTTTCGCAACTCTTGCGAATTAACGAACTCAACGAACTCTCGGAGGGTCAGAATTTGAGATACTTGGCTGAGTGAAATTGAGTTCACCTGTTTGGAATGAACATGAAGTTTCAAATTCCAACTCTAAATGTGTATATTTTCGAATTTTTCTTCGATTTGCTGAGGCCCCCAGGCGGATCAGGCAGTTCTGGCCTGGTGTCAGGGAACCATCTGGAACCATGGCGAAATGGAAATAAATGGAATACATTCACATTGTAATAAAAAAATTGGTAAATCTCATCACATAGAATACACTGGTTGGTTACCCATGGTTACCCATAGATTCCACACTGGTTGATCATTCAATATACATCAATTCAACCAACAATCAGCCTGGTCAGCTACCCACATGTTTGTTTCATAGTGAAACCCCACAAATCCTCTTTTTTGGGGATGTTTAAATCCCCATTCAAACATAGTTTTGAACACGAATACATCGAATGCCAACTGATGATGTTAACTTCCCCTATTTTGGATCACTATTGTCACTATTTATAGACGTTCAACTAAGCCACTAAAAATACCCATCCCATCTCATTACAATACGAGTAGTTCCTTAGTAGGTTTCCCTACTACAGTATGGTTTTAAGTAATCTACGAAAAGCCAGGTAGTATAACTCATTATTTCACAACGAATCAACCATCTTTATCAGTTATATCATATCATATCAAACCAGGGTTCTTTTTTCAGTTCTATCATGTTATACCCTCTGGTAAACTAACGTAACTATGGAAAATCACCATTTTTAATGGGAAAACTCACTATGAATGGCAATTTTCAATAGCTATGTTAAATTACCAGAGGGTACCTCCATTGTTTGATGCTTAAAACCCCTAGAAATCCTCATGGTTTAACACATTTTTCCACGACTCCGTCGACTGTGTCCCAGCAGCTTGGTCGAAGCATTTCGCAGTTGCCGGGCGCGCAGTGGAGTGCGGCCATCCGCGGCCTGGAAGCGCAGCGCTAGGATCATCCCAGTGACTTAATGGTGGTTTAATGGTGACTTAATGCTGATTTCATGGTGATTTAAAGGTGATTTAACGGTGATTTAATGGGATTTAATGGGTTTCACTAGGGGATTTCAATGGATTTCATAGATGTGGAGTCATAATTCACTTCTGGGATTTCATAATCGGATTATTGTTATTCACTTAGTGGGATTCAATGGGATTTAATAGGAAATGGGAACTTTTTTTTCTAGGGCATGTTAATTCATCCTAAAGTTTACTTAAGTATTTAATTAGTTTATGTCCTTGAAGACAGTGAAAGTTAACAATAGTAAAGCGACAAACTAATAAATTGGAGCTCCAAAATCATGTGGATACTAAGTTTCGGCTTGGTTGCTTTATATGCCGTAATAAGGAAACAAATGGTGAAAACATATGGTGGAGAATGACCTCCATATAAAAGGGATAATAAGCTTAGATGCAAGAGATATTACCAAAATCAATGTGGGGATATCATGGTATACAAACGGCTACTGTACAAATCGTGGTTTTGATATGATTTAGTCAGCAAAATTAGGGGGGTATGTATATGAAACCAACTATTTTGGGGGATATAATGAGATCGATGTTTGTAATTTGTATAGAGACGTTTGCAGTCGACAATACGATAAATATGGAAATTATATACTTAATGTAGGGCAATTTAATTTGTCTGACAATATGATGATCAACCATTGAAAAAGTGGGATAGCCTATTGTCATAAACCCAACTGATGCAATGGATATCCAATTTTGCCCAATATATTCAGCTCTACAATAAAAATGGGAAACTTCCACATAATCACATACAGTACAGTAGTTTGAAATGATGAATCTAATTCATTGACCATTCTGACTAGTCCGCATAGTCGCTGCATATATGGACATCACATGTAATAAAAATCCTGAAAAATATTCCAGTAATCTCCATCCAAATTAGATCCCATAAATATCCCATTCATATTCCAGTAATACTGAAGTAATATTCCATTAGTATGCCTCGAAATATTCCATGAAAAAAAACAACAAAACACTGGCACTTGGGATCATCCTCCGACAGGCAGAGGACGAAGGGCCGAAGGGCGACTACAACATATATATATATATAACATTGATATGATATATGTGTATTATTTATATATAAATGTTGATACTGTATATCTCAATATTCAACATATGCATGATATATATATATACCGCGCAACGCCTGGGCTTTAACCCAGCGTTGCTGCGCAGAGGGTTCCAATTCCCAATCAAATGTTGTTGCAACTTTAGGGAATATTAAAATCCCACCCCCGTTAAACTCTACATTCAATTGGGAAGATCAAAATGGTATTAGGGAATATTAAAATCCCACCCCCGTCAAACTTTACATTCAATTGGGAAAATCAACGAAGGTATTAGGGAATATTCAAATCTGATGATGATGATGATGATGATGATGATGATGCGTTGCCCGTCGTCGTTGCGGTTCGGTGCAAAGCCCAGGCATTTGCCGTATATATATATATACATATATATATATATATATTTGTTTATATATATGTATATATATATATATATATGTAGTACTACATGTAATAAATATGCATCATGTGAAGTCATCCTGGAGTAGATAGAACACGGCATGTTCAGAAGCCCTAAAATGGGAATTGAGTTTGAAAATCACATATTCTATCTACTCCAGGATGATATGCCGGTCAGGAGCTCAGCCAGTATATGTAACTCTTAACCTTCAAAGGTGACTTACTCTCATGGAAAATCACCGTTCTATTCGGACAACCTTCTAGAAATTGCTATATATAGGAAAAATAGGGCTTGAACAGGGGATTTAGCATTTTGCATTGATACATATTATGTATATGTATATATATATATATAAAATTGATATATATATATATATATATCTATTATCATTGATATGATATGTGTGTAGAATTCATATAAATGTTGATACTGTATATATTAATATATGCATGACATATATATGTATATATATATATATGTATTCACTATTCATATCAAAATCTCGTGATGCGTCAGATTGCCCCAGATTGGTCGCCCCAGCGCCCGGGACCGCGCCGAAATGAAGTTCTCCACACCGATGGTGGCTGAACGTCGGATGCCACCCGCCTCACCGGGGGTACAGTAACCCTTGGATGGTTGAAAGCCTATAAATCGTGGGATGTTTAGTTTACCACCTACCAACTGAAAATATGGACAGGTAGTTCCTGAAAATATGGACAGTTCGATGATTTTTGAGTTTCCCCAATTTCCAGATTTCCACCTTTTCTATCAACTGGTGATTCGGAGTTCGCTGGCCCATCCACCGTAGCGATGGTGAATCCGCAAATTAAATGGAGGTTTATAAAACTATAGAACAGCTGGGAAACACATCTATGAATGGGAAGTTGACACAATAAATCATGTAGTTGCTTGAAAACCCGACTACTTCTAGGAAGAGGTGGAGGTTAAACCAATATTATACTGGATGGTGAACCAATAAAAAATGGGGTTAACCCAGTCAAAAATGAACACCAATAAATAAGCGAGGCTTCAACCTTTGCGTGACAATGTGATAATCCAAAGTCCAAGTTTTGAACGAGGATTCCTCGCTGGCAGAATCGAGCGAGGGGCAAGAAACATACGATCCAACTGGAAATATGGATGTGGGTCAAAACCCTGTACCCCCAGTGAACCTCAAGGTTCATGGTCATCCCTAAAAAACCACATGATTCGTAGCTTTTGACCCATACCCATAGTTTCCCTTGGAAAATGATCTACAAATGGTGGGGTAAAGGCCGATGAAACAGCTATGATTATATAAACAGATATTCGACAGTAGACTAAAAATCATGACATGTTTGAAATATTTTGAAATCAGATCCAACTGGTCACTTCCGAATAATATCAGCTGACCTCGCCAGTTGAAATCCCATCGCCTTGAAGTTATTCTTGGAATAGAAGTAATTCCTGCGCCGCACAGCCGGTATTCGAAAACGCGCTTCCCGGTGTTCGAAACGAAAAAGGGCTACGGGGCTACTTAGGTTTGTCTGAAAATCCGGGGAACATCCCGATTTCCAATGCATTATTCTCATTATCCCTATGAATATCCTATCTGGTTGGTGGTTTCAACCCCTCTGAAAAATATGAGTCAGTTGGGAGTATTATTCCCAATATGTGGAAAGTTATAAAAGCCATGTTCCAAACCACCAATCAGTTATATAGCGTCATATAATATCGTTTGGAGGATATGCCAATTTTCAGACAAACCCACTTCATCCCACTTCTGTGTTCTTCCGAAAAAATATCACTTTCTGAGGCAGTTAACCACCACTTAATTGTCCTTAAAACATCTTAAAACTGCTTGTTGGTTCACTCAGAATCTTAAGCCCACACAATCCACGCCCTACAAGTACTTCCTGGGTTAGAAGTTAACATCCGGGACTCGAATGATAGACAAAATATTTCCAACTAACTGGATAGCCAAATTAGACAAAATATGCATATGAGCTCCCGTCACAATCCTTTACATTTGAGTAGTTGCTATTCTTATGGTTCTCGCTTTTGGGGGGGCCCTATCGCTTTCCAGGGTTTCGTGGAAATCAGCATATTCGAGATCCTTTCATGCATGCATCTTCCTATCAATGTGCATTAATTTCCTTCCATGTTCCTTTCATGTTCCTTTCAATGGTATTCATTTCCATTCATTTTCCAACATCTTCCAACTTGTTGATATCCTTTGATCGCAATTTATTGCTACATCGGTTCTGGAAAGCTCCAGCAGTTGCACCCGATCATGCGATTGGGGTCCAGCTGGGTGATTGGCAACTTGCCAATGTCGGAAGGATAGGGCCTGTCTGGTACATCTTTTATATTACCCTCCAGTAAATTAACATAGACCCTGCCAGATAGGGGTTGGAAGACTAGTTTCCACTATAAATTGGTCATTTTCAGGGTCTATGTTAATTTACCAGAGGGTAATTTACCATCATTTTCTACATGTTTTTTGGAGGCAAGGGAGGGAAATCCCTGAATTAACCAGTTTGACCACCAGTCACGGAAAGGAAGCCTATGAAGTGAAAATCATTGAGAAGGATCCAGAGTTCCAGAGTTCCAGCTCGTTGTTTGATCTTCAACAGATCAACAGGTTCCGTGACCCTTCGTCTTACCCTTCCGAACTTCCCGAACTTCGCCGGTCCCTTCGCCGGTCCCCAGCTGCTCATCCATCAAAATACCCATCTCGTTGGTAACCAGCTTCAACATCATGGTAGACTTGCCTCAGAAAGTCCGCTGCTTAAAATTAGTGACCCAAAAGCCATGACACCCATAGTGACCCATAAAATGTCACCCAAGAATCTATCATTCACCACTGCCATTTAGCCGTATTTAGCCCTGTAAAAATCAGGTGACCCCTATTTTTTTAGACAGGAAATGACATGAAATGGGGATCAAAATAACATGAAATGACATCTTTTATGACCCATAAAATGCCACCCGGCCCATTCATCTATCATTCACCTGTAGTGAATGGTTTTCCGCAACCCAACAAAAATCGTAGATGGCAAAATGGATCAACCGGAATTTAAGCTGGAGATTCCGTAGTTTGAGATAAAACATAGGGGAATGGATCAAAATCGATATAGCCCCTTTTAGTTCACATGTTGTTCATATCCAATTAAAACTCATGTTGCTGATGCGAAATTCATTGAAATTTGCTATCATTTTTTCGTGGGTCATTGATGGTTACTTGGGGCCCCAACCATGTGGGGTATTGTGGGGGGAGAGGTGCCTCCTCTCTTCAAAGATGCCATCTACCCTTCTGAGTCCAGTCAAAAAGTCGATCCTTGTCCTGTAGTGGGATTCAATTCTATAGCTATCTGTAGCTAAGAAATCAACCATTCACCTACTAAACCAAGGCCTTTTTTGGGCTTCAACTGCTGATATTCATAGGGTCAACCAACGACTGACTTGGGGGCCCAGGTTGATGATGGTTCACAGCCCCATTTTTAGCTATATGATAGTACCGTCCCAACGTTATTACGGCGAGGCCATTTCAAGGGCACTAGAAAGAATCACCGAGTGGGTGCCAATCGGCTTCAAGCAAACAAACCTGAATGGAACTTCAAAGAACCACCCGAAATTGTAGCTATGATTCATATTTTGGCTTGCAGCTTCAAGCCCTTCGATATGTGAAGAAGGAAAACCCAACATGCCCGCCCTGCCCAGTTTCTCCAAGATTGCATCATCGCAGCGTTAGGCCATGGTCGCTCAAAGGTTAGCCAAGAAGCACGCAACCTCCAAATGGCCGCCCTGAGATGCCAAATCTAGCGCAGATGCTACACCGTCGGGATGCTGCCTGTGTGCATCGAAGTCAACCAGCAAGCGGACAATGTCCAGGTGGCCCTCCCCAGCAGCAATCTGCAACGGTCTTTGCCCATCGTTCGCAGCATGCTGGCTGTCAGCGCCGGCCTCAAGCAGCAAGCGAACGATGTCAAGGTGGCCTAGTGCTGCCGCCATCCCCAGGGCTGTGATTCCATCCTGCTGGGACTTCTCTTTGTTAGCCCCTGACGCAATCAAACAGCGAACAACCTCAAGATTGCCAACCGCAGATGCAACCACCAATGGCGTAAATCCATCCTTCCGGGCCTTCTCTGTGTCGGCTCCAGCCAGAATCAGCAATTGGGCAATGCCAAGATCTCCTTTTGAACATGCCATCAACAACGGTGTTTGCCCATCGACTTTGGCCTTCTCTTTGTCAGCGCCGGCCTCAACCAGCAAGCGGGCAACGCTTAGGTAGCCTCTTTCAACAGCAAACGCCAGCGGCGTTTGCCCATCCTCCAGAGCCTTCTCTTTGTCAGCCCCAGCCTTAATTAGAAAGCGAGCCATGTCAAGATCGCCACCTGCAACTGCAATCCCCAGGGGCGTTTGCCCATCCACTGGGGCGTTCTCTTTGTCAGCACCGGCCTCAATTAGCAAGCGAGCCATGTCAAGGTTCCCTCTTTCAGCTGCTATCCCCAATGGTGTCAGCCCGTTTTTAGGGGCCTTCTCCTTGTCAGCCCCGGCCTTAATCAGAAAGCGAGCCATGTCAAGATGGCCACCTGCAACTGCAATCCCCAGGGGCGTTTGCCCATCCACTGGGGCATTCTCTTTGTCAGCACCGGCCTCAATTAGCAAGCGAGCCATGTCAAGGTTCCCTCTTTCAGCTGCTATCCCCAATGGTGTCAGCCCGTTTTTAGGGGCCTTCTCCTTGTCAGCCCCGGCCTTAATCAGAAAGCGAGCCATGTCAAGATGGCCACCTGCAACTGCAATCCCCAGGGGCGTTTGCCCATCCACTGGGGCATTCTCTTTGTCAGCACCGGCCTCAATTAGCAAGCGAGCCATGTCAAGGTTCCCTCTTTCAGCTGCTATCCCCAATGGTGTCAGCCCGTTTTTAGGGGCCTTCTCTTTGTCTGCGCCGGCCTCAACCAGAAAGCGGACGAGGTCAAGATTGCCTTTCTCAGCTGCTATCCCTAATGGTGTAAGCCCATGCTTCTGGGCCTTCTCTTTGTCCGCACCGGCCAGAATCAAAAAGCGAGCCATGCCGAGATTGCCTCTTGCAACTGCAATCCCCAAAGGTGTTTGTCCATCCTCCTGGGCCTTCTCTTTGTCAGCCCCGGCCTTAATCAGAAAGCGAGCCATGTCAAGATCGCCACGTGCAACTGCAATCCCCAGGGGCTGCCAATCCACCAGGGCCTTCTCTTTGTTAGCGCCCGCCTCAATCAGCAAACGAGCCATGTGGAGATTGCCTCTTGCAACTGCAATCCCCAAAGGTGTTAGCCCATTTTGGGGGGCCCTATCTTTGTCAGCGCCCGCCTCAATCAGCAAGCGAGCCATCTCAAGATTACATCTGTCAGCTGCTATTCCTAATGGCGCGAGCTCTCCCTGTAAGGCTTTTTCGGTATCAGCGCCGGCTGCAACCAGCAGCTGAACAATATTGAGATGACCACCCCGAGTTGCCAGGAGGAGAGGTGTGCGGAGGTCAATTTTTGTTGCTGCATCTTTGTCTGCAAACGCCTCAAGCAGCAGTTGCACGGGTTGCAAATGCCCATTCCTCGCAGCGTGGTGCAAGGGTGTTTCGCCATCTGTATCTGTCACGTTGGGATCTAAGGGCCATTGAAGCACTGTTTCAAGTACAACTGAGTTGTTGTCCCTGGCCGCAGCAATGATCCTCTCCTCGTGCTCAATATTTGGTCGTCCCAGTGGCACGATCAAGAGTTGGATCTTGACTGTGACTGGAGCCGAGGTAAAAATCTCCTCATCCACAATCCTCCGGGAACCATCTTCCGATAAGAATCGCTGCCTGAATCGTGAGAATCCAACCCGAGCTGCCAGAGATTGCTTCACGGTCTTCACTGACTTGCCTAAGAATTCATCACCCTGGAGCACTGCCAGCGTCTCGCCTGACAACGCTGAGCACACCTCCATTGCAGCGATATGAGAAACCACAGTATATGAATTAGCCTCTGGTAAAAACTAACATAGCTATATTGAAAATGGCCCAGTCGCAATAGTTGATTTACCCATCTAAAAATGGTGGATCTTTCCATAGTTTTGTGTATGTTTACCAGAGGGTAGCCTACTTACTTCCCTACTTCTTGATAACTCAGCATCTGAATTCTTCACCTTTGGAGTCCTGGTTTATTCAGCCACCAACATCAACACGTCGATGTGTCCATAAATACTTCATAAATGGCCCTCAAATCAGCATATTTACACAGCTAGGGTCTGCTAGGTGCTAGTGTAAACATGATGTCAGCCAACAAACCTCAAGAGAGCTGGTGCTCAGAGCCAAATGTTCCAATGACAAAAAGGTGTTGGGGCTCCAGAAAACAGTGCTAATTATGTCCAAAAATACAGTGATTCCAATCATTTCGCCCAGCCTCTGGTCCAATAAAATCTCTAGCGGATAGAAACAGCCTAGCATTGCCTGAAAGAAAAATATGTGGTCACCGCCTGCAAGGAGACCAACACAAATCAAACATGCTCCAAGGTGTTTTCGCTACCTAGGGGATCAATAAATTCGATGATAGCTTGGGGTTCAAACATATTCAAACCATTTAATAGGAAACCCCATAATATCCCATGAAAACAAAAAAACATAAAGTGGTTCGTTATCCAAAATCACGTTGTTGGAGTTCAATATCCTTTTATCCCCGTATGTATATATATAATATATATATATATACATACCTAGACGCTCCATTGACTCATAAAAATATGCATTGTATCCTATATGTTTTGTACTTGGCAATTGTTTATGGCTCCTTTGAATGCTCCCATTTGAGCCATGCCCAGTTTAACCCCTATCTCTTCTCATGAAATACTTGCTGAAAACGGTTTCCCAATCCTATGGATTATAATGATTCCCATTAAACCAGTGGTGTATACAGTAATTCTTGACCAATCAACAGATATCAACGGTATGTTTCATGGCTCCCCCATCAGTTCTCCGAAAACTTTGCCAAGTCACTGAAGGGCAGGTTTTCGGTGGTCAAACTCGTCATAGCTTCGCCTTCCTCCTCAGCCACAGATCAGGCAAGGTGAGACCCCAAAAAAACCCCTTGCCCTACGAAATCACGGTTCAGTTGAAGCACATCACTTGGTGAGTTTGGGTTTAATAGGGGCTTAACATGGTATAACTGTCTACCTATAGTCAAGTGTATAATTGGGTAGTTAATGGGTATAACTGTATAACTATAGTCAATGGGGAGTATGAAACTTATTAAACCAACTTACAACTGGGGAAGCTCACCGTGGACCTTAATCCACGCGGAACAAAATATGGCAAATGGTATAATTCCGTAAATAATTTTAGCTGGTTGGTGGCATACCTACCCCTCTAAAAAATATGAAAGTCAGTTGGTATCATTATTCCCAACTATTGGGGAAAATAAAAATGTTCCAAACCACCAACCAGTTAGGGATTATAATAATGAATAATGGGATTATAATGGAATAAACATTACAATAGGATAATCATAGTTGGTAGGTGGGCCAAATCCCATGGTAATCCCATAAAATTTACCAACTGGTGCAGGATTTTGTCCATCCACAATATTGATGTGCGATATTGAACACATATTGAACAAATGTACCTAACTTATTACACTTAATATGTAATGTATTTGCTTTAAATAGGTACAGAATAATTTTCCATATCAACAAAAAATGCAAATTATCCGTTTTATCCAATTTGGAAGGGCTGGCAACCTTCCTGTGGAGTTATACATGATTGAAGGCTAAGACTTCTCTCAATCTCTGAAGGTGTGTTTGCTTATCTGGTGGGTGCTTGAGCCACCTGCTCAAAATATATGATGAATTGGGAGCAGCAACCCATTTGTTGGAAACAGAAAGTAGAAATAGGTAAACCACCAACCAACCATTGGCCATTGTTCTATAATCCCTTTCCAATAGACCATAGTGACCATATCCCAGTGACAGAAAAAACATCGCCCGTTTTTTCGGGGCTCCAGTCGTCAAATTGATGGCTTCCTGCAGAAATTCCCATGTTTCGGATGCTTAAGTCCTCATAAATTAACATTCGGAAGTGTCCGAAATGGGGGTACCCCCCATGGCGAAATCGACGTTGACTTGGCAGTGTGTCAAAACCTTGTACCCCTGGTGAACATCAAAATAGCTGGTAAATGGATGTTCATCCCCCTAAAAATGGTATTAATAGGTATTGATCCATACCCACTTAGTATTGAAACGACCATGGTGACTTGGGGATCCATAACGTTTTTGAAACTTAACCACGTTTCGTCATTCGCTCTTTCCACAGATCGGCCTAATTTGTTTCATCCCATCATTTCCGCGACGTCGCGGAAAGTGAGGTCGTTGTAATTGAATGGCAGTCGTATCAACTTATTTAACCAATTTCATTGATATTTCACCAATTTAAGCACCAATTTCATTGTTTAACCACCAATTTCATTGATATTTCACCACGCTTTTTAGTGAGACTTCCCAGAAATTAAAGTTGATGTAAGTTGACCCATTCATAAAAAGTATGGTTATATTCGCCATAAACCTTAACGAAGTTCTGTAAGTCAACTTATCGTTTGGGGATTCCCTCACCTTCTAGCAGATGCTTTTGGGGGTTCCCCACTGTCCCATGACTTACAGTATCTGATTCAGATTCTTAGGGATTCTGAATTCTACTCAGGATTTTGGAAAATTATCTTAGAATCATCTATCTTATCTGAGATAATCTGGTGACTATCATTGGAAAAGATAGAATCTATTTCACCGGCGAAACCCGCGAAAATATCTCCTCGTCGGATTCCAATTCTTTGCCGATCATCGGCTCTACCTGGTAGACGATGGAAAAAAACAAACGGGAGATAACGGGGATGCATATGATCATCATGATCATCCCGAATTTATAACGTATGTAAATATAATATAATATGATATGTGTATAATCATAGTCAAAATCATATAACCACAATTATACCTGTATAATATGTCATCATATAGATATATATCCACTGATATCATTCAGATTCCTCTGATTTCATACAAGAAGGAGGCCTTCTTGGGATAGGTTTCGATGAGTTTGTAACTAGGCCAACTGTTGCAATAAAATGCTGGAGATAAGTTCACACAAATGACAATTGGATATGTGAAAATCAACCACTTGATGACTTGGCATGTGCAGGATTTATCTTCTTTATGTGTATATAATTTTTTGTAGGCAACATCATTGGGATTCTTGGATTCTTAGCGTTGGTTTATATATATATATACATATACATATATATATATGAATATGTGTGTAGTCAAAAAGTGGGGTACCATGACCACAAAAGCTTGGTCATTTTTTCGCTCAGTCCATGCGAGACCATGGAGATGCCGCCAACAACAGACATCACTGGGACACTGGGAATCACCAGCTCTTTGTGTGTTGACCTTCCATATCATGGACATATTATCACATTAATTCACATTATATATCATTATACCGTATTATGTTATATTGTATCATATTATACAAAATAGTTTATCACTGAGAAAAACTTGGAAAAAAAAACAAAAAAAACATCTTATCAATGATAATAAATGCCTTATGGTTGAGCCACACCCTGAAACTAATATCATATTACATCATCTCTTGGGGGTCTGCCACGTATCTTAGGTATCGAGACATATCGAAACATGTTGGGTCCCCAGATGATCAATGCAACAGCATGGTGACCAACAGTGCAAATAGCATCAAAATAAGCCGCTTAAATGGGTGTTGATCCAAAAAAAAGTAACTAAGAGTATATCATAGTAAATGATTCAAATGATGGCAAATTTGACCCATAGGCTCTTTTTTAGCTTGGAGCAGCATGGCTTTTGGTCAATGGAGTGTCTAGTCGGATAAATGCCTCCTCCTTGTTGATGGCTTTTGGTTTTTCCTGTCGCCGCGCTGGATCATGGAAATCATGGAACACCATACCCAACCAAGACAAACCTGTCGCCGCTGAGGCATTTTATTGAGCCTGGAGATGTCTGAAAGCTAAATTTGACAAAAAAGATAGACAAGGATAGGCAGGCTGTGACTATGTTTTGTCATTTGGGCTGTCTTGAAACAAACTGTGTTTTTTGCGAGAACTCATAGGTTTCGTTCAACTGCAAGGGCAATCTGAGCCTGTGCTTCTGACAGTTCTCTGCGGTGCTCATGGGATGAGAGGAGATATTGCTATCTAAAAGTTCGTCAGTTTGGCTTTCCGGTTAACCCTTCAGTTTTGCTGATTTTTCCAGTGGAAAACTCTTGTCGAACTCATGGTGTCCAACACATTCCATCCCCTCCTGCAACGGTGCGAAGCTCGCAAAAATGCCCGAAGTGGCAGCCGTCAGGCCCACACTGGGCGAGCGTGGGCAGTTTTTGGGCATCTGGGGATGTGACGTTTACCTGCTCCATGGTGCTGGTATATTTATCCACGTGACTGGGTGAGTTTTGGGGTAGATGTCAGTTGATATTCCATGTACAGAGCACACATTCACATGGGATATTTATGTATTTATATTTGATTTATATGTAGATATGTATACACTTACTGGTGCTTAGCAGGGAATGAGGGAATGATCCATAATCACTAGTAATAATCATCCCATTCCCCCATTCCCATCTATTCCCTACTAAGCACCAGTAAGTATATTATATATATATATTATATATATAGTATATACATATACATAATAATATATATACATACATATATATATATTATATCTATATATTATATCTATATATTATATCTATATATTATATATATATGTATTATATATATATATGTGTGTTATATATATATATGTATGTGTATATGTGGTCATCCACGGTCATCCATGCCATAATCGAAATCCTTGCGTGGGTAAAATTGATTTTCACCATGGCACATGGAAAATGTCACCGGCAAAAGAATGTCAAAAGGAGGATGGGGCCAACAGTGACAGTTGGATGTCGCGGAAAAAAATGGGCATGCGGAACTGCGAATATAGGGACAAACCAAGTAGAAATTTGGCTGAACAATATCAGATAGATACAATTAAATTGGTTTAATCATGTTGAACCAATCATGTTGGTCTGTGATAGAAATGGGTACACCACCCACTCGCCAACAAGAACAAACAACCTCCACTGATTTCCAAATGATTAAAATACATATCCCGATTTGGACTGTCCCTATGTCCAAACAGCCCCTCTGCAGATTGAACAAACAGTATAGCTTCCACCTCAAACCATAGGGAAGAAAGTGATCTCGGGTGTACAGCCAACCACCAAAGGCAGGCCTCAGCGACGAAGCAGCTGTCGACGGGATTAATGGGATAATAATGGAAGGATTTAACCATCAACGAAAGTGGGGTTATTCAATAAGGATTCAACGTAATGATGAATGTGGATTCATTGGGAGTAAACGGATGTTTTTGTACAACGTGATGTTGTTGGGTTTCCATGGGTTTCCCATGCCATGAGAATCCACACATAATGCATATTATATACACATACTGTATGCATGTATATATATATATATGTGTGTATACTGCATATAACATTATCAATATATATATATATACATAATATATATATATACATAATATATATATATATATATTAATATGATACTATACATATTATACATATTATATATGTAGATTTAAGTCCCTCTTAAGGGATGATTTGATAAAGATCCCCATGGCTACAGAATCTACAGAAAGTTTATGAGGATCAGCCCATTGAAGTGGCGCCAGATGGGGATGGAAGTTGCCAAAGCAAACAGCTGTCGAGTCGATGCCAAACAAATATCTTGTGTTTCCAGGATGCCAAATAACTTTGGAAAATCATGATAGATGATTACATATCGATTGTGTTAGATGCCACAATTTTATATCTGTTCCATGATTGAAACGATTTTTTTTCAGTTTCCAGGTGTCCAACTTGTCTTGTCATCTTTTTGGGGATTGCTTACTAAGTATTAAAGGGTAACTGGATGGAAATGGATGGAAACTCCAAAAAATGGCTTGGCATTCCAACTCCCAAGAATTGTCAAACAATTCTAAGCATGACCCTGCTAACTCACTCGAAAGAACTGCTAAACCATGGCCAATCTAATCTGAGGCAATAAAACTTCATTCAGATTCAGGCGGGCATCATTAAAAATCACCCCTTTATGAGATGGCAAGAAAAAAACACACAACGATCCTTTCCTTATCCTCATCCGAACACAGCGATAGCCAGGAATCGAGAGGGTGCCAGCGAGGCTATCAAAGAAGCTCTTGATGCCCAAAAAAGTTCCCAGGCGATCCTCTGCAGAGTAGCCTCTTGTCATTTGACATACTTATAGCTACTGAAAATCAGTACATTTTTGTTCAGTTGTGTTTCTTTTGATCATTGAACTAAATAGGTCATGTCCATTCATTTTCCAGTTGGCGCTGTGGTAAATTACCGGAGGCTATCACCGTGATGGTGGTTTGGACCCATGACCTGAAAACAGTTGACAATATCTGACCGGTGTCCCGAAGATATTTCCACAGTTCTTCCCGTTTCAAAAAGCCATGACGGATCCGGCTGGTGCTGGTAGAAAAATGCTAACATGACTGGGGTTTTTGTTGGGATCCATGTTGCGCACCACAAAAATAGCAGCACCGTTAGGATCCGTCATGGGATAGGAATGTGATAGTCGGATAACTTGAAAAACATCCTCTTCTGGGTGAACAACTCATGGAGGGTCCTCTGGGTCCTCTTGTCACATCCCAAACCTGTGGGCCCGTGGTCAGAATTGATCCGTTTTTTTTGTTTCGAAGGTTCCCAGTGTAACAACCCCCTAGGCCAACTATATCCCCAAGCACGTACACTACATCAACGTTTATCGCATCATTTCCAGAACCCTAAAAGCACCATTTCCTGCAACACAAGCCTGGAAGAATCGGAAAACCATGACTTGACGAGATTTTTTAGCCTCGCACCCGATGCCCCGTTTTTTGGGGCTGTCCTTGGGGCAACAGCCATGCACCATGGCCATGAATCCCAATCCAGTCATACTTCCAAAGAGTCCAACGGAGAGTCCTCGCGCGAAAGGCTCCGACTTATTTCATCTTCTACCAGAGTTCTCGGATTTTTTTTTAATTTTTTCTTCATCTTGATATATGTTGATCCTATTTTCCTGACATCTTCCAGCTATGCCCACAATGGTTAATGTTTCACGGCTTGGAAGTCAGAAATGTTTTCAGAAATCCCAACTGCTGGGGGAATGTGAACTGCATCAAACTGCTAGCAAACACCTCACGGAAAGTGTGATCAAAAAAAAAAAATCGATTTGGGAATCCCATGGTGGGCTGGGTTGTGATCAGGGGCAGGAATGTCCCTTGTCACACAGGAGACAGTCGCGTGCAGACACTGTTATCCAAACGCAACCAGATACCAAATACCAGAACACGGGTTATATCATGTTATATCACCAGCAAAATGACCAAATGGCCATAGTCATTGAATGAACCAAAAACAACCTGTTCCATCAGGGACCACTGTTGGATGCTTGGCGGAGTTCCCTTGAGCTTCCCTCGCCATGAAAAAGGTTTCGATTTTAGGCCTTCCAAAATATGCCTGGTACCCAAACAGTCCCCTAAAATAGCTGATTAATGGATGGTTATTCCCCCAAATATAGTAGTAAAATATAGTAGTAAATGGTATCATAGGTTTTGGCCCTTCCAAAATCTTCAAAACATGGATCTAAAATGATCTAAATGGGAGATTGCCTGACATTTGCCACTAGAACAACCCATTGGTTGAGCATCGTTGCCACCATGGCCAAGGAAAGCTCGCAGGAACTCTGTTGAAAATGCGGCTCATGTATCCACCAAATCAAATCATGTTGGATGTATCCTTCAAAGATCTTTGAGGCCGTTTCTTTTCAATCTGCCAAGATCTGCCAAGCCATTTTCCCCCACAGGTCCTGAACAAAAGCAGGGAACCCACTTGTGTCCGGTTCCCATGATCAGCAGGAAGGTGCAGAGGCTAACTCCCACCGTTCCTGGCGCCAGGGGACCAGCACAGAGACAGACCAGGTGAGCCGCGTTGGCACTCTGGCTTTCAAGGGAACTCAAAGGGAAATGACGTTTGAGAAAAAAAAAATGGTCACCTGATGATCCTGATGGTCTGTGGCCATATTCCCCATAGTAATGGCAATATGTCCATACATCTACCCATTTCCGCAGAAACCCACATAGGTTAATTTATTAACCCCATATTCATTGTTGATAGAAACTTTTTTCGATACTGGAATCCCCATGAAGCTGCAGAAAAGCCACACCCCAAGCCACACCCTGCGCCTATCACGCAGGACTCGCGCTCACCCAGCAAGCTTTGCACCGTCTGAGATGGGAAGTTTTCAACAGCCGTGGAGCATCATCCCACGAATCGTAAGTGGTTCGATTCGGCCCGGTGATCGAAGTCGTCCCCCATTCAGTGGCTTATCCCCGATTAGAACTATGGTTACTAAGCAGCCACTGAGCTGGTCCAGGACCATGTCCAATCTGTCCGAAAATAGGGGAAATCGCACCCTTAAATGGCTGGGATCTATTGGTGATCAGCCAGTTTTCTGCTATCAAATGTCCCCGATTTTCAAACCCGAAGAAGTTCAAATTGGCAGAAAAAACTATTTGATGGGGATATCATGAGGGTATAGTGGGATGGATAACTCACTTAATATGGATGAATTCTATTGCGACCTCACGTCGCAACGTCGTTGGAATCATGGTGAATGGATTGTGGTAACAATCCCAAAATAGCCGAAGAATTCAGCTTGATGAATTAATCATAATTCATCTAAATAAATCCAAATAATACATGTTATATAAGCCTAATCTGTCTTGGTCATTTCTGAATGGGTATTGGGGGAGGGTCCAATCTTCCAAAATTGGTTATCCAATGTCTATCCGTGATGAAGGAAGACTTGGTGAGGGAAGACTTCCTGCTATGGCAGGTATGGCAGGTATGGCAGGTATGTGCCAAGCGTAGCACATACCCTGTCTCCCACACCTCCAATAAATGTAATCTATAATCTATAATCTATAATATATAATCTATAATCTATAATATATAATATATAATATATAATAGATAATATAATATGTGGAATATATGAATGTATAATATACTATACTTAGTAGTTAGGTATCTCCTATTTGTGGATGATAGACTCACTATAGTGCAAGTGAACCCAGTGACCCAGTGTTCGGGCAGCATACTTGGCCGAACTTTGGTAACCCCACGTTGAGATGCTATAAATCATCATGTCCATGAAAATTAACATTTACAAAAACCAATATCTGTTCAAACTCCCAATAGTTTTGCATACATATATATATATATAATATATATATATACTACATTACATTGCATTACATTACATTCCATTCCATTCCGTCCCATTCCGTTCCATTCCATTCCATTCCATTACATACATACAATCATATACACACACACTAGACAAGAATGGATCATTATATGATCCGGCAGGAACTGAATCCTGAAACATGCAAACCAGCCTAGATTATTAGATGAATAAAAGAGCCACATGAGGTACTTCTCGCAAACGATGTAGGGCATCCGAAATTGTCAAACGTAGTCATAACCAGATTCCATAGAGTTTTGACCAGCATGTTGAAATCCAAAATAATGTTTCGGCGATTGTTTCCCAAAATAACCCATAGTTCGTCGGCGACAGGATCTCGGCGAAAATAAGTCAAAAAACATAATACTGTCGGCGATATGGTTTCGGCGAAAATCTGAGGAAGGTTCTGATGCATGTAAATGTCAAAATTGATTCCAGATTGCGTCAACAGTGCAGTAAATTGAAATTTCAAATGGACGACGTGGAGGTTCTTGGGTTGAGCCTCTTCCCATTTCAGTAAATTGGCAGGTACGTCACGGTGATCAGCCGTGATATCACAAGCATTGGATAGGTGTCTTCGTTGGCACCTGACCTATCCATGCTCCAGGTGCCCCCTGCAAATTAGTGAAAACCAATCAGAAGTTTTACATCTGTTCAGATGGTACACACACACACACACACGCGTGTCTCGTACAATGAACACCAACATAGCCACCCCCCAGTCCCCGAACGTCCCAAATGTGTAACGACTTCGGCTCTCCCATGGTCTTCGAACGTCCCAAATGTGTAACGACTTCGGCTCTTTCCAAGCCACTGGGAGGAAAGGCGTCAAGACCTGACATTTCTGCCGAAATCCCCACACCAGAAAAATGTCGGGTATTCTGCCAGAAGGAGGTAGAATCCCAACACACCTACAGGAGGGTGCCCCCCCTAGTGATGAGTTTACAGAGCCCATTAACTAGTTCGATATATCTTTTTTTTTTCCTACCCAACACTCTCGTAAACAGGGGCCATTCTTCATGGTTAATATATCCCATTGAATCTCACTAATACATACTAATACCACTTAATCTCCATCCATATCCTGTGTTTCCCATTATTATTGATATGTTCACCTTACACTAAATCTGGCTGAAGTATAACAATTTACTAACCTGAAAATAGCTGTTATCATAATGGCAGGGGGGGTGATTCCCCCGAAACCTAATCATCCAGATATGCATTCTGGTTTTTAAAGTCCCATTAAGTTTCAATTAAATCCCATTAAAAAACCACTGAAATCCCATTAAATTCCCATGAAATCCCATGAAATTCCGATTGATATCCCGTCAAAAATTCCCATGAAATCCCATGAAAATCTCATTGATGTTCCATGAAATCTCATTTCAAATCCCATGAAATGCCCGTTTTTTTCACCTTAAGATCCCTTAAGACACCACTTTTCACCACAACCTGAGATCCCCAACCAAGGCGGCCAAGCATGACACCAGCAGCAGGTCCGACATGTCGCCTCCACGTTACATGCTGATGACTAAGGAGGCTGCTGTGGCTAGAGATGACTATGAAATTGGCGAAAGCCACATTACCCTCTGGTAATTTGTTACATAGCTATGGAAAGATCCACCATTTTTAATGGGAAAATCCACTGTTTCTATGGTCATTTTCAATAGCTACGTAACAAATTACCAGAGGGTAGTTTTAATGTTGTACAACGGTTGTAGCCATAAACATTGATAAACATATATGAAAATGATGAGGTACAATCTGGCAATATACCAATTTTGATGGGTCAAAGTGGAGTGTTTAGGTAGATAATGGAGGGGAAACTGATGATTTTTCCTGAGTTTCCGCTACATCACTACAAAATTGTTGGAGACAACTGTTGGCACCGGAATTTCACATCACTGCGGGTCGCAACTTGTCACCAAGTCAGAACAACCATCGAAAGGTCATCAGACGGAAGATATTCTACACCTGCGACTAACCGGCAATTCTTAACATTTTCTAGCCATTAACATTCATTCTCAAAACGATTCTCAACTTATATCCTTCAACTCTCGATTCAGATTCGGACCTTGGCTTTCTTTTCGGGCCCTCTTGTTTTTTTTCGGGCCCTGCCCGGTTTCCCCCCTTTGTTTCCCTCCTTTGTTTCCCTTTCAGAAATGGCGCCGGGCGACCCTGATTGTAGCCGAAGTAGTCCTTAAAGAAAACCACCTCAGGTCCCTCAGTGACGCCCATGCTGAAGTTGAAGGCCATGGAGCCAAGGATCCTTAGCCAAGGCCAAAAATCCAAGAAAAATTCTGAGGGTTCCCATGGAGATATCTTAATATGGAGATCCAGCATTTTAATATAGAAATATACTAATATCTTAATGGACATCCATCATTTCCATGGATATGTTTATATTATATATATATATATATTAATGATATCTTAATTGGATGTCAATGGAGATTCATGGGATACTGATTGGATACTGGGATTTCGTGAGATATAACCAACTTGATATTCGTGATACCTAGATATGGACAATGATGGGAAAATCAAGGGATCTATTTATTTATGGGATCTATAAACTACCCTCTGGTTATTTAACATAGCCATGGAAAATCCCTTATAAATGGAGGTTTTAATGGGAAAATCATCTATAAATGGGCCATTTTCCATGGCTATGTTAAATAACCAGAGCGTAACTTGATATGAAATTGGTATTCAAGCAACTAATTGTCTGTCAATGTCCAATTGTCCCATCTGCTTTTAGTTCTGAATGAACAGTCAAAAACAAACTCACATCTTCCAAGCCACGTTTCAAGGAAAACTACAAAGCAAGCAATTTTTTTGGCTAGAAGATCTAATTTATGGTCGGAATACCTCCTGTGAACTGATTGAGCCCATATATTTAAGGGTTCCATGCCAGTTTTCAGGACTGCAGTGCATCACTTGAGGCCGGGGGTGGATGACGAAAGCTAGCGGGGTAGGAGAAAGAAGGAAGGGAAGAGGTGAGTTGCGGAGGGACTGTCATCATCGTGTCGCGGCATTGTTCGTCCCAACGAGGATGCAACAATGATATATGATATATGATATATAACAATGATATATATGGGGGAGGGGGCAGGGGGGGGCCCTTTCGCGTGAAAAAGCACGTGATGTCCTTGGGGAGCCCCGGAATACTTGCTAAAGCAAGAAGACTCTAGCGAGCTGACGCTAGCTTTCGTGATAATGCCAATAATTGCCAATAATGATAAAATGTAATTGATTAACGATGATGGTGATGATGATGATGATGATGATGACGATGACGATGACGAGGACGATGACGATGACGAGGACAAGGACGAGGACGAGGACGATGATGATGATGATGATGATGATGATGATGACGATGACGAGGACGATGGCGAGGACGATGACAATGATGATGATGATGATGATGATGATGATGATGATGATGATGATGATGATGATGATGATGATGATGATGATGATGATGACGATGACGAGGACGATGACGAGGACGAGGGGAGGATGATGACGATGATGATGATGATGATGATGATGACGATGATGATGACGATGACGATGATGATGATGATGATGATGATGATGATGATGATGATGATGGTGGTGGTGGTGGTGGTGGTGGTGGTGGGGGGTCCCCCCCTTTCGCGTGAAAAATCACGTGATGTCCTTGAGCAGCCCCCGGAATACTTGCTAAAGCAAGAAGACTCCAGCTAGCTGACGCTAGCTTTCGTGATTAGTAAATCATTGATTACATATGAGCACGGATCAAAATGGCCCATTCAAACGCAACACACGTCATTTTGACCCATGCCAGAATTACATGAATTACAAGATAAATCTTACTGGGCAAATAGTAAGATAAAATGATTGCATATTAAACAATCATAAACAGTAAACAGTGTAGATGTACATAGACCAATTGCAGCATCAACCAACGATCTTTGAATATCAAAGACAAGCATTGCATGTAACCTGTCCAAAAAGCCTCAGATTGTGGCAAGTAAAGCTATAAAGCTATACGGCTGCGGGGCATTGAAATCAGGCTGTGGCTCAAATGGGAAGCAATGAACCCACTTTGAACTCTGGCTCTCACATCCTCCTATCAAATTCATTCAAATTCAACATGGCCAAACTTCGGAACTGCCAAAGGTGGGAAAGGTTGAACAAAAAAAAATGCCATCGGATGCCATGAAGTTCGTTCGGATCCATGGCTAAGCGGCTATGAACTGCACTCCGAGTGGCAAAATGCCAGTCTCCCGGCCCATCAACAGCCTGGCGTTGGCTTTAACTTGAGCTCTTTTTTTGGGGGCTCCAAAAACTGGTGGTATCTTTACAGTATTGTTATCCTGAAATGACAATGGGAGAAACTGGTTCGGAAAAACTGGTTTTTTTTAGATTCTCAAATTTTGAGATCATAGTGGGTCATTGGGTAATCATGAACACATAAAGGTGAATTTCACTGCAAATGGATGAACATGGGAACTCTCACCAAACTTCAGGGTATGTAATTATGTTCGTCCCAACTTGATTGATGAGACAAAAGATACAACATCCAGGGATCCTGTGAGTGACTTGAACATCCCATGATTTGTGAACTTGCCATTGGTTTCGACCATAGCATGGTAGATTGATACTTAGGCGTGATTTTTTTCATGAACCCACAATTGACTCACAATATTGTCATGAAGTGAAATCCCTGTTTTCACTATGTGTTGAAACATGGTTTAAGCTTAAGGTCTAATTCCCAAAATGTACCCTTGCACATGGCTAATTGTTAATTGAAAACAATTATATAAATAACATACTATAAATCTGCGATTAAATAATACCCTCTGGTAAACTAACATAGCTATTGAAAATGGCCATTTATAGTGGATTTTCCCATTAAAAATTGTCATTTTCCATAGCTATGTTAAATTACCAGAGGGTAATGGTAAACATCATCTAGTTTTGCGATCTCCCAACATCGAAAACACCTCCACCATCTGGAGGAACGATGACCTCAGTTGCAGGCCATCATCCGCTCTGGTTACTGTTTACCCTCCCACATACGGTGGATGGTGGCGAAATCCACCAGTTGATAGGTGGTTTATCCTATTGTTTATAGGGTTTCAACCATCCAAAATTGGTGGTTTCTGGATTTCGCTGGCCCATCCACAGTATGACTTCATTCCCCACATATGACTTCATCGTCCCGATCCCCAAGTCCCGGCAAATGATCATCCACCCCCTCAAACAGATTGCTTCCATATAATATACGTTCATGTTGAAATCCGGAAAAAAAAAATGTGGTTTTATTTTCTCAAGGTTGTTGACCAAATTTGGATGGTTTCATACCAAAAATATGACCAGCCATTTGTCTATCGCCATCTACAATTCGGGTGACCATAACGAGGCATTCCATCATTGGGAGTTTCCACCGTTTCTCGAATGATTGGGATTAAAAATCTATTACCCTCTGGTAATTTTTCACAGTTCGACCCTGGCAGATATATAGGGGTTGGAAGATTCGTTTCCATTAAAAATTGGTGATTTTCAGGGTCCAACTGTTTATTTACCAGAGGGTAACTCTATTAACGTTTATTCATGCGACCATCGGATTCAACCGTGGCTTGTTCACCAACAACCATCAATAAGTGCTGCCCTTATTTAGCATTCATTATTGGGTCAATTTAACAAGGATTAATCTATTCATCTATCAATTATCATCTATTATCATCAATTAATGTATAAATTCAACATCTATTAATCTATCAATTAATCTATCAATGTCTATGTAACATCTATTATCATCTAATAATCTATCTATTAATCTATCTATTATCATCTATGAATGTCTATCTATAACATCTTTTACATCTCTTAATGTCTATTTAAAATCATCTATTGCGGTGCAGCTTCTGAGTCCTTGGCTCACCATGGCAGGAGACAAGACCTTGGGCGTCAGGGTGAAGCTCCTGTCGCGTTGCGCCGACTTGGGGAGAGGGGATCACCATTTTCATCAGCGGCGAGATAAACCTGCAAAATCATGGATTTAATACGATTTACCCTCTGGTAATTTAACATAGCTGTTGAAAATGGCCATTTATAGTGGATTTTCCCAACAAAAATGGTGATTTTCCATAGCCATGTTAAATTACCAGAGGGTAATCAATCAAAATCAATCAAGTTGACCCAACTTACAAAAATGTTTAAGATAAATCGCCAAGATCATCAAGATGACCAATATGACCAATGGTTTGGTGTCAGGTTTAATTTATTGCAGCTAGCCCTCAAATATAAAGGTTTCCGAAGTAGATGATGACATGGGATGATGCGATGTAAGCCAAAAACACAAAAGGGGGTTGGAATAGCCAGCAAGATCCACCAACAGCCAACAACAAAACATGTGCTGCAAAGATAAACCATTGGGTATATATATATAGTATATACATATTATATATACATAGGTAACACATAGACATAGACCAACAATACTATAAGAATTGGCATATACATGATATAACTGGAACTGCCCCAAGTAACTGGCTACCCCCCAAAAACGAACCAGTTGGACTCGGTGGGCTTCCAGTTAGTTCGATATCTCTACCACTACCCAAGAGTTCCTCGACATTATGTAGAAACCAACTTACCCGGCCTGGTAAACATACAAAAAACTATGGAAAATCACCATTTTTAATGGGTAAATCAACTATTTCTATGGCCGTTTTCCATAGCAAAATGTTAGTTTACCAGAGGGTAACTTTCGTAGATGGCGATTATTGTTTGTTACATATCCCATTGATCTCCATGAATATCCTATGAATATCTCATGAACTTGTTCACATGTTCACCTTGGAATCCCATCATGGCAACATGGCAAGATTTCGGACATGCTCTGACTTCCATGCAAGGTGAGGTCTGAAAAAGCTATGTGTGTTGGTTTATTTCACCACATTGACTATAGCTATCAGTTATTACATTCCTCAAAACCATAGTTAGCCAAGTTGGGAGTCAACTTGGCTCTCAAAAGGGGGCGTAAAAACCTTGTGTATTTATCATAGAAAATTCTGAAGAGTTCCAGAGAATTCTCATCCCATATTCCCATATCATGCCATTGGATTGTCATCCCATGGTCGGAAACATCCTATTAAAGAGCCATAAAAAAAATCCCATGGAATATGAATCACCAGCTGCGAAAACCTTGCTGTAGAGACCCAAAAGAAAAAGAATATACATTCATTGCCTTGTTTTCCACGTCGCAAACGTTTACAGTAGGCGAATTAACGAATGTTATGTGCTATGGCGATATGAAACCAACCATTGAATAGTTAGAATATACAATGGGATACACTGGGATTCATATGTCACTAAATCCCATTTATGAACCAACTAGATCCCACTATAACCCTTTAAAAATATGTATTTGCCACTAAGTCCTATAATCCAGATTTGCTCTTCCCCGACGAAATTTCTGAATTTAGGGGGAAAAAAAGACGACTTTGTCACTTTGTCCTTAAACAATCCCTAATGATAATCCCACTAAATCCCATAAAATCACCATAAAATCACAATTTGTAATGCTTAAGTCTCATAATCACCATAAAATCACCATAAAATCACCATAAAATCACCATAAAATCACCATAAATCACCATAAATCCCATTAAAAAAACATACTTGGGATGATCTTCCGCAGCCAGACCCGCTCCTGGTCCGTTCAATGCCTTGCGGCGAGCCACTCCGGGGCGGAGACCGTGGGGAGGTGCCCTGCGCATGGCGCATGGGCGCGGTCGGTGGGGGAAGGAGGACTTGGGATACACGTTGTAAAAAGATGTAGAAAATGCTATGTAATGTAATGTAATGTAAATATATATATATACATATATATATACATATATATATATTAAAAAAATTAGAGATATGTATATGTATGTGTCTACCTAGATCATATTTGGATCTACATAATGTGAAATATTTACACAATGCGCCGATATACAGTATACATACTGCAAGTATAAAAGGTATCTGGAGAAACATACTAATTCATACTAATCACTAACCTGAAATAAGGACATTTGGGCAGCCCGTGACTGTCAGTATCCCTTAGTTGCCCTTAACCGTCATACCGGCGTCGCATCAAATCCCACTGCATCCGGACGCCCCCTTTCTACTGCAGATTCGCCGATCTCCTCAAAGATTGTCCCGATTTATCGGCTCGGGACCTTCTGCCAACGACCTGCTTCTTCGGAAGAAGTCCAGCTTGAAGTCTCTGTTTTACGCATGCTATAGCATGCATATATGTATATAATTATATATATACATAGAGAGAGGATATCTGTTGTGATTTGTTTTTGAGATACGTGATATGGCCATGTCATGCCACTTCCATTTCCCGACCAACCGTCACTCACTGCGCAGCCCGCATTGCTCACCAGTGGCCGCCTTTGGCCCTTCAAACACCTGGTTTGGGGATGCGGCTTGAAGCGATGTGACCTGTGAAATGTGGCTTGAAAATGCTTGAAAATTGCAGGGGAACAACTGAAGCATGGGAGACAGAATGGGATAATTCATGCCATGATATGCTTCATTTTTACCAACCATCGGTCAACGTGGGTCAACGAGTTGGTTTCTAGTGGGATAAGGTAACCATAACGTACGCATCACTTTGAATTGCTAGAAATCCAGCAATTCTTCCATACAAGTAACCAAAAAAGTCAATCTTTGGTTCGATCATGGTGGGATCATAGCTTATGTCTAACAATTCACCAACCTCGGCCATTTCAGGATTCTCTAATCCCAATCCCAACCCCATTCCTTCGTGACATCGCGGCGAGGTCATTATATGAATTATATACCCTTTGGTTATTTAACGTAGATATGGAAAATGGCCCATTTATAGATGATAAGAATGATGATTTACCTATTAAAAATGGTGATTTTATACTATATCTCTTGAATTTGGTATGTTCACTAACAGATCACCATAAATTGGTTGGCTAAATCTTAGTAACAACCCATTAAAATCCCATGACTAGCCCATGAATATCTCATTAAACCGCCACTAAATCATCATTAAATCCCATTTCATGTCCACCATGAAAAATCACCAGCATAGCGTCGGTGAAATCATGAACACTCCATGAATATCCCATGAATATATCATGAATAAATGAGATTACCATTCGAATATTAACATTATTAATATCCCATGAATATTCCATTATTACTTCATGAATATCACCAGCTTTCCACCCAGCTATAAAAACAACTTCCTTCGCACCAGCTTTCGCACCTCTCTTGCCGCTCACGTCTTCCAGGTGATCGGACTTTGCATAGCGACCACCCCAGTTCTCCTGGGACAAAACACATCCCTGGCGTTGACAAAACGGGGATCCCATGGAAGAGATGTCCCTAGTTTTTAACGCTTAGTATATCTTAGTTTCATCCCAAGTGGAAACCAAGTGGTTTTTTTTCAGAATCTCCAAGTTGCAGTTCCAAAAACAACAGCTATTTTATCCTACACCAGCCAAACAAAGACATGTGGAAATGGCCATGTCAATGTTCATTGTACATGTTACTTCCATATCCTCTCTTTTTGTCGGATGAATATGGGTATGTCTGAAAATGGGGTATACCCCCAATTATAGCCATTTAGTAGGGATAATGATCATTAACCATTGGGTGTAGGGGTACACTATTTTCAGACAAACCCATATGGATGAACATCCCATTTTTTTCCCACTTCGAGAGCACTCCTTAGGAGCTCCCAACGCAGCCGTGCTCACCAGCCGCTTATCTTCCTCCTGGCGTCGCGCAGGTAAGAAACGTGGAAAACGACTGTTAAATCTGTGAAGAAAGCCTCGTCGTGTTCGACCATCCAAAAAAAAACTACACTTGAATCAATGTCTCCAGTTTTCCCAATTCTTCCGACCATCTTTTCACCATCGCCTTCGTGAACTCGCGCCGGGTCTTCTTGGCGCCGCTCTCGGTCTTCTTCCCCGCCGCGGCCTGAACCCAGCGCACGCTGTAGAGCACCTGTTCCTGCGGAAGCCAGTGGCGGCCAGGGGTTGTTGATTTTTTTTACCATCATGTAGATATAGCATATATAGTATATATATATATACACATATATTATCCCATAGGATCCATGGTGCTGCTATATATGGTAACATTTACCATCAATATACCCCAAATGCTATATATATATATATAACTGGTTAATTCGGGGACTTCCCTCCCTTGCCTCCAAAAAACATGTAGAAAATGATGGTAAATTACCCTCTGGTAAATAAACAGTTGGACCCTGAAAATCACCCATCTTTAATGGAAACTAGTCTTCCAACCCCGATGACTGCCAGGGTCGAACTGTTAATTTACCAGAGGGTATATATAATATACACATGTAACGGAACGTCCAACACCAGGAGATGTCACTTTGCTTCTTTTAACTCAATAGTTAAGTATAATA